GTATCAAATGAAGAATGATATAATTCTTCTAAAATGAGATGTATAAAATAATTAAAAAAGAATTAGTTTTAATTTCTTATTAGTTAAAATTTAAACATTTTTTATTGACACCATTACAAAATCTATATATGAATCAGTGGCTTGATCCAACTGCATTCTAATTTAATTAGATTGGTTCAAACTGAATAAGAAAAAATTTCTGAAACCTAATACAATTTAGTCTAACTTTAATTAATTAGTTCAGATAACTTTTCCCTAAAATCCAACGAAACCTGACCTTACGTAGCCATCCACAGGGGTCAGTAATCTAAAGAGATTTTTTATTTGAAAGTTGATTATTTGTTGTGTTATTAAGTTTTTACATAACCACTACTTTACAAAAATATAATTTATGATTAAATTGTCACTTCTTACAATACTGAATTTTTATTAGACACATTGAGACACTAAGAATAATTTTAACAATAAGTTATCATTAATTTTCTAGAATATTTTAAAATGAACGAATCTTATATATATATATATATATATATATATATATAACTTAATTTTCTGAAGAATCTTTCTAGATTAGGGGTCTAAAAATGGTTAATGAAAAAATAAAACAAGGAATAGAAAAGCAGACAAGCAGTAGTGTAGGAAAAAGTGAAAAAAAGAAAATATTTGGCTGCAGCTGAATGTCGGTACGACCGTACAATGCATGGAAGCACTTTTTAGAGAGGGGTAGGGAGAAGAAGACAACAGGCTGTATAGGGAAAGGCATAGTTATTGGTAATAAGATCTGAGACTGAGACCACATCTTTGTGAGAGGCCCTACCCAGATTTTCCCTCTGACCCTCACAGTGAGAGCAATAGCATTGAGCAAGACGGGACATGGGTGTGTGATAGCGAATCTCATCTGTAACATTAATGTCCAAAATATCAATCAAATTTCACTAATCTAGGAAGAATTTTTTACATGATATTAGACCACATCATCCTCACTAATCATATATGTGTATAAATTTTATATTTATGAAAAATCTTCTAAATTGTAAATTTTGATTGGAATGAGATGATGATGGACTACTCAAAACCTTTCAGCATGGGACTACTTTTTTGTTTGGTGTTAGCTCCCACATTTTAATGCCACGAACCAAATTATTAGATATGGCCTGGGGTTGTACGTATGAAAACAAGGATAACAAACCAAAGTAAGAGAAGAAGAATATAAGGTAACACCACTCCGGATTTTGCATCAAATGTTGGATATTCTTTCTTATTCTCTACAATATATAAAACTATTAGCCACCACTATATCTTCACAGCTTTCCTAGTATATATATATATATTGGCCTTGTAATTTATAAGTGCATGTTCTCTCTCTTTAATGCTTGTCTTTTTATTTATTTTTCCTTTTTATGTGCCTAGAATTATCAAGATTTTTTAACATAAATATGGTAACGAATAGTATATTATATATATTATTTAAAGAAATAACTAGCATTCTCAAAAATATACTTCTAAGAAAAAATCTATATGAATGATTTGCATTCGAATTTAATTTGAAATTTCAATTATGTTGTTTAAATATTTTATTTTTTTTATAAAAAAAAACAGAATCACGAAATCACAATTTTAAGGATCAAAACTATGATACTATGATGCAACTAAAATTAAAACAGTTCTTTCAGTCTCCGTTTCTCATTAATGTATCCAGCCCAACATCGATGATGAAGGTGTTTAAGAGAGTTGTTGATAAATTCGATGGATGCAACAACATATACTTCTCAAATTAGGGATTTAAATGGATTAAAAAATATGGAACCAATATTTCTACTTGTCATTAGTCAATTAGATACATAAGACACTTGTAAGTCACGTCAGAATATTTGAAATGGAATTAAAACAATTGCTTATGATAGGGAACAAATTGTAACCATTTGAGAACCTCTAGATATCATAGCATAGTTCAGAATTTTAGAAAAAAAGAAAGAAAGGAAAGAGAGGGCGCCGAAATCTCTTCTCACTTGTTTTAAACAAATCATGGAAAAAGTCTTAATTAAAATAAGAAAAAATAAATTCATTTACTCTTTTTGCTTCTTTTCTTTTTCCTTATAAATTAAATAACATATCTCTCTTTCATTAATTTTCTTTAGTTAAATTATCTCCTCTTTCCTTATTTTATTTGAACCAAACAGTGTAAGATTAGTTTATATAAAAACTAAACAAAACTAATACCTACAATGTTTTTTTAAGTTTTTTTTAATCGACTAATAAAAAGGAAAACAAACACAAACAAAAAAATTTCATGTGCAAATGTTACATTTCTAAGATATTAGATAAAATAAAAGAGTTTATTTAACTATGACACTCATCCCATAGAAGAAAGGGAATATAGAAAAGTGTAATATTTTACCATGCAATTTGTTGCAAAATTGTCTTTATGAAAGAATATAAGGGAAACTAATAGACTATGAATTGGAATTGAGCATTCTTATAGCATTGATCAAAGAGCATACGGATAAAAATCAAACACCCCATAAGAAATTAAAAAAATTACCATTTGTGACTTATATTGGCAAATAAGATTCTTTATTTTTAAATTTCATGCAAGACGCATAGCTAGGAGCTCAATGTTAATCATATTTAAAGCACAAGAAGAATTTGAAATTTCAGAAATTCAAACACGCATAAAATTCCTAATTAAATCACCGTAGCCAAATTTATTAGAATTACCTAAAGAAAGTGCTAAAACACTTATTAATGTCATGAAGAAACAACTTAATACAGTTCAACAACTCTCAATTATACGTTAAAAAACATATACATATACTTTGATTGCCGAAACATCCAACAATTCAAGTAAGTATGTTCTTTAAGCATATCGACTAGTTTAATTTCCTTTTATAGTCTATATGAAAAATATGCTATTTCCAGTGATAAATTCTATTTTGGTAATCTTTGCATCTTAAAAAAATTAGTTTGTGGCCTTTGTGCATAAAATATTTTTAATATAACCAAAAAATAAAACATAATTAATCACAAAGTATGAAAAATTATACTTTCAAACCCACTTTTCTTCGAAATTAAGATAAAAATGTTATCAAACAACCTTCGGAGAGATTTTCCAAAACTGTTGTGTCTTAACCTTGCTCTTATCATTCCATAAACGGTTTTAATAAAATTAACAAATGCAGCATTAGTTTTTTTTTTAATATTTTTAAATGTATACTCCCAAATCAAAGAAATAAACTTCTGATGGTCCCATTTTTGTATTCAAAAAAGATTTTTCTTTCATAATCAACTACTGGCTTTGTCCAATATTTTCATGCATAGCAGCATAACAGTAATCAAATTCGGGAGCACCATAAGTGGAGTCACCAAATTAAGGGACCTTCTCTTCCTCAATGATAGAAGGAGCTAGAAGCAGTCCTATGAGCCAAAGATTAGAGTTGCCGCACACACATGGACCATTAGCTTCAAGGGGCCTCATGGCTACAGAAAAGAAATTCACAGATGGTACAATAATTTTTTTTAACGTTGATTGTAATTGGTACAACATTTTAGAGAATACAAGAAATTTATTCAAAAGTTTCACTCGTCTAAAGAAATAGTAAATATTTAGTGTATCGTACTTGTTTGTCAAATTAATCTCATTGAACTGTATAAGAACACAGAATAAATAAAATATATTTTAAATTATAATGTGGAAATATGCACATTCAAATTATGTGGAACGTAAAAAAATATAGATTAATATCTGTTTTATATATATAGTTAAATAAAAAATTGAATTTTAAGAAGAAAAGATGAGTTAAGAGATAAGATATGGATGTATCACCATTTCACCTAATGTGATGAAAATTTTAAAATTCTTCACTCCATTCTCTCTCGATGACTCGTCTCTTTTTAATCTTCCATTTGCTATTAGTTTATCTCGATCTTCTTGTTCAACACGTACGGTGATGTTGATGGTTATGGTCCATTGATTTTCAAAAATTTATTTGAGCCTGTCATTGATAAAAAAAAAATGTAAAAGCATCTGACATATTTTTCCTTTCTTTTTCTGCGTCTGTGTGCCAATTTAGAATCTGAAAATCAATAAATATTGGAACAAGTAATTAGGAAAGAACTTGAATTAATGTCATAAAACCATTATATTTTAAGTTTCCTAAATTTAAGATAGAGATGAAAAAAATCATAAATATCCTACATAAATGAAACAGAAAAAAAAAGTTATAGAATGCCCATTTCATTTTTTTTAATAAATACATAGCAAACTTGAAAAATATGGCATTCAATTCAAATATGTTTTGAAAATTTATCACAGATCAAAGAGTGAATGGAATGTCTAATTTAAGTGACATACCTATCCATTTTGAATGACACAGCAAGGGTATAATTTGTTTAAAAAAAGTTGTCTGTTAACCCAAAAAAGAAATCAGTGTACCAAATAACTTATAATTATTCTATTTAAAGAACGATAAACGCAAAATAATATTTATTGATGAAAGATTAGAATAAAAATTACAAAGTTGGCTAACAGGATGACATTCCCCCCACTAAGTTTTAAAATTTACAGACTGAAATGAAAGCAACCGGAAAAAAGCAATAGGACGGAAGAAAAAGGTGAAGACACAAAAAGGAAATAGAGACTAACAAAAGACTGTACCCACCAAAAAATTTTAAATTCATACACATCATCATATAATATAAAGTCATTGAATTGCAACTTTGTTTGTGGTCACGTAATTTTTCTTCCCTTTCAACACACTTCTTTTATTATTTTATTTTAAATAGCATTGGTTTCATTCACATTCACCCATCTCAAATGCAATTCCCTCCTCCACACCCACAATATTAAATTCAATAAAATGAAAAAGGGAAAAAAATCGCGTGCCGATTAATCGCCCACCATAGGAATGTTCTTCGATCGTCACATTCACTCACTCTCATTCCTCGTTCACTATATAAACCCACCTTCCACTCCTTTCTTCGTCATCACAATTCAACAACACACAAACCCTTCACAAAACCTCTTTCTCCCTCTAAATTTTCTCTCTCTAGAAAAAGACCTTCACGCGAATTGCAGTAATGGCGGCACTGAACATGATTGACTCTACCTTCGAAGTTGACAAGCTCACCTACGAAATCTTCTCCATCTTGGAGAACAAGTTTCTCTTCGGCTACGGAAACGCCGAGAATCCAAAGAATTCGGTTCCCAATTCCGTTCACTTTCAGGCGAGGGACGCCAAACACGCCGCCGGCAAGGTCAGGATTCTCTGCATTGACGGCGCCGGCGCCACCGACGGCATTCTCGCCGCGAAATCCCTCGCGCATCTAGAGGCCTGTCTCCGGCGAAAGTCCGGCAATCCGAACGCGCGCGTCGCTGGATACTTTGACGCCGTCGCGGGCTCCGGCGTCGGCGGCATCCTCGCGGCGCTGCTCTTCACGCGCGGGAGGGACGGCCAGCCGATGTTCACCGCCGACGAGGCCCTGAAATTTCTCACGGATAACCGCCGCAAGATTTCCCGCCGACCTGGGATTCTCCGGCGAGTTCTCCGGCCGGCGGCGAAGGCGGAGAAGCTGTTCCGCAAGACGTTCGGAGAGTGCACGCTGAAGGACACGGTGAAGCCGGTTCTGATCCCTTGCTATGACCTCGTCACGCGCGCGCCGTTCGTTTTCTCCCGCGCCGACGCGCTGGAAATCGACGGTTACGATTTCAAGATGCGAGACGTCTGTGCTGCCACGTCAGCTGACCCTTCCTCCGTGGGCCCCACCGAGATGCGGTCCATCGACGGAAGGACCAAGATTGTGGCCGTGGATGGAGGCGTCGCCATGAACAATCCAACGGCCGCAGCCATCACGCACGTGCTTAACAACAAACACGAGTTCCCATTCTGTAACGGCGTCTCCGACCTACTTGTTCTCTCACTCGGTAACGGAGAATCCGACTTTAACGCCGTTAAGTCACCGTCTGGGTTCGTAAGGATCGCTGGCGAAGGTGCTTCCGACATGGTAAGCATTAAGAATTTCAATCATTCTCCTCTTTTTATTTTTTAATAATTAAATTGTAGTAATTGAGTTGGTAGTTAGCTAAGTAATGAATGTGCTACCTAACAAACATGTCCCGTATATTTACAAATAAAAAAATAGAGTTGTATTAGTTAGCTTAATTTAATAATTTTTTAAAATTTTATAATACTGTACATAATAAATAAATAACAAATTTGCATTATTAATGTATTGAATTACTTACAAATTAAAGAAAAAAAGGGTAATTTAATTCTTTGTTTGGAAATTCTAACGTGAATTATAAAAAATAATGTAGGTTGATCAAGCTGTATCAATGGCATTTGGGGACTGCCGAATGAGCAATTATGTGAGGATTCAGTCAAATGAAATAATGGCGAAGGGAAACAAGATGAAGACATGCAAAACGGCGTCGGATTTGTTGGGAGTTACGGAGGAGATGTTGGGGCAGAAAAATGTTGAGTCGGTTTTGTTTAAGGGAAAAAAGGTGGCAGAGAACACCAACTTAGACAAACTGGAGTTGTTTGGAGGAGAGTTAATCAAAGAACAAGAGAGGAGAAAAACCACCATTTTACCAACTGTAGTGTTAAAGAATGCCTCTCCCTCACCCAGAACTTCCTCTGCTACTACATTGTCCACTATGTCTTCTAGCAGTTAGATGGGATTAGCTAATTAAACAAGGGAGATTAGGGGGAAAGAAATCCAAAATCAGATTTCATTATGAGGTTGAATTTTTGTGTGAGTTTTTTAAGTCTTGTGGTTTTGGGTTAGCTGCCGCTTGAGATCAATTAAGGCAAATTGAATCTGAGCTGTGCAGAGCTGAATCCTTAATACTACCTACATTATATTTAATTTTTTCTTTCTTTAGTTTTTTTGGTATATATTACATGTATTTAATCAGATTCGTGTATATGGTTATTGTGAAAAGATGAATTTTGGTTAAGGTTAGAGTTGTGTTTGATTTGTGAGATTTAGATTGTACTGTTCGGTCAGAATGTCTGACACTAATGGTATCGTGACTAAATGCAGAGCACTGATTCTGGAAATTCATACACATCAGTCATGTACCGTATGTCTTTTAAATTTTAATTTTTTTTTCCAAAAAACAGAGAAGAGTTATTTTATTTTGAAAAAAAATAGAAATTAGAAATACAATGCTATTGGCTTCTCTTTTTTTTTTTTTTCCTCTGAAGGGCAATCGATTATTTACCGTGTAGGTAGTTTTATATAAGATATTTGATTATTACCAAATTTGAGAGAGTAATTATTTTTTAATCTTAATTTTTTTCTTACAAAAATAGTACAATTGAAATTACAGTTGGAAATTATATGTTTATTTGCATTCCGGTACTCGTTTTGCCTAGTAATTATTGAATTGAGTTATAATTAGTACATAGTTAAACAAACTTTTTTAGCTGCCAGCATGTTGCTAAAATCATTCATCTTAATCAAACATGTTGCTCCCAATTGGACTTGTATCCCAATGAAGGTTATATTCTGAATAAGATGGTCAATGGGCATCGCAATAAAATTGAATATGCTGCTATCCCAGAAAAGAAATGAATATGCAAAATTTACAAAACGGAATTTTGTTCAAATTTTCATACAAAACTGCTTTGTAGTACTAGGCAGACGGTACAAAAACTAATAATGGCCTTTTGAATGTTTTCTTTTTCTTTTTCTGTAATTTTTCGTTGTTTAAAAAATGTTCTCATGTATTTATTTTTTAAAATTTTAAGATGACAATTATTATTATTTGCACAATTATATTTTTATAAAAAATAAATAATAGTATACAAGATATCAAAGTAATAAATAAGAGAAATAAATGACATCAGATTATCAAAATTTAAATAAAAATGAGGCTATTAATTTTTTTTTTCTGAATCCATGTATTATTATCTGAAATAACAGCTAAAAACAAAGTGATTTAGTTATGCATTACAATACGTGGGTTGAAAAGGAAGTTTGGTTTTTCAATAAAATTTTAACGCAGGAATGAGAGATTTGTGATTTACTTCACATGTTAATCGATATATTCCTATTTCATTTATTTATTTATTTAAGTGTGTTTTTCAAAATATTGGGCTTAAAAATAAAAGCCTAGTAAACTAATGGATTAATGGGCTAGTTCAAATCGATACCAGCCATCCTGACTAAATGTACCAGCCACGCCCAACAGTTTAGCTTTGTTATGTTCTATTAAAGGTTTTCAATTGGCCCAAAGAAAATTTTTACTATTCCCAAAGGTGAATAACAGCTTTTTGACATGTTTAGTTTTTTTTACTATTTTTTTAAATGAAAATTTTTATTAGTTTCATGTAATTTTCGTTATGTGACATAGCACTTTATTATTTTATTATTTTTGTGTCACGTAAGTTTTAAACTGTTTTTTATTTCAAGAAAATAATATTTTCATAATTAATCGATCAAATGGGTTTTGTTCACAATTACAAGCACAAAGATGACAAAATGAGTCTTTTTTTTTAACACTAAGAACTAAGTTCACTCATTCAACAGGGCAAAAAAAAAAGATGCTTAATAATTTATGTGTATATTAAAATAGTAGTAATTTAATTGAGCATATTCTTTTGATAGTTTCCCAGATCCCTAAATGCGTATGATGAAGCTATTTTTCTTTTTTACTGTAATATTACATTCCGTAATTTGAAAAAAAAAATCCCTATAAATCAAACAATAATGCCAAATTAAGATAATCACATGTGATGGAAGATAATCAAAGGTTACTTCTCCATTAACTAAATTCATTAAGTCAAGACTTATATTTATTTTAGGAAAGAATCTTACAATAAACACTACAAGTAAGGAATCTATAACTCCTTTTCAAAAAGTACGATTGATTGCTTCATATTAATTATTGAATATAAATCATTTATCAACACTAATCCTTATACAATAGTTCGTTTAAGAGGCTAATACCACTGTTATATTTTCAGGGCTTTATTTATGAAAAAACGATTTTGATATTTTCATAGGTCAAACAAAATAAGCACTGGAAATTATTTATTTATGTTTTTTTATTCAATAAACTCATAAAAATAAATATTTTTTCAAAACTAAATATTATTAAACGTGTAAATCAACTAAAAAAACTCTTATAACTTACCTAATAATTTGAAGTTGTAACCTTAAATTTATATTAAAATTTGATTAAAAAGTTTTCTCCCTTAAGGCCGATTCATATTGAGTTAAAATATAACATATTTAAATTTGCGTTTAAATATTTATAGATTTACAATTAACGTTACTAATTAAAATTTTAACATTTAAATATTGTAAGTTAAAAATTTAAAAATATTATTGTTACAGCTTCGTTAATTAATTTCTTTAGAATAATAATTTAAAATTATTATTATTTACTTCTTCTAACTATAACGGTGCAACAAAAAAGATGCTTAAGCATTGTCGTTGGCAATCTTGAGATACAAAGACACCCGAAAGAAGCAAACACAGCAATTCGGCAGTGTAAAGGGGACAGAAACAACAACAAGAGTGCAGAAGATCCTTTCTTCTTGTAAGCTTTCAATGGCAGAAGAAAGCTCTGACAAAACCCTGCGAAAAATCGCAGACGCATTCAAAAACCTCGCCAGCATTGTCACCGATTCGCATAACGCAGAGGTCGAGGTTGCTCCCTTCTCCCATGCCTGCTCTCTTGTCTCTCCCCTCTTCTCTTGCTTGGGTGTCGCGTTCAAGTTCGCTGAGATGGATTACGTTGCCAAGGTATCGTGTATTCCACCCTTTTCATCATATCTCTTAATTGGGTTGGTTCTAATCTTCAAAGGGTATTTGAAAGTATGATTTTTTTATATTTATTTACTCTTTTCTTTGCTGGTTTCTAAGTAATTGCAATAGAAGTACTAAGAGCTCTTAATTTAAACCATGTTTTTTTGTTAATTTTATATTTTGTTGAGATAGTTATAGTTAGAGAAAAAGAAAATAAGTAATTTGGATCTTGTGGGGTGTTTCAGTTATTTTGTGTAATTCACTTTCTCTGTAGTGTATGCTTGCTTCATGTAATTGGTTATCATGATTTGTGAAATAAACTATGGTTGATTGCTTGATGATCATAGGTTCATGATCTAGCAGATGCATCAAAGTCTATTAAGACCTTGCAATCTATGATTGATCTGGATGTACAAGCTGATTCTGTTAGGAAAGGCGGGAGCCATACGCGAAATCTGCTGAGAGTGAAGCGCGGACTTGACATGGTCAGAGTACTCTTTGAGCAAATTCTAATCAAGGAGTATGTCTGCATCAGTTTCCGCTTTACAATTTGCTTTGTGGTGGTTTATTCTATGTAGATATTGCTAAGTTTTGCGATGAACAATTTTAAGACTAAACTAGGTGCCAAAGAGTGAAAATAGAGTGCAATGAAGCTGGAGGGCTCCCTTCAACTTTTTAATCCGTGGGTGCTAGATAATCAATGTGGAATAGGGAGATTGACGATTGATCTCTTCCCCTTTTTTAGTATGAATAAAACCATAAGGAATTTAAAATTCTACACTTACCACTTTTTATTTATTTATTTAGTTTGTGTTTGCAAACAATGGGATTGGGAGGAAGATAGATGGCTGGCCTAATGGTGAGTTGAACCTTGGGAGTTTATAACATCTCAATCTTAAAGCTGGGGATACCATGTGTGTATACATAAAAACTAGTTGAATGATATGTTCATTTGTGGTTGTTCTTTATATATTTTCATATTATTTATGTTCATTCCATCAATAACAGGAACAATCTGTTAAGGCTGGTGATCACTCCAATTATTTTCTCTTCTCTATTACCTTTATAATTGGTAACTAGTGACCAGTAAGCATACTCCACTCCTCCCATCGACCAAGTGGTTCAGATTCCTCTGATCAGTTTCATGGCCAAACCATTTTGAACCAGAAAAATAGAAGAAATTGATTACTAGAGAATACTTTACTTTTTCTTTTATGCATACGGGGTCTTGCTATGGTACTGATTAAGAAATCAATAAATAAAATTTGTTTATTAAAATTATTAGAGAGAATGCTTTGGAAATCATGATAGAGGTGCAGTTATAACATTTATATATATATATATATATATATATATATATATATATATTTATTTATTTATTTATATATTTATTTTTTATTCCTTAACCTGTGCCTTAAATACAGTTGTTAGAATTCTTCTTTGTTTATATTTAAATCTATTGATTATTAAGTTGTTTTCGAAAGAACATGGTTTGTCCAAAAGGGATTGCTTTCTGTCATTTGGTCAAGTCTCAGGGAAGAAAATCATGAATTTACCCTTTATTTTGGTGAAGTTATCTTTTTGTTAAATAAAAGCTATTATTCAAGAAGCTTTGAATTTCGACTTCTAGAGTTTTTCTGGAAGATTTCATACAACTTTTGAGAAAATTTTCCAAATTAAACACACCCTTAGCCTTGGTTTGTTCATAAGAACTTTCTTTAACAGCAGAGAATTACATGCTTCATAGCAAAAAGTGATCATCTTCATAGCTTATTGTGCAAAGATGGGTTACATCATGGATACATTTTTTAAATTAATTAAGGGTTATTTATCATATTAAGTAATCAGCACAGCAAACACTTATAAGAAACACAGGGTGTTAGCTCTGATAGTAAATGAGCTGAGTTACTGTATGTCTTTTTGGCAGGGGAAATTCCCTTAGGGATCCAGCTTCCAAGGCTTATGAACAGGTATTTGCTCCTTACCATGGTTGGGCAATCCGGAAGGCTGTTTCCGCTGGAATGTATGTCCTTCCTACGAAGGAACAGCTTTTGAATAAACTCAATGAGGATGGTAAGTGTAGAACTAAGTTTGCTTGCACTTTTTTTGAACTTTAAATCCTGCAAATTTACTGCAAAGTGTATTTGGGTCTAGTGCTTGGTCAGGAGAGCCAGGGAGGGACAGAGATGATTTATGTGTGAAGTCTATTTACAGTGAATTAGTAATGGTCAGCACTTCATCATATTTTCCTAGTCCCTACCTATTCTAAGTTAGCAGTTGCATCATGCATGCCTTTTTTAACCTTGAAGTTCAGGGCATATTAGTCTTAGTCTGCAACCCACATTTTGATTATAAAACTTCTCCTTAAGATCCAACTTTACCCTTTAGCCATGACTGTATCTCCTTTGCAGCTCATAAAAGCATTAACCTTTGAAACCTACCTGAAATGAATTCTATGCTCGTATGTCCTTTGCATGCTGTTACAAGAGAGTATCACAGTGAGAATAGTTGAATTAAAAGTGAAACTAATGATTTTTGTAATTTTTAATTAATTTTAGTCAATAATAAAAAATATATTTAAAAAAGTGTATTGTTGTTAACATTTCTCTTTTGTTTAATCATATTGTTTCTTGGTACTATTCTATTTATCATTCTTTGTCAAAGGTAAATCAAGACGGTTGGTGTCGGAGATTATCTTATTCAAACTTGTCTTGTGAATTGAAATTGATGGGATTATGGTGCTCATTTTTACTTTCTTTTTTCTTTGTTGTTGGCATCTTTTTGCTTCAGAGGCGTCAGCAAAAGTCCAAATGCAAATTTATGTCACGGCATCCCAATCTCTAATCCAATACATTGACAAACTCTTTGTTTCTAGAGACTTGGGAATAGATTGGTGAACCTTGGATTGAATTCAGATTGTATAATGTAATTTGCTATTATATGAGATAATTATTGTATCTATGATTACTAACACTGCATTTATTATAGAAATTGTTTAATTAAATACTAATCAGTGTCCTAAGTACTTAAAAGTAATTTTTTTGTTCGAAAACGTAAAACTACATCCACTCTCATAGTTTTCAATATATCATAACACGATTTTCAATAAAACTTGCAAAATCCTTTGTTTATATTTCAATTGATGTTGGTACTGGTTTACTGGCTAAGCATTTCTTGCAGTTTTTTAAGGATTACATGCTTGTTAATTTTATTTCTCACTTCAAACTTTTCGTGTTTGAATTCTTTGATGTTTTGATTTACTACAGTCTGATATGTATATAACTATTACAATATTAGATTTAAATACCGCATAGAATCCCTGAAACAACATCAATGCTTCAAGATCAGCATCCTGTGGCAAAACAAACTTTGACGGGTTCAATAGCTAATATGACATTTTCCTTAATTAAAGTAAATAAAAATACTAAAGGATTCTATTGAAAAATCAAAATCATAGTTTTCAAAAACCAGGGAGTAATTTACTTCTTAACTTTTTACTAAAACTGGAATAGGATTCTACATGCACTTACTAGATAAAACTACACATCAATAAAGGATGACATGTTACATTAAAAAAAACCTATCAGCCATTTCAACGTGTTGAAAAAATTTGCAATAGCAGTCACAGTCACAGTAGTATGTGATGGAACTATGGATTTTAAGCTGTGGGAACATTATAAACAACTCTTTTTGGAGTGTTCCAATAATATCCTTTAAGTGAAAATTGGAGATTAATTTCCTTTAAAGCTTAAAAATTATTGAAGTGAATTTTGTCCCTTTAAATATGGTTTTTCCATGAATATAACTTCAAGAAACTTAATTATTTATCAACTGTGCTAAACTTTATTAGTAATACAACACACACACACACTACATATATGTAATATCATGTCTTTGACGTTACAGCCATTAAGTTTATACAATGTTCTATTTTTATCTTCTTAAATTCTCAATATTTAGAAGTCATGTTAAACTTCAACTAACCTGAGTTGAGTTATTACTTGATTTTTTTTTATGGACAAAAACTTATACACATGCTATAGGTATTAATGTTTTCTTTTTTCAATCAAAATAGACCATCTTAATAATACAACTGATTTCAGTGATCGAGTAGAAAGTAACATCATTAGTCCTTGGTACTATATTTAGGTTTTAATTTTTTTTTTACATTTACAAAATTAAATTGACATTTTTAAATGTAAGGATGAAAATATATTTAAATTTGTATACAATTCTAATTCTTAATTTGAATATTAATTTTAATTTTAATAATAATATTAAAATTAAGAGTATGGATAATGTAAAAGTTAAATTTGATTCTATAGGTTTATTTCATTTAAGTCAGCTCCAATTAATTTTGATTAGGTGATAACTAAAAAATAAATAAATACAAAAACCCTAGTTTTTTTTAGTTCAAATTGATTAATTTTTATAAAAAAAAGGTTAATTGAAAGTCAATTGCATTAATTTTTTTAATTATCAATACTGGTAATTACTTTTCAGTTATTTAAATATAATTTTTATAAAAATGGTTTTTTTTTTATTATCAATACTCATAACTACTTTTAAGTTATGTAAATATAATTATGGTTATACATATAAATAAACAACTAAATAACTTTTTTCTTCACACGATGATTTAAGACATAACTTGGAATATTAAACAAGTTTAAATAAGCTAAAAATTCAGAATGTTTTGATACATTATTCTAAGTATATCTTTTATGTCACAGTTATCATTCTGTCAACAACTTAAAACATGTGATTTGATTATTTCATGTGATCATGGGAGAAGAAAAATATCATTAAACTCTTATTCATAAAAAGAAAAAATGTTTATATTTAATTAACTCATTTAGTTGTTTAAAATTTAATTTTAAATAAATTTTGTCGTTAAACGTAGCATGCCACTTAATTAAAACGTCTAAATGCAAAAGTGGAGATAGGTTATAAAAGATATTTAAACCTAAAAAAAGAAGGAGGAAAAACAAAGGTGCATTCTACAAAGTAAAACGAAACCAAACAAGGAACAAGTGAGTCCTCCTGTTTTGGTCTCTTCGATTTCTTCTTCCACAACAGTGACTCACTCTTCGAATGCATCATTTTCATTTTCACATTCATATTTCCCATTCAAATCCCTAATTCACTTCAAACCCATCCATTTCCCAATCCCAATGGAGGATTCCGAGGGAGTCCTCAGCTTCGATTTTGAGGGCGGCCTCGACGCCCCTCCCGCCTCCACCGTCGTCGCCGCCTCCGCCGCTGGACCCCTCGTCCAACACGACTCCTCCGCCGCAGCTTCTGCTGTTGCTAACGGAGGCGCAGCAGCTCCCTCCCCTGCTGACCCCGCCGCCGGCAACGTCCCCGGACGGCGGAGCTTCCGGCAGACGGTGTGCCGTCACTGGCTTCGCAGCCTCTGCATGAAAGGCGACGCGTGCGGGTTCTTGCACCAGTACGACAAAGCGCGGATGCCGGTGTGCCGGTTTTTCAGACTCTATGGAGAGTGCCGAGAACAGGATTGCGTGTATAAGCACACTAATGAAGATATCAAGGAGTGTAACATGTAGGTATTTGTGTATTATGTATATGTTCGTTCCTATTTAGGGTGTGAATTTGATGATTGATTCTCAGTCTTTTAGTTTTTTTGGTTGCTATAACATGTATGCCGTGTGTTTGAGCTGTTTCTTGCTTGATTGTGAGTTTTGATGTGAAGGATTCGGTGCTATTAAGGTGTTTGGTTTGAAGATTTTGGTTGTAAATGCTTTTGATTTCATAATTACAAATTGTTTGATGTATACTACACTATGGTCTAGTTTGGATAAGCTTTTGACCAAGTGTTTATAGAAGAAAATAGGGAGGTAAAATGCATAAAACTTTTCTTGTAAGTTAAAATTGACTTGTGCAATTAGGGTTTGGTAGAAGTTAAATGAGAGTATTTCTAAGAAAACCGAAGGGTATAAATTGATTTTAATTCACAGGAGAAGTTTAATTTATTTAACTTTCTTATTTTCTTCTCCTATAAGTACTTATTGAAAAGTTAATCCAAACTGGGCCCTAGACCATTTGATTAGACGAAATTAGTGATATTTTTTAGGTTTAGACTGATAGCTGGAGCCTTGGCCCTTGGGAGATAGTGAATGTGCAATGAGATCAAATGCTCTGTCCTTTTGTTCTTTTTCCTGATTAAACATATTTATTCTATGTTTTATGTTCGTTGTGCATTTCTTTTTAGCTGCCGGACTGTTTGGAAGCATGTTTTTTGAGCAATGGGTTGGTCTATAACAGTTGCATGACTCATTTCAGGGGTTTTGGGAGAAGAAAGATGGGTAAAATTATGTGGAGAGTTGTGATAGTTTGGAAGATGGTGTTTTTCACTGGAGGGAAATGAGTTTTTTAAAAGAAGTTTCTACCTTATTTGTTAATGATGTAGCATTACTTCTTGGGATCATTATGATGTTTTGGTGATGAAGTTTTACTTGGAGTTGCCTTTTTCGATGGATATTCTAAGAGATTGGAAGGATTTATTGGTTTGTTGTGCTTGGATTATGTATGCTGTCCTCTTTTTTAAACTTTCAGTGTTGTATGCGAGGATTTGCTATTCTGCTTTTGTTTCATTTTTGTATTATTTACTCCACTCTTTAATAAGCACTTTTATTCTTTTTCAAAAGAAAAATGTTTTTGTTCTATGTCAGATTAGTTCTATTCTGTTCTAGTTTAATTTCTTTGCTCAAGATAAGATTATCAAATTGCATGTTTATGATTTAAAAATTTCTCAACCTGCAGGTACAAGTTGGGATTTTGTCCTAATGGGCCTGATTGTCGATATAGGCATGCAAAATCTCCTGGACCTCCACCTCCTGTTGAAGAGGTCCTTCAAAAGATCCAACATTTATATTCTTACAATTATAACGCCTCTAATAAATTTTTCCAACAAAGGGGTGCTAGCTATACTCAACAAGTTGAAAAATCCCAGCTTCCTCAAGGAATTAATTCTACTAACCAAGCTGTGGCTGGGAAAACATTACCAGCAGAGTCAGGAAATGCCCAGCAGCAGCAACAAGTTCAACAGTCTCAGCAGCAGGTCAGCCAGAACCAAGTGCAAAGTGTTGCTAATGGCCAGCCTAATCAAGCCAATAGAACTGCAACCCCTTTACCTCAAGGAATATCTAGGTGTGTTCAGAGTCTTGTAGTTTTCAATTGGGCTATGTAAAGTCTGTTATGAGTATGCTTACCCTTATGTTAATACTTTAAGCAAGCTACATATTTAAGTAACTTTGTTTGGGAGTTTATACCATCATTTGCCATGTGTAACTAGTTTCTCTTAAAGTTACTGCTGTCTACAGGGCAGTTTACGCATACATTTCAGGCTGTACAATTCTGGCTATTTACACACATTTTTTAGTTTATTTCATGCATTTTCTGTTTTCTTTTACTGCTATTGAACTTTGAAGCATTTAAACTTAATTCAATGAACTATACATAGTCCTCATTCTAGTTTCCAGGTCATCATGTAAATATGATTCCTAAGCACACTAAGCATCAACTTCTTCACTACTTAATGTTCAAACTTGTCAGGCTATTATTACTCATTACCTGAATAAAAGTTTTGATGGGCCATTGACTCTTGTATATATGAGGAGAGGAAAAGAAATAAAAAGGAAGAAGATTCTAACAGTAGTGAAAGCCTGTTGGTGTAAGGAAGGAGAGAAGAGAAAGAGAAAAATGGGATAAGGATGGAAATATGATGAAAGAAGGAAGTGAAGGAGTGGAGAACGTTAGTCTTTGAAGAATTAAGATGAAACTATGTGTGTTCTCCTCCTGGTAAATTCTTTATTATATGTTTAATGCAATCCAATTTCAGCCCTTTGTAACAGCTAAACTATTGAATAAAAAAAATATTTTACAGTTACATATTTTCACCTATAACTGCTGGATTTGAAAGGCTTGCTTATTTTAAATGACCAATGTAAATCATGGCAATAAAAGACTAGCCAATGCCCAAATTTCTTTGACATCCCCCTTCAAATTGATGCTGGGAAGTCTACAAGTAACAAATTGTTAAGAAGAAAGTTATGTTGCTAACGAGACATGGATTCAGTAAAGATTTCAGCTATAGGTTTGTTGAAATATGGGTAAAGAAAAATAACACAACAATCATATGCTTCTTGGATAGACTGGCGCTTTGTGCAATTGTGGTATATTGGATTAGCTGCAATTTGGATGGATCTTTTATTGGAAAAGTCTTGTACTTTTGGCTTGCCATGTGCTGCATACACCGATAAGTTAGTTTTTAGTTTCTCTGAGAGTGTTTGAGTGGAAAGGCCTTGTTCCTCATGAAGCAACTCATTGAGGCAGACCTCCAAGGATGGGCTTGTTCATAAGATTGGACTGTGTACCTTTAAATTCAGCTGACGTTGATAAGGAATTCATCTTGTTTCGTGGTCTCATGGACAAATTGAACTGAACTAAGACCTTTAGAAGTGACATTTTGATAGACTATACCAATATATTCTGTCCAAAGATTTATATAAGTGGAATGGAATTCAGAAATAGACAAATATTCTGTTGACAATTTGTGAAGTGTTCAAGCTGAAATCTACAAGTAGTGTTATTCTGACTGAATATCTATTTTAGGTAAGCTCACATGTCGGCAACACTTTTGAGAGGTAAAAAATGGAGGACAGTTTGGTGCCCAGTAGAGCCTAGAATCCATGCCATAACCTGGGTGTCCTTTACATTCCACTTTGTGTGATCATCCTTGTGTTTAGCTATGTCTAGAGGTGGGGTGGTGCCATCAACTTGACCCTACAAATCCTTGCTGGTTACAAATAATTAATAATGGGAATGCCCAGGCGGAATAATTCTTGTCTCTGAGACGAAACAAGAAGGCTTCATACTTGTTAGTTGACATTTTTCTAAGTAAATTTTAGGATGAAAAATCAAAGAACTTGAACAGAGGAAAAGAAATGAAGTGACAAGAGGGATTTGGGAAAATTAGGAATTTTTGGTTGTATTGTAGACTTGATTGAACCCAACTGGTATCATGTTAGACTTGGAAGAATTAAGATAGAACTGTGTGTGATCTTGTGGAGAATTCTTCATCATATAAGATTTAATACAACCTAATTATTGGCTTTAACAGCTAAACTATTGAATACAAAATATTTTATAGTTACATATTTACTGCTGTAATTGCTGATTTTGAAAGACCAGCTTGCTAATTTTAAATGACCAGTACAAATCATTTCAGTAAAAGACCAGCTGATACCCAAATCTCTCTGACAAAAAATGCTTGAGAGAGGGGAATGCCTAACAGACTGGGCAGCTGGTAACAGGTGACTGGGGGAAGAAAATTGGAGATTAGAAGAGGAAAATCATATGGTGGAGGGGCTGGAACGAGAGGGTGGTGTTTGAGAATTTTCAGGTAGAGGAGGTGTGGCCTTAGACAGAAGGAGTGTGCACTAATATTCCTATTTTTCTTCCTTTTCACTTTTTTTTTTGTCTTTTGCTCTGTGACTGGTTTCAGCACAGTTTGGGGTGGTTTGGTGTTTCTACTGTTGATTTTGTGTTTACAGAGAAATTTTCGGTCGTAAGGAGCTGAGGTTCATTTCTTTTAGTTGAATACTATTCTGATTTTTAGTCTTGGCACATTGAAGGTGGGGGGATTTTTCATACAAAAAGAAAAGTTTGACATATTAAAAGGAAAAAATGTTAGAGTAGCTTCATCAGTTTGATATTATAATTCTTTTTTAGGTCATTGTCATGTGTTCTATCTTTCTCTCTACTTTTTACGATATTGATCCTTTGTTTCTAGAATGTAAACTAGCATTACCTGCTGCATGAATTAAATCATTGCCCATGTGAATATGACGTTACTACATTATGATGTACTGGTCCAGAAGTTTAAAGGTGGATAAGTTTTCATGAGGAACTCTTGTTCACATTTTGAGTAGTTAAATAAACCTATAAAGTATTGCTTCTGTTGAATCACTTTTTCTCACCTGTATGAATTTCACTAATATACTTTTCCACTAAAACCTTAGGTATTTTATTGTTAAAAGTTGCAATCGGGAAAATTTGGAGTTATCTGTACAACAAGGAGTATGGGCAACTCAAAGGAGCAATGAATCCAAACTAAATGAAGCATTTGACTCTGTGGAAAATGTGATACTAATTTTCTCAGTCAACCGAACTCGACATTTCCAGGTATGTTTTGTATTAAGTCTCCCACTTGAGAAGGTTTGTTAAATTTGTTGCATTTAGGCCAGGGTCTCTTTATTGTCCAATTGCAGTGTTAGAAAATATTGAGCGTCACTTAAAAATGTAGTGTGCTTCTAAATTAATTTTATTTGATTTCTAACTAATTGATAGATTAGATAGGACTTGGAGGCTTACTGTAGACTTAATTATGGGCTAAGAGTAAGAAATCCCTTGTCAGTGTAAGAATTAATAAATTTCTCAGTTAGTAACTACTTAAAATAATCAGAGGAAAATTCATATTTAACATTATGATTGGACCATGTTGACTTTTTGGCACCCATTTTTTAAATCTTTAACACCCTCTTAGTGTAAGGTACTTTCTTGAAAGTGTTGTTGGTGAGGTTAGTGCTGCTTTCTGATGAATAGAAACCTCTAAAACCTGATATTAATCATCGGTTGTTTGGTATTGTTAATGGTGGGCTGCTTTTGGCCTTTATATCTCAAATTTTCAATGGCACATTGAGTTCTCTGCTAATATTGCACGCAATATATCTAAAAATTTGCTTGCTTTGATTTGAACGCTTCTAGAAATAGATCAATGATTGATTTTAGAAGCTTCTAGCACTTTTAATACTATCTCTAAAATAATTAATATTTAATTTAGATTGCAATGAAGGATAAAAATCACAGCTCTTTATAAAAGAAATTCCATTTTTGGTAGTTTTATTGGACATTTAATCAACTGCAAATGTTTGTGTAGCAGTGCTTATTTATTTAATGGAAACTTCTCTTAACAGTTCCTTATAAAATCTACAAGTAACCCGCTAAACTTATCATTTAAATGCCCAAAGTAAGTCATAATGGATTAGTGGGAAAATGGATAGTTGATGCTGCTGCTTTGATTTTCTTGTGATGTTTAAATTTGATGTTTTCAGCATACAGAAACATGTTAACCCCACTACTATTGTATTGTTGCTGGCTATGCTGATAATTTAATTCCACAAGAGGGATAGTCATATAATTTTCAAATCTGCATTATGTTTACCTGATAGGTTACTTGAATCATTTATTGACTCCTGTTTCACTAAGTTAATCAAATGTCAAATGTTGCCCATCAGCAAAACAATTTTTAACTATAAAATGAAAAAGAATCCTTGAATGGCTTTACTTTGGCTGTGGTCAAGCCACTGAACCTGATGCTATGTATGTTTTGGCAGGGATGTGCAAAGATGACATCCAGAATTGGTGGTTCTGTTACTGGTGGGAACTGGAAATATGCTCATGGAACTGCACATTATGGGCGGAATTTCTCTGTTAAGTGGTTGAAGGTATAAAATCTCTTCCAACAACTTCGATGAATTATTTTATGAGGGAAAGCAATTGTCTTGTAGGTGAAACCAAACAACTCTAGCAAACTTTGTAGGAGCAAGCAAAAGGGAAACAAAAATTACAAATTACTTGCTGGAGAAATTTTCAAGCATTTCTATTTACAATACAGTTTAATATGTAGAGTGGTCCGTGTGGATCCAGTGTATTAACACCTGATATATGGTTTCTTAGTGCTGACATTCAGCATCTGTTTTTCAAAGATATTTTTCTACTGAACTGTCACAGTTCCATACTAATTATCTTCTAATGTGCTCCTATCTTTGAAGAAAAGAGCTACTTTGTTTAGACATGGGTTTCGGAAGAAATTTTAGAAAGATACTCACGATTATCGCAGCCTTGAAGAAGCTCTTGACTGAGAAAGCTGCTTCATTGATCTGACTTCTGGCACCCATTATTTTCATCTTCTATCCAGATGTGCAATTTAATTCTCATTGGAGATTTCAAATTTCTGCCCTTCCAAATAATTTTCTAGCCACAAAATGATCATCCATTACCTGCCTTTATGTGTGGCTGTTATTGAATATCAGCAGTGACCATTCATTAGATATTTAGTTTAGCATTTGACAACTGCTCAATAACTCAGTTGAGCAATAATTTCATCCAAAAAGAAGAAAAGAAGTTAGGTGTTGTTATTTTGGAGGAATTCAATTACCGTGTTTATTTTTCTTGGGTTGCAGAAGAGAGGGGGAAAAAGAATCCATTTTCAAACAAATTCTTACGACCTATGTAGCTGTGAGCTGCCTAACCAAAAAATAATATAATTTCCTTTTTCATTGTTTACTAGAGCTGCCTAAATTAATGCTTTTGTGTCATAGCTTCAGTTACTGCGAGAAATTTGTACATGTACCAGTATATATGAAAATTTTCTGTGCATCAAATAATCTGTTTAATTGCATTTCTTATTTGCAGTTATGTGAACTGTCATTCCACAAAACTCGCCATTTAAGGAATCCATACAATGAGAACTTGCCAGTGAAGGTATTGTTTTTCCTATTTCTATGGTCTAATTTAAAGCGTGATGAGAGCTGTTTTCTTGCTTTACTCTTGACTTGCTGTGCTATTTTTTTTGAGTGATTATATAGAAAAAAAAAAAGAAGGTTTTTTGAAGTCACTTATTTCTTGAATATGTCGAGGATTGGATCCATCTGACTGTTGATGTGATCCTTATTAAAATGTTACTGGTCCACATCCCCCTTAGTTTGAATTTTACGGTACTTTCTTGGTTAATATATATTTTGCTACCTCAGTTCTTTTGAGCAGCCATTCTGCATCACCACTTAATAGGGAATCTAGGTTCTACCAAACATAATAGATAAATAGGCAGTCTTTTACCACTTTTGACCATTGGTTGAATATCATTAACAGCTGAGAGTTGATCTATGTCTGGCCATTGGTGTAAGTCAGCAACATCAACCAGCTTCCTAACGATGAGACCTAATGATAAATTTCAATTTCTAGCTACGCAAGGTGGATGCATACTTATTGTGGATCCTAAAATTAGGATTTAATCTCTAGACTTTCAGTTTAGATTTTTATAGTGCCATATTACAGAAAGTGGTATTGATATGTAAATGACAAGAAGACCAGGAACCAACCATTTTTGAGTGGTCCTGACTTTTATGGCTGCTCAAGAGTTTGAAGATATGCCATTTGAAGTTTCATTTCTGTGTAGATGTTGCATGTTCTGTATGGATAAAATGAAATATATTTTCAAATCATTGAGCCATGTGTGCTCACTGCTCACAGATCTCAGCAGTAGTGGTTGTTTTCCTTGTTCTGTTTATGTTACTTCCCAAATTGTTCATCCAATTCTATTTTTGAGTAGTATGGTACACTTGTACATTAGTTAATACCTGACTGGAATTTTATTACTATTAGATATGAAACCATTTATGAGCTTTCACCTAACAACTTAAGCTTTTGAAAAGAGTCAGTTCATGACAAGTACTAAATATTCTGGGTGTAAGTAATTGCAGATAAGCAGAGATTGTCAGGAGCTGGAGCCATCCATTGGAGAGCAGCTGGCATCCTTGCTATATCTTGAGCCGGATAGTGAGCTTATGGTATGTTTTCCTTTCAGTTGTCATCTTGTTTCTGTGAATAGAATCTGATAATCATGATGTACAAATGAGAGAAGAGCAAAATGGTTTCCTTCTTACAGTGAGAAATTGACTCTGGATTGGTATGATATTTATTTTACCTTGAAATATGATGGAACCTTTTAAGGAATTCTTAAACATGATTATTAGGTTTCTATCAATAATCTTATATAGTTCAAAGTCCTTTGAAAAGACATGATACCATCAGACTCGTTAAGGTTGGTTCAGGATTCTACAATAGGCACATGTTGTTTAGAGCTGTCACCCGTAGAGAGAGAGAGAGAGAAGGGGGGGGGGGGACCTTGTAAGAAATATATGGGAACCTTTTATGTGAGAAAACTTGGAGCCTCATTTTTTTTGGTATGATAGTTAGTGTCCCGAGGCTCCTTAATAGTTACCTAATTTCTCAGATATTGGTCAACACTCAAAAAGTGTTAATACTAACCTTAGTGAGCAGTGTCAAGTGGCAAGATACAATAGCATAATATTATAGTCGAGACTTTTCTTTCTCAAAGTTCTTGTGGATCAAATATTCTCTTCTATGAGCACTGGAGTTGAAGTTTTGGGGATTAGATAGAAATTAGATAAAGGGAAAAATCTAAATTTGTTTACTAATTAAGCTGAATAATTAAAAGGTTAAATTACTCTAAGTTCTCTCAGTTTTACTGAATGTTAGGATAGGTTCCTATAATTTCGAAGATTTTAACTAGGTCCATATACTTCTAGTATTTTTGAAAAGATCCTCAGCTTTCACAATAGATCCTGTTGGCTGACAGCTATTCGATGGACTTCATAATTGAGTTTAATGATTAGCCGGGACCTACTTGAAAACTTAATTAAACCATTGTGTCTTATTTAAAATCCTATTGAACTAAACTATAAGTCACCATTAAAACGGCTTTACAATCCAGGAGTTTGTGCTGATCCTTGCCCCATCGGGCATATTTTTTACAGCTGGAACGTATGTGATGCCATCTGCTTTATAGAGAATTTCACTAAATTTCTTGTTTAACAATCTTCAAATATTTTATGTTTAACGTTTCATTTTACTTTTATTCCTAGCGTATGGGGGTGTCTGGGTCCCAGTTCTGTGGCGTAAAAACAAACCATGTTCAAACATGCTAAAGTCAAGAGCTTGGGCTTGGCAATAATTTGTTATTTACTTGGTATCTATCAAGAGTCAGTTATTTTAGTGGATGAATGTCAGAAACATAAACTGCAGTATTTAATTTTAAGCATTGGAGTAATCTTGGCTTTCTTTCTCATATTTACAGGCTATCTCAGTTGCAGCAGAGTCTAAACGGGAAGAAGAGAAAGCAAAAGGAGTGAATCCAGATAATGGAGCGGAAAATCCAGACATTGTCCCATTTGAAGACAATGAAGAAGAGGAAGAGGAGGAAAGTGATGAAGAGGAGGAGAGTTTTGGTCATGGTGTAGGGCCAGCGGGTCAAGGCAGAGGTAGGGGCAGAGGTATGATGTGGCCGCCTCATATGCCCCTTGGGCGTGGAGCTAGACCCATCCCTGGAATGCAAGGTTTTAACCCCGTAATGATGGGTGATGGGTTATCCTATGGACCTGTTGCACCTGATGGTTTTGGTATGCCAGATCTTTTCGGTGTGGGTCCCCGAGCTTTTGCTCCGTATGGTCCTAGGTTCTCTGGTGATTTTGCAGGGCCCCCAGCAGCCATGATGTTTCGTGGGCGACCCTCTCAACCTGGGATGTTTCCAGGAGGTGGGTTTGGGATGATGATGAATCCTGGACGTGCTCCCTTTATGGGGGGGATGGGGGTTGCTGGTGCAAATCCACCAAGAGCTGGTAGGCCAGTTAATATGCCTCCAATGTTTCCACCACCTCCACCTCTACCTCAGAATGCAAACCGCGTTGCCAAACGAGATCAAAGAACTAATGATCGGAATGATAGGTATGGTCCAGGATCAGAGCAAGGTAAGAGTCAAGACATGCTCAGTCAAAGTGGTGGACCTGATGATGACATGCAGTATCAGCAAGGATACAAAGCAAACCAGGATGATCAGTATCCTGCTGTGAACAACTTCAGGAATGACGATAGTGAAAGTGAGGATGAAGCGCCCAGACGGTCAAGACATGGGGAGGGGAAAAAGAAAAGGCGAGGCGTAGAAGATGTTAACACAAGCTCTAATCATTAGCTCATGCTTTCACCAAGCACTGCATATTGATGATCCACTAACCAGGATATGCTAGTTTTCAATGCTTCTATTTTTGTCAGATTGTTTTGTATGAGTTTTTTTTTTCCCTTCTGAGACCTGAGGACTGGGTTGCTGCAGAAAAGAATTATACCTCTGTTCGTTGGTCATAATTTTCACATAAGGTTCATTGGATATATAATTTAATGTATCAGGATTAAGATGGTAACTAGTAGGCTCGATGAATGTACACCGACGTATTTGTAAAGGGATCGTGACATTCGACTTCTCTCAGTGAAAAATGTGGGATGATTTATACCTTACAAAGCATTTAGTTTATGGCACAGGTTCAGGCCCATTTGTGTCCGGATAACAGCAGTTTTTATCCTTTAACTAACACTTTATGGAGTCTCTAAATATCCGTGCTAGGTTTTGATGGGAACCATCTCTCAAATCAAACGGGAAGCGTAATCTGGGGAAAAAATAGAAAACGAAAAGTAATGGGTGTTGAGAACATTGCTGCTTGAAGTATAAGGAAAGGTTTTATAATGGATAAAAGTATGTTGGTAGATGATAATATATTGGTCCTTTCATATTTTTTTGAATAATCTTTTGTGGGAAGGGTATAATAATTAAATCTTTGTATATTTACATCAATGTTGATTTTTTTTTAAGGTTTTTCTGTTCGTCAAATTTCATGTTCTGCATATTATTAATTTATTATTACATTTTTCTGTCTATTTTGGAGCCGATATATCAGCGCAAAATAGAAATACTCATGGCTTTAATTATCAATACTTATTTACTATTAGTTTGAAGGTTTGTCTCAATAATGATGTCAGTAGGAATATCCTGATCAAACATTGCAATGTCTTAGTAGTGTCCTTAACAAAATATTTAAGCAAGTTTTTAAATTAATATAGCAGGGGTATATTCCTCCCAAGTAGACAACATAAATGGCAAGAAAATATAAACAAATGCAGGAGGATTGAGTTCATAAATAGAAGACTTCAAAATCTCACACCAGATAAACCCAGTGAGAATCCTTCAATGCGACATCCACAGAAGCAACACGTTCCTGATCCAGCATGCTTTGCTAAATTCATCTATTTTATTTCATCCATGACGTTTCCAAATTCATTTATTACTTCCACTAGGGATGATGAAGAAAAAATAGTTCCATTCAATTACTTATGATCCAAGATAGCATATTGGATAATGATATTAATATTTTAGTCACAAATGATATTGCTTTATGTCTAATTTCCTGCATTGGCTGCAGTTATTAGCAGCTTTTGACTGCGAAATTGATAGAAACATCACTTTTTATTTATAGATTGGATCCGTGTATGATTAAAAATATTAGGAAGAATATTGGTAAAAATTCTGAAGATTTTGAATTCTTTATCTAGTTAACATATTTTAGGATACAGTATTTTAAATTCTCTTAAAAATTGAATTTCTATCTTAAAATCCCCCATTCAATCAAACTGTTGAAGTTAACTATTTTATAAATAATGGGAACTTAACCAAAAGCTTGGTTTTCCAAGTGCTTTTCAACCTAATTTTGAGTATCTTAAGCTGAAGTATCATCTGTAATCCTTTTTGATATTGTAACAACTCAATCAATCTTGAGCCGCGGCATAAGATAATTAATTTTCCCAAATCTACCATACCAACATAAAGGTTGTGCCTTCGAAGTCTTGGTTAAAGCAATGGCTAATTCGTGAATATTCTATTTTAATGACAAACAAAATGCAGTTTCATTACTACATTATTTCACTTTCTTATGGTTATTTATATATGGTTGTCAATTAATTACGCAATATATAATAACAACAAATCACTATTTAATTAGTTAATTTTGATTTATTTGTAGTTTAGGTCTCTATAATGTAAAAAACTATAATTTTAGTTCCTTCAAAATTAGGTTCGCTTAGTCTTTCTGTTTTTACAACCAAGAAATTTTGGTCTTGCTTTTGAATTTCTTCTACCTAATTAAGAACCTTAGAAGTCCTAATTTCTATAAAAATATTTAGGTTTTTAAGATGGATTTAGGATATAAAATAAATTTAAAGGTTTATAAGTTAAAAACAAATCAAATTTGATAATTTTTGAAGGATTTTATAAGATACAAAATTATAATTTGAAGAGTGAAAATTTATTTTTTGTATTTTGTGCAAAATTTAAGATGTGTTGGTGAGTTTTGAGAAGATGAAGATTCAAAATAATTTAATTAAGATAATTCACGAAAATTTTTATTATAAAAACAATGTTTAATTTAAGAGTTTTGGTTTTAAAATAATTGATTGTAAGAGCAAATTTACTTAATTTAAAAAAAATTTATTTGGCTAAAATATAAAACTTATGGGACTAAAATTATATAAAGTTCAAATTAAAAGATAAAAAATATAATTAAATATCAATTTCATATAAAACCATTTTTAGTATAAATAAAATGAAATATCTTTTGTTATTTTTTTTTTGGAAAGTAATTTTTTTTATGATTTGTAAATGCAAAAAATTTTACTTTTTTTTTGGCTATGATTACCTAATGGTACAAATTATTCAAAGTCATTTTATACTTTCTGTTTTGTTTTTCTTTGGAACAAATCAAGGGTATTTTTTATACACGATATCAAAATATAGTATACATATGTATCTTTTATATATATATATATATATATATATATATATATATATATATATATTATATTTTAGTTCGAGTAATATTAACAAATACCATTAAGGACCTTAAAAAAAAGTACCATTAAGATTCTGGTTCATGAATTGATTTTTTTTTTAAATATCATTCACATTTTTTATTATGATCTTGAATACAAATTTATTTTAAGTTTATAACAGTTATTCTTAAACATTTGTTAATGAGACATTTTCATTAATTTATTACTGAAAGTAGAACATTTTTTTTCCTTTAATTGAGCTGAATTGAAATAATTATAGTCGTTAATTTGAAGTGTTTGTTCAAAAAAAAAATTTAATAATTTTTATATGTATATAAAAATTAAATAAAAAATTATATACAATATTAATTATTTGACTTCAAAATGATAAAAGATACCTGTTTGTAAACTATGCAGTTATATATGCTTAGAATTCGAGTTCAGATTTAGAAAGTGACATATTAGAATTAGGCTTTCGTTACACTACACGAAAAGGAAAAATAATATTAGTATAAAGACCATTAATTAAGTAATTCTGAATTACAACTCCCGATATGTTTTTCTTTCTTTTGTATGATGTTCGTTGCTGAGTTTCTTGTACACTTTTGATTTATTATTAGAAGAATGGTTGATGACTTGATGCATTAGTTAGAGGGCATTTAAAGGCATTTTTTAGTGTATATTTTCAATATATTTCTAAAATGTGCATATTAAAAAATAAAATAAAATATTTATACATAATGTTACATATAATATTAAATGGATTTACTTATCTATCCCCTTTTATTTCATATTATCATTTCATTGTCTATATCTTTTTAATTTATAAAAAAGTTGAATGGATTTACTTTACAATTATCATTTTTCTTTTACAATTTTTCATTTTTTTCGAAAATTTTAAATGTATTGTAAATAATTTATTTTTCTATTAATTACGTTAACTCAATTAAAAAATTATTTTTTTCTATTATGATCTGTTTTACACCTTTTCCTTTCTTTTTATTGTGCATGGGGAAAGGAGTAATCGGATGAAAGATCCAATGGTACAGTGGAAAAAAAATTATGAATGAAGCCCAATGGTACTTTGTGTGCTGTGATATGAAGGAAAGAAAGAGAAAGAAGAACAAAAATAATAAGAAGTAATGGAGAAAAAGGAGGAAGAAAAAAAAAAGGAAGAATAGAAAATTTGGAAGAGGTGAAGTAGAATAAGACGAGGCAGGTAAACATGACAGAAAAATAATTTTTTAATAGAATTAACGCAATTAATAAAAATATTTGATTTAAAATATATTTAAAAATTAAAGGATTAAATTAAAACTTTTAAAAATTTGAAGATAATAACAACAAATTAAGTAATAAAAATATAATTTACCAAAAAATTATCTAACAATAAATAATGACATGGACGATGGTCCTACTTATTCCACAAGCCAACGATGCAATGCAGCCAAGAAAGTTTGGTAATGAACTAAAAGGAATGAAGATTAAATTAATAATTAAGAGGTAATGTAAATAATACTATGTTATTACATCAGTTTTAAAAATGTTTTGTTATTAAATTATTGAAAATTAAAATATCACAAACTTTTAAAAATAAATGAAGCACATGGATATCATAGTTAAATATAAATTAATACTACTAAGTACAAACAAAAAAAGAGACAAAGGTTTTCTTCTTTTGAAGAAGAAAAGAAAAGATTGGGTTAGGTTTGGTTAATTTGATTACATAATCAAATCTCTTTCTTTGAATACTTCATCTTCATATTTCAACCCTCCATATATACGTAACGTCTGTACCGTTGCCACCATAGAAAATTATGTTTGGAATTGCAATCTACTAATCAAATCAATTTTGTGTATCATCAAACCATCGAAAGCTACTTTAATATAACTATTAAGATTTTATTTTTTAAAAACTATTTTATATTTATTTATTACAAATAAGACTAAAATCAGTGTTAATTTATTTTTAAAATAATTAATTTTAAAATTATATTTATTATATATCTTGATTTGTTGATAATGTAGAAATATTTACACGTATCAAGATTAAAATATTTATTAATATGTCACTTAAGTTATTTGTTAATAATAATAATAATAATAATAATATTTAATTATATATTTTTCTCCTAAACTTGGACTATAAAAAATGTACTGAAAATATATAAGAATATTAATAATATTTTTATAAAAAATTATTTGTAATTCTTTAAAAAAGTCTTTAATTAATATTTGCATCTAAGAATAAGATAAAAATTAATATTATCTTAAATTGTTAAATAAATAAATAAAAATAAAAATTTCTTTTGGAAGAAAAGTGGGAGAAAAGTTTTATGAAAGTTTTGTGCAAGTATCCATATACAAATATCAATATGTGTGATAATGTTAGATAAGGCACTGAGGATTCGGTAATGTGTGTTATGTCTAAGCACGAAACAACAAATATATGATGATACTAATTGCAATGTATATATACTTCTATTTATAGACACTTTCGTTTTTTTATGTTATAATGTATTACTTTTCACTTTTGACAAAAAATCATAAAGTTTAATATTTAACAAATAATTCAAATACTTTACTCACAATAACAATCTATTGATTGAGTGAGTTTAACAAAGTTCAAAAATAAGAATAATCATAAAGTCATCAATCTCTCTGCCCAAGGAAATTATGGACCTCTTTTTATGTTTGAAATTTTGGTGAATGATTATAACTCAGCAGTTCGTTTTGTATCTACCACTTTCGATGTTCATCACAGTTTTTGGTTTTTAAAGAAAGTCGTCTCATCTTGTTCATTTATTCTAAAATAATTAATGGTGTGCCTATTTACTCTTCAAAACTGAGGTGTGCCCGTTGTGTATTAAACTTATTTAATTGAAGAAATTTTTCATGCGGATAAAAATGTTTCAAGTTTTTTACATTGCATGAATTTTTGTCAAAAAGTAAAATGCATTTATAAAGTGGCAAATAGTTCATATGTCAATATGGTACACGGTAATGATATCAGAGAAGCTAATTGATTACATTGTATAAACAGTATTTTATCTATTTTATAAGTTATTTAAATTTTTAAAATACTTTTGATTACTATGTCAAATTGAAGACAATGATTATATATTATTCTGCAAATGAAAGTTTGTGGATAATTTAAATGAATGCCTGATGCTGGTTAAAATGTCATTGTTTCAAAACTTGATACAAGAGCTGGCAAGTATATATACATCTACTTTTAAACATTAACTTTTGTTTTCGTGTATAAAAAAGTAATATTCTTCATTTTGTTTAAAGACATGCTCCAACAATACTCTTAAAGCAGATTTTAATCGAGAGCCACGTTCTCAAGTCTTCAGTTTTCACCTTAACCTTTTGTATTTTTGTGTGAAATTCCAACTTCTCTTAAATTTGTTTGCTTGTGTGCTCCAACCACATTAAAGCAGATTTAACAATGACATTTCAAGAAGTAAATGATATTATACATAAATCGATCCTTTCATAAATCAAGAAATAATCATGATCTGGGGTAAATGTTCATCGAGGCCCATTAAATTTATGCGTCTGCATTTAACATTTACAATATACACTCCTCATAATACATCATAGAATTATGTGTATTGCTAATAATTATGTATCAAATTTAAAGACACCTAAAATTTTAACGATTATATCACATTGACATAAATACAAAGTTATTTCTGTCATGATTATGCATCATTTACACGCAACTTAATATTTAATAAGATACATGATCTGTTCTTATTGTTAATTTACTGATACAAACATTAACTTAAAATATTGGATAGCCTTCTTAAATATACCAACCTCATCATCGTCAAGCCTGCATATCAATTCGACCATGGTTACTCTTTGTACTTCATTAAGCCTACCGTCTTTCAATTTATAAAAAAATACCAGATCAATTAAATACATAAATCGACCCATTGGTAAATCAAGTAGTTGTCACGGACATCATATAATATACGTTAAACTTGTTTCAGTTTACTTTCAGATAAAATATCAATTTTAATAACCCATCGCGAAAAGAGCAATGCTATATATTTTTATTCATTTTCTGTAACATATATTACAACTTATTTTTTCTCTGTATGTGGGAATATGACTTCTCTATTAAATAATGTAAGAAACGAGTAATTATTTTTTTAAGTCAATACAAACATTTGCAATATCGTGATTTACAAGAAACCAGCGAATATATCTCTATAAATAAAGGAGAGTAATGAGATCTGAGAACAGAGTGAGAATTAAAGTGTAGCCAAAATGGGTTCCATGCGTCTTGTAGTAGTGGCAGTGTGGTGTGTGGTTGCGATGCATGGAGGGTTTTCAGTCTCATATGCTCAGCTAAGTCCAAAGTTCTACGATGAAACATGTCCACAACTCAAAAATATTGTGTTTGGAGTCATTCTCAGAGCTTCCTTCTCCGATCCCCGTATAGGTGCCAGCCTCATCAGGCTTCATTTTCATGATTGCTTTGTTCAAGTGCGTTCTTGTTCCAAAATGCTTTACCTTTATATATACATATCATGTTCTAACTTTTCTATACTTGCCACTGTGCATATTAATTACTGATTTTTTTTTTCCCCACATTTACACATAAACATGCAAAATGTATTTTGAACCATTAGAGAGGATAGTTTACGGACTAAATAATTAAATTTTAAGCAAATTAATAAGATTTTATCTATAAAATAGTTAAGAAAAAAGTTGCAAAATTTTTTAATGCAACATTTTATCTTTAGTTTATTAGTTTATTTTTAATACAATATCTATTCTATGAGATGATATAGATAGAGAGATGGGTAGAGATTAAGTAACTTTAATTCTTAAGTTAAAAAATTGATAATTTTTCAAATTATTTTATTTTAATATCTAATATACATTTTTTAAAATGTAAATAAATATTAACTATAAAATTAAATATCTATAATAATCTAGTCTATTTAAAATTTGATGTACATGAACATATAACTTTATTTAATATTTGAAAGGACAAATTTTAATATTTATATAAAATTATCAAATAAAAGAATTGTATCAAAGTTAATTTGAGAGTAACTTAATTCTTTGCTCATATATATGTGTAAGAAAAAAGTAATAATACCTAATATTATATATTGTATCAAATTTTTGTAGATCACACAACGTATCCTTTAAAAGAAAGAAAAAAATTGGTAGGAAACAGTGAAAGAAATAATTACAACAAGTGTTCAAACTTTTGAGAAAAAAATGCAACTACATAACATTTTTGTTTTATCATATAACCTTGCAAAGAAACGTTGACATTTACCATTATATAATTAATGGACGCGCGGTGTCTAGGTGAGATATAGAATATGCTTAGTGTATGGTGGAGAGAAACTTGTAGTTATAATTTAATCTTACTTTAATTAACTATGAGAAGTCTTGTAAAAAACAAATGAAAAGCTGCAGTCCAGACTTAAGATTAGGATATTGGTGACAAATCAAGTCAAACGCGTGTTTGGAAATAAGTTCATACTTTTAGAATTACGTTAAATACAAGTGTATTTTGATTATTATGTTAATATATTTGATTAATTCAAATCAAAATTAATTTTGTCTTTGAATTAATTTACATTAAAGTAAATATGATAAAGATATGATTTTTGTATTGAGTTAAAAATTAAAATAAAATTTATTACCGATTTACTTTCAAAAGTAAAACATTAAACATAAATTTCATCATTTTAAAGTTATTTCAAATAAAATTGAATTCATCCACACTTAAATTTTTAATCCTTAATCCAAATATACACTTGATTGTTTATGTTTTGTGATACAGGGTTGTGATGGATCAGTTTTGTTGAACAACACTGCAACAATAGAAAGCGAGCAAGATGCAGTTCCAAACAAAAACTCAATAAGGGGTTTGAATGTTGTCAATGACATTAAAACAATGGTGGAAGCTTTTTGTCCAGCCACAGTTTCTTGTGCTGATATTCTTGCTATTGCAGCTGAAGTAGCTTCTGTTCTGGTAAGTCACAACTCCATCCCAAACCGTTTAGAAAACAGTTTATCCCATGGATTAAATATTTTGTGGCCTTGGGATTCAAATATAAAATTTGCAATTTGTACCTAAAAAACTTTTGAAATTTGTTTAATATTTTATTTACGTTATGAATTCATAATATAATTTATTTTTTTATTTTTAATAAATAAAATCTCTTTCACATGCAAATTTTACAGATAAAATTGTAATTTTTTTCTTAAGAAAATATTAATTAAGTTAATAATATACAAAAAGACTACATATTTTTGTGATATAAAAATTTATAATAAATTTTCATACTTAAATAAGTGTTTTGCCCTTTCATTTTTCAAAATTTTTTAGTATAAAACTTGGACGAATGAATAAACCTATTTTAACCCAACTCATTATTTAAATCCGTTTAAAAAATTTAAACCCCCCCCCCCCCCCTTTTTTTTAATTGGAGCTTGGTGCCTTATGCAATGAATTATTTTTTTCTTTTAATTTCCTATCTATTATTATACACCCTTAGAGTGAAACTGGCTAATTCTTTCGTGTTCTGAGTGATGATCAGGCCCCTCCTCAGGACTAACATCCCCAAATTTCGAGTCTTTATCCTTTATTGTTAAAGGCAATTAATTTATCACGCTCTATAGTAGATCGACAAAAATATAATTTAGGATAATATCAAAATATACACTATATATATAGCTGTTGTTTTGGTAAATGTAGTTGCACATGCGAGTTGTTTCATGTAAAATGCTTCTTTTCATAACTTTTACTTTTGGAAATAATACTAAACTAAAAAGGAGTTTCATAGTTTGACCTTGGTGTTAATTAGAGACTAGAGATACATCTTTGGTGATTTATTAAATAATTATGACCCATATGCCAAATATTTGTACAACATTGGCAAAAAAGGGATATATATCAATATATCATAGGCATACTCAACAACATGGTATCCCAAAACAAGAATTTCTAGTTTTCTTCTGGGCAAAATAACTTGGAAGCTCTATAAGCTAAATATATCCACCTTTTTTTGTGTCTTTATGTATAGATATCCACTTAAAGTTGTTCAATTTATTTATTTACAGGGTGGAGGTCCATCATGGCCAATTCCATTGGGAAGAAGGGACAGCTTAACAGCAAATCTAACCCTTGCAAATCAAAATCTTCCAGCACCTTTCTTCACACTTGATCAACTAAAAGCTTCCTTTGCTGTTCAAGGTCTCAATACAATTGATTTAGTTACACTCTCAGGTATACATAATCAAAGTAATATTTGCTAGTAGCTAGCAATAAGTTGTTTATATATATATATATATATATATATATATATATATAGACACACACATATTACACTACATGTTGGTCTAAATAATTTCAAACCATTAATATATGCAGGTGCTCATACATTTGGAAGAGCTCACTGTAGTACATTCATTAACCGATTGTACAATTTCAACAACACTGGAATTCCTGATCCAACTTTGAACACAACTTACTTAGAAATATTGCGTGAGATATGCCCCCAGAATGGAACTGGGAATAACATTACTAATTTGGACCCTACCACACCTAATGGATTTGATAACCACTACTACTCCAATCTTCAGCAACTCAATGGCTTACTTCAAAGTGATCAAGAGCTATTCTCCACTCCTAATGCGGATACCACTGACATTGTAAATAGCTTCAGTAGTGACCAAAATCTCTTCTTTGAAAACTTTAGCGTGTCAATCATAAAAATGGGCAAAATTGGAGTGCTAACGGGAGATGAAGGAGAAATTCGGTTACAGTGTAATTTTGTGAATGGTGACTCTACTGGATTAGCTGGTCTTGCATCCAAAGATTCAAAAGACGTTTTGGTTAGCTCAATCTAAATAAGTTAATAGGGATGCGCTAGCTAGCATGTTGTGTGGATATGATATCTCTTATTGAAATAATCCAAAGGAGTGTGCATGCCAATGTGATTTTGCCATGTAGCTCTTGTCATGTTACTTACTTTAAATGTCTCCATCCCTCTCCCTCGTTCGTTTTTGAGTAGTATCAAGTTTACACGTTTTTTTTTCTTCATACTTTACGCACAGAAGTAAATCAGAAACCATAAATTCCTTTACAACATTTTATACATATTTTAATATAGAAGAATCTTGCCATGTGTTCATCATGTAATTCAAATCATGTTTGAATTTAGTTTAATGCTACACAACCAGATAATTAATTGAAAATAATTTGATAGAATTAATTTATCATGATTTAAAAATTGGGTCGGATAAATTAATCATTTAAACTATTCATTTTTCAGATAGAAATAGCCTATCTTTGATTCTTGTCATTTTTCTTATTTTTGGATAAAAAATTATATATGGTTGAAAAATAATATACTTTTCCTATTTGTAATTTCTTTTGTTTTTGTCATTTTTTATTAAGAAAACAAAGATGTACAAAAAAAACACAAATGATCTGGATCCTCGTACATTTAAAAGTCAATAATGATATAAATTCATTATGACAATAATTTAGACAAATTAACTCAAAATAGCTAATGTTTATATATTTATAATAATTAATATAGTTTAGATTTAATATTGAATTGATTAATATGGTCTTTGTGAGAGGTTAATTATAATTTTCATCAACCTCAGTATCTATTTTGGAAGTATTCTTTATGCGTAAATGACCATACTAAATATGTGATGGAACATGCCAACAAACTCAACTAAGTCTTGTCCTTAAGATATGAAGACGAAAGAAGACCTAGCGTGTTTATATCTTCATGATCCTTTTCAGTTTGTTAATAAAAGTCAAAACAACAAGAAATAGCGATAAATCATAAAGAAACCTAAAATGTATCGCATAATTCGTAAAACTGATTAATAAAAGTAAATGCAAAAATTTCATTGTAGAAACATATATAAAAAACTAAAGTTATGCTACTTCGTAAATTAAACTTATTTTAAATGTGTCTTTATATATAGTAGTGGTTCTTTATACTACAAAGAGTACGAAAGTCTAAAACAATGGCTATAGAAAGAATTATTGTTAAAGATTGACCTTTTAATGGAAGCTTGGGTTCTCTACATCGCATCTTGCTTTTAGATCTGGAGCTTTAAAAAGACCTAACATTCATATTGAAGACTTTTAATGGCTAGATTATATTTCTTGGATGAATGTTGCGTCTCTAAGCGTTTCTGATTTAGTTTTTAGGCCTTTGAATATTTATCAATATTTTTAGGACTCTTTCTCATGTACTTTCGATATATAGAATATTTAGAGACAGACTTTCATTAATTTAATTTGCTCACAAGATGTGCATGGGAAGAATATATTTAAAATGGAAGATTGTTTTTTTAGAGTATAATTCAAATCAACGAAGAATCATTATAAAACAAAGTGTACAAACCTTAAATGTGCATAATCGTAATTTTAAGACATTGCATAATGGGGTACACGTACATGCCCTCTTCATACCAGGAAAAAAGTTCAGATGTCCAAGTTAGCTGTATCAAGAAAAGCAACTTGCGACGCCACGTCCTTAAATTTCTCGATCCAGTATTCGCCCCAAGTTTTAAAGTTGATGTCGGCTACTTTATACTATGTGCTTTTCAAAATATATTTTGATTAAACATTTCAAATTTAATCAAAAACTAAACACAGGCGTAGGAAATAATTGTGATATATATTTTCTTGGTTTTAGTTATAAAAACTTTAATACCTGCTTATTAATTTTCATAATTTATATGTATATAAATCAGCATCTAATTTCGCAGTCGTTCTTATTGACAAAACGATAATTACTGTGACAACTTGCATAGAACTTTTTAAAGCCTAACCTAGCTACCTTCCTAATTTGACTCTTCAACGTTCATGTATGTTCTTCCAAAATCAATCCGTGTCTTGCCACAGTACAAAACACAGACACTTCGGAATTTCAAATGCTACCTTAATATTTGTCAGCGAACTAATAGACAGCAGACATGAATGTGCATTAATGTTCTTTAACTCGATCCAACTACTACTTATCATATTAGTAATCGAAGTTTGTGGTGGATAAGTTCATGCTTCCCTCAGAGTCTTTCGTTTAATCTCTTCACAAGATTTGGAACTTTTATTGATGTGACTTTGTGATATTTTTATTATTTCTTTTTTATTTTTATGTAATTTTTTATGAGTAATTTATTAACTTATTTCATTTCTTCCTTAATGAGACATGTTATTAATAATATCACATCTTTTATACTTTTAAATAAAATTTTATTATATAATTATAACTTTTAAATTGAAGTTTAATTATATAAAAAATAAACATGTAAATATCAAATTTAATATACATGATGCAATTTAATTTCTACTAATATAAAGACAAAATTAAAACTAAAAACTTATAAAATTATAATTAAATCATAGCTTCAGTTTAAAGTTAAAATAATTCTTTTTCATGGTGGGTAAGACAAAGGAAGTAATAAAAAATAAAATAAAACCCTGAGCTACATAAATGTGGAAATGTCTTCAAGCTAACAAAGTCTATTATTTCAGGTTTGAAAATGTTCAAAGGCCTATTATTGACTCAAATATATATATTTTCTAAAATTTCCCCTCTTTCTCTCTCTTTAAATGGACACTCGACAACAATTGTCCAATTTTCTAAGCTATATTCAATCATTTCTGCCCATTTTTTATTTAGGGTTTAGGGTTTACCATATACATTAGATGCCAATTTTAAGTAAAAGAAACAATTAAAAAGAATGAAGAGAGTCATCTCCTATCTTAATATATGCAGAGTTAATTTTTAAGACATAAAATATTAGTAATATATTCATATTAATAATAATTTAGTATTAAGGTAATTTTTCATGATAAATATTAACTAATATTCTCATGTCCTTGAGAAACATTAAATAAAAATTTAAATATATTTTAAATATATTTTTGTAAATAATTTTAAATATAATTTAACATAATATTTTATTGTTTAACAAAGACCTTCAAAGCATTAATTAACATCTTTTTAATATAAGATTACCTTAATTTTTCTACTTCATTCTAAAAAATTACATGCATTTTTTACGATTTTTTTAAATCATGTATATTTTTTTATTAAAAACAATCATATTCAAATCAAATAAAGAACTCTCAGTTTAAATATTTAACACGTATCCTTTTACTAGAATTTAAATATAAAATCCTAAATTAAAATAAAATAATATTTTACCAATTTATACAGGTGTGGACGGTGAAATGTATTTTATTTTATGAGAGTTAAACTGTTTTTTTTTTTTTTTATTAAAAGTGGCTTCACCTAATGCTTAAAGGCGCCAATAATGACTGTAGCTGAAAGGAGCAGTTGAACAAATCATTTAAAAGAGACCAAAAAAAAGTCCATTGCCAGAAATGAATAAATAAATAATGAAAAATAATCCAAATGGGTGTTAGAGGCTGCAAAGCATAGTTTACTTTAATGGAAAACTAATGCTTTGTTTTTTTTGGTATGAACACTGATGCTTTGTTGAATAAACATACTCCCACTATGCCAATTAAAGTATGATTAATGACGTAAATGCCAAGAAACACTTCCATTCTACAAACACATCCCGCTCGTGCCGCCCACGTGTCATCTCATAAGGACCACTTTGATTCTCTAATAATATAATATTTTATTTTCATTGCCTTTGGCTGCCATTCACCGTCAGCGGCCTTCGCTTTTATGGGCTCCACCCGCAACACCACCCCTACCAAGTGGCACTGTTAATATCAAAATGTTACACAATTTTAATTTCTTTTTTTATATTTTAAAACCTAAGCATTTTATTTATAACTTGATATTTTAAAATTTTGAGTTGAACAAGTGATATATTTATAATAAACTAATGATTTAACAATTTGAACTAATTTTTTTTGTTAACATCAGTGTAACCACATATGTCTAGTCTTTTTGAGTTCTCTTGTGCTGATATTTAGTCCTGTAAATTTTACGCATAATCTTAAACATAAAAGAGTTTGTTAAAATATTTCACGTTAGTTAAAAATAGAGACAAAATACTTTTTATAATGACTAAATAATTCCCTTTTTATGAATTAGCTTTTTCTTTTTAACACTCCAAGTGTTTGAAATTACAGAATTAACGTTCTTATCATCCACGCAGCGCGAGTCACTTGTCTATATAAATGGTGGATATCTTGCAAGAGCTCTCTGCACACAGTTTTTGGTATCTATATCAGTAAGAAAAATGAGGTGTTTGAATCTCTCGGTGACGGTTCTGTGCTGTGTTGTTGTGCTTGGAGGGTTACCCTTCTCCTCAGATGCACAATTAGATCCATCGTTTTACAAGAATACTTGTCCTAAAGTTCATTCCATTGTGCGTGAAGTCATCAGGGAAGTTTCAAAGAAAGATCCTCGTATGCTTGCTAGTCTCGTCAGGCTTCACTTTCATGACTGCTTTGTTCAAGTATGTTAACTTGTTTCATTCTTTTTTTCTGTCCATTTTAACTCTTCAAAACCCCGTCTTCCATTGTTCATGTATATTGCTACATTTATATCATAAATGAAGAAATACGCTTCAAGTTAATGCAAATTGTGACCATGAAAAAGGGCATGTCTTTTAACATCAACTCACCACTCACAATCTATGCACAATGGGACCACTTTGAAACTTAACTACCGGAATTCATATATACTGGGAAGTAATATGCAGTTCCCAAACACTGATGTCTCTAAATCTCATCATAACCTCCTTTTTGCTTCTTCTTTACGTATATATTATTTTCAACTCCTAGGTCATCATTTATCATTCAAAGTTTTCAAATCTAATCAACTATTTTTCACTTTTGGTAATTTTATCTAAACTTTTTGTGTTTTTTTTTCTTCTCAATTGTAAAAAATTATTAAATTTGTTAAAAATAAATAAATACAAAAGGATTAAGTGAAAGAATTACATAAAAATTAATTTTTTTGTCTTTTTAGTAATTATATTTATTATCTATCCTTTTTTTTTTATCTTTACTCTTTCTTGTTTACTGTATTATTGATCGTATTTTGTATTTTCTTTCCCTTGTATATTTTTTTTTTCTGTCTTTTTATGTCATCACTCATTATTCTACACTGCAAATCAGAATGTCAACAAAATATTTTCCATTAATTTTAATCCTTCTCTTCCTTTTCATTTATATATTTCATCGTAAACCTCTATTCAACGGGTGTAATCAATATGTGACCGAAAAGGGTGTTAATTGAAGACTTCTTATCATAAATATAAAATTGTACGGGGCACCTTGTGAGCCAACTAAAATGCCACTGCTTCTACCTTATCTTCTGATACAGTATATAAGAGTAATTGTTTTCTAAAATAATTATCATTTTTAAGGTTTTACACAAAAATCATTAAACACATTTAATTTTTAAATATAAGTTCATTAATTATAATATCTTTTGGTTTTACTAACATTGTTTACTTCATGAAAATATTTTTAAAATAACATAAAAGTAATTATTTTTTATTTTTAAAATGATAATTATTTTATAACAAAGTAACAGCAGTGGTTTGGAATGTCGAAAATTTCTACTGAGAATGAACAAGAAATAACAATGTTTTTCATGCTTGTGGCATGCAGGGCTGTGATGCATCAATTTTGTTGAACAACACTGCCACTATAGAAAGCGAACAACAAGCTCTTCCAAACAACAACTCCATAAGAGGTTTGGATGTTGTGAATCAGATAAAGACTGCGGTGGAAAATGCTTGTCCGGGCGTAGTTTCTTGTGCTGATATTCTTGCCCTTGCAGCTGAAATATCTTCTGTTTTGGTATATATGCCCCATCCTACATAATACCACTTATAAATGCAATTTCGATTTGATTATGCTTCTCTTCTGACTATAAATTCAATTTATAGAAAAAATATTATTGTGGGTTTATCTAATTTACCCTGAAAGATAAATAACCCTATTTTAGTCAGATTGATAAAGTTGTAATTTTATACTGAAAATTATATTATTTTTTTATGAACAAGATCTCGTTAGTCTATTTATGATGAAATTGCTTTTTATGAGATAACTTGGATGACTCAATTATTGTTTGTCTGAATTCAAACAAAACTCAATTTTTAGTTTTAGGAATTGAGTTTCGGACAATAATACCCATGTTGACTTAAAGGTTGCAATCAATTATTAATCATAGTTGAATAAGTATATCATTGAAAAAATTAGTTGTCTCTTCACAAGGATATTAATTTAAAAGTTTAAGAAACCCATCATCTTTTAAAATTAACTGCTACGTATACTCAAAGATTAGCTCAAAGTGTACATTGTTATCCATGTTTAAGAACTGATCGATCTTAAAATAATATACAAATATATTGACAGGCTCATGGTCCTGATTGGAAAGTTCCATTGGGAAGAAGGGATAGTTTAACAGCAAACAGAACCCTGGCTAATATAAACCTTCCAGCACCTTTCTTTAACCTAACTCAACTCAAAAACGCTTTCACTGCTCAGGGCCTCAGCACCACTGATCTAGTTGCACTCTCAGGTACGACATATTCCTCAATTCACATGATACTATATGCTGCAAGTTATAATAATGTTTAAATAAGTAACTCATCTTTAAAAATATCATAATTTTTTTATTTTATTTTTACTTTAGTATGTTTTAAGATCTATATTAAAATCATATAAAATTTTTATAGGAATTAAATTAAAAAATGATATTTTCAGGGAGTCATAACTTGTTTAAATTTAATAATAATTATACAATTATAAACAAAGAAAGAAAGAACATGATCCTGTATATGATATTTAATATGATTTATATATGCTTAAATTTCAGGTGCTCATACATTTGGGAGAGCCCATTGCTCTTTATTCATCAGTAGATTGTACAACTTCAGCGGCACTGGCAAACCTGATCCAACTCTTGACACAACTTACTTGCAACAACTGCGCCAAATATGCCCCAATGGTGGACCAGATAACCTTGCCAATTTTGACCCAACAACTCCTGATACAATAGACAAAAACTACTACTCCAATCTTCAGGGTCACAAGGGTTTGCTTCAGAGTGATCAAGAGTTGTTCTCAACACCCGGTGCTGATACCATTAGCATTGTCAACAGTTTCAGTAGTGACCAAAATGTTTTCTTTGACAACTTTAAGGCTTCAATGATAAAGATGGGTAACATTGGCGTGCTAACGGGGAACAAAGGAGAAATCCGAAAACAGTGCAATTTTGTTAACAAGAAATCAGTTGATATTGCTAGTGTGGCCTCCCAAGAGTCATCTTCAGAGGAGGGTATGGTTAGCTCAATCTAAATAAATTAGGGTGACAACACTTAGATATGTGTGATTGGAGCTAATAAGCTATAGGCGTGTTCATGTGCTATGTGCCCACGGCTAGTTGTTATGTACTGTGTTTGTGACTTTGTGTAATAACTTCTTTCTTGTAGTTTGAATCATGTAGTGCTCAGGATCAATTTCTCTCTTTTTATCTCTCACTTGCTCTGTTTGTGTCCTTCCTCTGGTTTAAAGGGGTCATGGAGCTAAAACACAGCCCATCACTGTTTATATGCTGTTTTTATTTAATAAACTAAAATTGTTGGATACAACTAAAGGAGATAGTTCAATTATAAATGATTAACATCTGTAGTTTTCCTACCGAAAGAAAACAAAAAATTAGCCGATGTTTATATCAGTCTGCAATGAATAATAATATGAACTACAATTAAACCTTCATAACCGGTCCTAGTCTTTCTCTTCCTTATATATGAGATTGTTGTTGTAAATATCTTTCATAATTAATTTTTCTCTTTCTGTTGAGTTTCTCTTTTTGTGTCCTCCCTCTAGTAGATCTGTGTAAAAAGATAAATAGAGGAAAATCCTATTCTCACAACTATTTATTTATCTTGGTATTCTAAGTGTAGATGCAAATAATTTTAACTTACCACTCTCAATCAGCCAAAGAATACCCTACAAAGTAGGAGTCAACATACAAATGATAGGTTAAGTTGGGGTTAAAATTATACTATGTTCTAATAAATTTATTATTTTCTTGAATTATAAATGTCTTTTGATCTTTATTTTTACTTATCGAGATGAAATTATGCATTTTAATGTATTGTTCTAATGTATAATTTTTATTCTCTACATCTAAATTATAAGTTAAATTGAATTTGAGACAGGAACTGAGACATTCAATTCTATTTTTATATTTACATATATCAGCAATTACTTTTATTGATTCTTTAAAGGTAACAATTTTTATTTTTTCAAAATATTATTCAGCAGGAAAATATGTTTTCAAATTCTGTCATGTATACATTTTTTTAGGCTAGTAATAATCATGAAATGTTGTCAAAACCTTTGTCATATATTTAGCCGCAAACACCTCATTTTAAAAAAAGGCTGATTTTTAATAACAATTTGTTAGTTTTTAAAATTTAAGCACATCATTTATATTGATATTATAGTTCAAATATTAAAAACTAAGTTGAAATTAAAATTGATTAATTTGTCTAACAAAAATTTAATTTGACAGATTATATTATTTTAAAATTAAAATTTAATTTAAGAAATAACAGTTAAAAGAACAAAAAAAATTGCTAAGTAAAATAATAAAATTAATATAGAAAAATTACAAAATTTAATAAAGATGAAAATCACTCTTAACAGTATTATTATTAAAAAAATGGTGATGCAAATTTATAATATAAAGATAAATTATGCAAATTTATTTTTTGAAAAGACGTGTCACATAAAACATGCTGACCAACCCCGAAAAGATAAATCAGTTTGAAAGGTTATGATAGGAGACAAGATAAATTGTAAACTAGATCGATGTAGAGACCTCCCCTTGTATGATTTAAATTAATAAAAATATATATTTTTAATTTTTTATAAAAAATAAATGATAGATTCAAAATATATTAATTATTAAAATTATTTAATATTATTTTTTTATTAATATTATTAAATATACAAATTATTAATTATATTATTTAATATTATAAAGTTTTTAAAATAAAATTTATATTTATAAAAACATAAAATTTATATAGTAGAGCAAACAAATTAATTACACAATTTGTTCTTTTATTATAATTAATGAGTGATTTGGATCTTTTAATTTTTTATAACCTTTTTTTATTATGACACACTTGGTTTGGTTTTAGACTAATGGAGTAAGATGTGAGCAATGGGGTAGCAAAGTCTACGTCTTCGGCTAAGGATCGTAACTGAGAGTTTGAAATATAAAGTATGTGGGTCATGCAAATCACACGTATGGTTCTAGATTTTCTCCTAACTCAACAATGTTTAGGTGTTCAAGTTATTTATTCACATTTCTAGATTTTATCATCCCTTTTTTCATGCAAAATTTGAGCATTAGGCTATGCAGACAAACAACACCGACAAAAGCATGCTTCAATTTCATCCCCAAAGATCTCAAGCTTCAGATCTTTTGCTTCTTTTAAACGTTTAAGTAATGTCTAAAATACGTACATTTGCTGACGAAACTTTTACTTTAATATTTGAAAAAAAAACCTCAATCCGAGTATACATAACTATCAATAATAAAATCTTATTAAAAAACATCTATTATACTTTTATGTTTCATTATAATAAATATATTTTTAATAAAAAATTAATATTTTTTAAATATTTAAACTTACTAAAAAATGAAGTCAATATTTAATTTTTAATATATATATATATAAAGACAAACGTTAAGAATTATTAAATACTACATACTATATTAAATACTTTTAATGACTTTCATGACTTCCATAAAATTGAATGCGCGTAATACAATGTCAAAGCCATCGCATTCAAGTGAAATTATTGGAAGAATTTTGAGGAGAAGAAAGCTTCCTAATTTGACTTATCGTTCATGTCTTTGATTGCTACGTTGCAGAGGTTATCTGTATTCAACATTATTGTCCTTTGATACATGTGCTCTCCTTACTGCCTTGACATCAGAACATTCATAATCTTCAAATAAATAAAAAGTGAATATATATATTCTAAAAGTTTGGTCTTGTCACCTCGATCTGACCTGCTTTTGATATTTGTCTTTTTGGTCATAAATAAAATGAACTAGATCACGTGGCTCAGCTATTCAAGATCCATTTAATGGTGCTTCACAGTCTTTATTTGTATATTATATTATAGCAACACTTGGCTTATTTAACTTACTATTTTTGTTTGATTTTAAGGAATGAGAGCGAAAGTGAAAGAAACTTCAATAAAAATTTGGTATTAACAAATATAGAAGAGAAGTTAAAGGCTAAAACGATTTTTTTTTCTTTTTTATTTTTTATCTTTCCTCTAATTTTATAGGATTTATATATTTCTTTTTTAGTAATGTGCAAAATGTTATAGAATTATCATTGAATTGTTTCTATAATGCCCCCAACTATTAATCTTTTATCAATTATCACGATGTAACTTTATCAGAATTAATTTACATTGCTAGGCTTAAATTAAATAAATGTAGAACAGTACCCAGTGGTTAGAGCAATTCATGTGCAACATGAATTTTTTATATAATATTACAGATAATGTCTTATATAATATTAAATTTTTTAATATTCAGATAATAAAACTGAAAAAAGAAAAAGCGTGGAAGATTCAAAAAGAAGTATTTATAGTACAAACATTGTTCCATGCTTTTAGCCTTTTCCTTTTTCAGACCGTAACGTTGTCCCATGCATGTTTTTATTACACAAATATGATAAAAGCATGCTAGGCACTAGACATAGGGGGAACTTTAAAGCATACTTTATCTTTGGATGAATATGTTGCAATATTGTAATACTTTTGCTTTAAAATAATTTTTATTTAACATTTAGAGGATATTATAAAGTGTTATCCAATGTTCTGATTAAAGAGTTAAAAATATTCATATTTGTTGTAACTTCGATAAATTAACTTTATTATCATTATAAATATTTTGTTATTTATCAATTCTGTAACTAGTATCATAACATCACTGTAGAGATTTTAGACAAAATATAATTTTTTAATAAATATTGTATTTTAAAATATAAACGCATTCATTATATTACCATCTTATTTTAATATTCTTATTTTTTTAGAGAAATATTACAAGTTAATATAATTAATCTGTCAGTTAATATTTTTAAAATTTATATGATAACTACTTTTAAATAAAAAATTATACTAACATGATTTTTAAATAAACGTTCATAAATATACTATTCAAAATTTAATATTTATTTATATTTTAAATATATATTACACCTTAAAATAAAGTAATGTAATAAAATATCTATTATTTATTTATAAAATAAATTATTCTATTTAATAAAATCTTATATTATATAAAAAAATTTATTAAATATTTTAAGTATTTAAACTTGATATCTAATTTTAACGAATTTTGACTTCAGTAATACAATACATTATACTATTAATGTAAAGTTTGATTTTTTTTTTTTTTTTTAAATTAATAGATCCTTTGATGAAAGTTATATACGAATGCCCTCCCAAAATTTCATTTCAGTCAACAACCTCATAAATATTATTGTCTCTTTCTTATATATGTTACTTGGGATCTTATAATTTATTTCAAAATATTTTGTATTTAAAAAAAATTATTATAATATCCTGAAATATACATTATTTTGTAAAAAAAAATGTAACAGAGACTAGTAATAAGTCAATAATTCTCTAAAAATTGTATAAAACTGGTGACGTGACGGGTTCGCCTAAAACATTTCACTGTATCACACAATCCTCGTCTTGTTAACCAAAAATTAAACGAATGAAAGCGATCTCAACTCTAAACTACTTGTTGGCATTCTATGATATGACATGTTGTTTGAAGCACAATAACAAAAGCACAGATTAAAGTTATAAATGATTTATCAATAAACAAAATTTATTTCTATTTTCTTTAAGCATGGTAATATTATTTTTTAAAGAATAATAACAAGTATTTTTATAATCTGATTAAGAATAATTAAAAGAATTAAAAATCTCACTAACACACCGATCATGATTTCTTTATAATTTGACTTTATTTATCAATTTTTAATTAATATTTTAAAAACTTTATCAACATGATCCTTAATTTGTAAATAAATTAAAGTTTTATGTCAATAATTCACATTGTTTTTAATTTTAATTCTTATTATTGGTATACTAAAAAATAAAATAATTATTAATAATAAAAATATTTTTTTGTTTTTTTAATCAACAATGTACTGAAGAACTGAGTAAACTTTTGTATTTTAATAAAGGACCCTGTTAAATATTTCTTAAAGAATCAATATAAGAAATTTTTTATTAAAAATTATTTTAAAATTTTTAATCAATTTTATAAAATATTAATAAAAAATATCTTTAACAAAATAATAAAATTTTTTATCGAAGAAACAAATCTCGGTTTCATCGCTCTCACGTGTTGCTCTGTACGACACCTAATTTCAGTATTAATAATTAGGATGATGTTAACTAATATTTTATAATATTGATTAAAAAATTAATAAATAAAAGTATTATAATTTTTTTTGTAGAAAAAGTTATTTTAAAAAAATCAACTCTATCATGTCTTTATTGTCATAATTTAACTTCCATAATCTATGACATAATTAAATATAAATTATTTTTGTTAAAGCTATGATTTTAATTCTTTTAGCGTACGTTGAAGGACAAAAAAACTTGTGTATAATAAAAAATTTATAAATTTTTAAAAACTGAATACATTAATAATAATAATAAATATTATATTTTTAATAAAAATAAAATCTATTACATACTTTAAAAATCAACATCTAAAAAATCACAGCAAGTTTTACCCTTTGTAAAATTGGCTTGCGATTTGCATTATTTTTCTCTAAAGTGGGAACGTTGAAAAATTGATTATCGGAAGCACACAAGTGTGGAACATGAAATGCTAGGAAATTGCATTCATAGGGTTATTTGTCTCTATAAATAGGTACTCCATATATGCAGGTTCTCGCAAGCCCCAACAGGTTCACAAACTCAAATATCAGTATGAGTCCCATTCGTGTGGAAGTAGCAATTCTGTGTTGTGCATTGGTTGTGCTTGGAGCACTACCCTTTTCCTCAGATGCACAGCTAGACCCTTCCTTTTACAATAAATCATGTCCCAATGTGCATTCCATTGTACGTGAAGTCATCAGAAACGTTTCTAAATCCGATCCTCGAATGCTTGCTAGTCTCATCAGACTCCACTTTCATGATTGTTTCGTTCAAGTATGTAATAATGTTTTTGGTTAGTTTGGTTCTTCAATATATGTACACACTTAATTCAAATTTTAATAATGTTGTTATGAAATTTTATGCTTTTATATGTGATTAAAATGTTACTATATAATATGGCAGGGGTGTGATGGATCAATTTTGTTGAATGATACCGCTACGATTGTGAGTGAACAAAGTGCAGCGCCGAATAACAACTCTATAAGAGGTTTGGATGTTGTGAATCAGATCAAAACTGCAGTGGAAAATGCTTGTCCTGGTGTTGTTTCTTGCGCTGATATTCTTGCCCTTGCTGCTGAAATATCCGTTGTTCTGGTATGTATAATCCTATACTTTCTTTTCCCTTTCTGTATACTTTACATAAACAACAATATTTTCTTACCTTTTTTTAAAATTTATTTTTCTTTCTCTTTTTTTAATTATTATACAGTCATTGTATCTCTTGCTCTTTTTTTTTTTCCCATCTTCTGTCTTTTACACTCCGACAGCATTCCTCTAAGGGGTGTCAAAATATGATTATACTAAAAAAATAATACGTAAATCAAGATAAATTTTTCAAGTGGACACTTTTTCCCTGCTATATGAGAAAGATGTAATTCAATTTTTCTATCACTTGAGAATGACAACACAATGTAAAATTGATTAATTAGAGAAAAAATATCCGTACTTGGAAAATTAAATACTACATTATGCATATAAGGGGTTAAATCAAAGTCTAAGTTGACAGGCATGACTTTTAATTTTACCTTTATTTTATTCATTCCTGCTAAAATTTACAACAACGATTCACAGGCCAATGGTCCTGATTGGAAAGTTCCCTTGGGAAGAAGGGATAGTTTAACAGCAAACAAAACCCTTGCTAATCAAAATCTTCCAGCTCCATTCTTCAACTTTACTCAGCTCAAGTCCGCCTTTGCTGCTCAAGGTCTCAACACTACTGATCTAGTAACACTCTCAGGTATGTATCACCATTTTGACTCTTAATTTTTTTTATTTTTTATCTCTATAATGATAATAAAGATTTTATTAATCTCAACCTATTATAATAAGGTTATAAAAGTATAATAAAATTTTATTATTATTAATTACTTATACCTAGTATTTAATGTTGATGTCAACATTTTCTTAATACTAATAAGATGACATTACATTTTGAATCTTCATTTTTCAGGTGCTCATACATTTGGAAGAGCTCACTGCTCTTTATTCGTCAGCCGATTATACAATTTCAGCAACACAGGCAATCCTGATCCAACTCTTAACACAACTTACTTACAAACACTGCGTGCAATATGCCCCAATAGTGGACCTGGCACCAACCTTACCAATTTTGACCCAACCACTCCTGATACCTTTGACAAGAATTACTACTCCAATCTTCAGGTTCACAAGGGCTTGCTTCAGAGTGATCAAGAGTTGTTTTCCACACCTGGTGCTGATACCATTGACCTAGTCAATAGGTTTAGCAGTAACCAAACTCTTTTCTTTGAGAACTTTAAGGCTTCCATGATCAAAATGGGGAACATTAGAGTGTTAACTGGATCTCAAGGACAAATTAGAAACAAATGTAACTTTGTTAATGGGAACTCTGTTGGACTGGCCACCAAAGAATCATCAGAAGATGGCATGGTTAGCTCAATCTAAATAAATTAACAAAAACAAAATTAGGGTATGCTTGAAAATGCTGAGATTAAAAGGTATCTAATAAAGAGTTCCGATAGGCATGTACATGCCATGTGCCTGCGGTGGATCGCGATATATATACATATATATGGTTGTACTTTTGTGCATTATGGTCACTTGTCACTCTATTGTAAGATCTGATTTCTTATGTTATGAGACTTTTTGTCATATCATGCTGATAGTTATGGAAACAAAATTAAGTACCATGGTAGTGGCTGGGTGAGGTCCTGCTGTGGACTAATTATAACTATAATTCTTGTCACTGAGTGTTATGATCTCTTGCTAGCTTTTAGTCTTCTATTTTTATCGATGAAGCTGGGTTAAAATTACTATTTCAACGTCAAACGAATTCTCATTTAAAATTTCCACAACACATTTTTACAGTAATTATTCTAATACCCGAGTAAAATTAAGTTATATTCCTAACGAGAGAATTTTTAAAAAATATAAATTTAAAAGAATTTGATTCATTTTAGTATTAATTTTTTTATTTTATATATAATTATTGAAATTTTTTATCAACTTTAGGTGTAACTTCTCTTTTTATCTCTTCCTTTACTGTAGGAAATGTTGAGAGGATCTTAAGTGCAGATAATAATGTATAATACGGAAAGAGAGAAGAGAAAAAAAGCTAAAAGTGTAAAATAGGAAGCGTGATGTGACATAAAGGGTTAAAAAAGGAAATAGATAGATATTTGAAGTATGAATAGTAATATTATTATATTACTATAGAATAATAAGTTGGTTTGCACCCGAATAATTGAGAGGCCGAAAAAGGTTAATTTTTGCACAATTGTATGTAGAAAAATTTGTCATTGTCACCGAAGGTTGGATTCAAACAAGCAATTGATTGAGGAAAACGGGATCGATGCAAACATTTAAGATATAGTCACATCAATAGTGAGTAATCCAGAAAACTGCACAACTTAAAAGAGGAAATAAATATCAAGAGAGATACGTAACTTATACCTAATTAGTAAAATTTCTGTAAAAGGAATGATTGGAAGCAGAAGACTTTAGCAATCACATGATGAATATGTCGTGCATGCAAAATAGTCACTAATTGTCCATATTAAGATTGCTTCTCATACAATGATTTTGCTTCTTCAATGAATCAAAACTATGGACGTTAATATGACTTCATGCCAAAATCCTAGCAATTCATTCGGTGACCTAGAGAATCATGTAGTTCTGTTCTTAATCAACTTCTCGCTTTCTTTCTCTTTTGCACCATGTATGTCTTTCCCACTAGTTTCAAATAGAAGAACTTCAAAGAGTGCAGAGAGTTAAGAATATACATTCATTTATGTATATTGTTTGTACCTACGTGATGAAAGTGTGAGACTATATAAACCGCCCGAAAAGATGGAACAAAAATGAAATAAAAGTGGAAAAAGAAAATCCATTAAAAGATAATCAAAGTGCCAAGTTTATGGTTAGTTTAGTTATATATTATTTTACAGAAATTTATTTTTGTTACATATTTTTTACTAATCTAGAAAAACTATATTAGATTCGACCTTTGGGTTACAAAATGGGCTGAAAAATGATGATCCATAAACCTAGGTTTTCTTTACAATTTTGGCCATACTAATGAAGGTGGTTGTTTAGGCCAAAAATAAATAAAAAAATAAATGGAGGTGGTAGTGCAGCAATTGTTTGTGAATATACGAATCATTAGAGAATATTCCTAATGCTGAAAGGCAAATATATGGATTCCTTACAACAAATAAATAAACAAGGACTTCAATTCAAGACCCTTGACGCATTCTTCACACTTTGCATCAAACGAGATCAAAGAAGCGTGATGATGGGAATCTCATCAAAAACAAGGAGAAGCACCAAGTAGGATATAAAAAATGTCAAAAAACGAGCCACTAAAGAAAGACACTAAAATACAGAACGAGGCAGGGAGTGGTTCATTTCATTAACTTTTTATTCCCTCATTAAATAATAATGTAGAATTGATAAGCATATATTATAATACACTTTATCATTAACATATATTTATAAGTTTAATTGAAGTTATCAGTAAATAATAATTTAGAATTAAAGCATTACTATATATATATATATATATATATATATTAAATTTAATTTAAATATATTAACAGTATAAAAGTGTTTTTACATGATTATCGAATAATATCATTTCATTAGTAATTATTAATTTTATAATAATTAATATAAAGAATATATTTAAAATTTATTTTAATTATTTGATAATAATTATACATTTTGTTAATGTCATAATGAAGATAAACAGCTAATAATAATAAAATTTTATTAAAAAAATAAATATTTATTATATTTTTATAATTTTAATATAATAATTATATATTTTTTTTATAAATATTTTCTATTTATAGATGCTTAAATTTAGCCTTAAAAATTGAGGTTAATTAAACTCTTTAATTATAGCTTACCTGCATAAATCTTATAAGAAACATGCATTACATTTTTGCATATGATATATTTTTTCATATTATTTCTCTGCTACCATATACTTAAGTATTGAAGTACTTTTAGGTGCTATTCCTTCTGTTTTATGTGAATCCAACCTTCTCATCAGCTACACCAACATGAAAACAGATTTAGTAGGCCTACGTTTTGTAAAGACTCGACTAGACCAAATTTATTCTTTCATAATTAGAAAATGCAATTTAGATTTCTGGTATATATTGATGGAAGAAAATGAAACAAAATATACTTAAGTAAATTTTGAGTAATTTTTTTTTTTATCGTTTTTTATATTTTTATTTAAGTGAATGTGTTTTTATTTAAATAAAAATAAAACTGAACGTAAATTTCTGCCCAGTAAAAGAGAATTTGAATTCCTTCCACTATAAAGATACTTCCAAAATTATTCACTACTTTTTATTAAATTATACTAACAAAATTATTCTAATATTTTATTTTTTCATTAATAAAAATCTTTCATATCTCTCTCTCTCTATATATATGTGTGTGGATGCAACATCAGTGTTTTAACCGCTTTGCTCTTCTGTGTAAACGAAGGTCTAGTATTCTTCACTATTTTAGCTTGCTCCTCTCAGTTAACTGCTGGTAAGAACACGAATTAGAAGTTACGTGACGAGATGAGAGTACAACCTATGCATCAAACAATCAAAACTCTATTTAAACTGAACAGAAACATGAAAAAAAAAACATAAAATAAGGTAAAACATACAAACATAAAGAGCGAAGTGAAAAATGTGTTTTTGAAAGGCACTTGGAAGCATATATTGGAGGGAGGAGGTGGCTAGAGGCGATTAAGGAATCAGTCATTATAATTATCGAACACGTGTTATGCTTTTCATCCTTATTGTGAATGATATTAGTCTCACTCACTGTAGGAATGATACAAGTTAAACATGTCACAATGTAGAATCATTATTTCTTCTTCAATTTTCCCTTCAATCTCGCTTATCCAGTGACCAATATTCTCTACATGCAAGACACATCTCTTGCAAAGCATATCATCCATATCTTAAAATAATACTTATTTTTGGACCAAGATTCATACATGTAAAGTTATGAAGTTATAATATGTGATAGATACAATTAAATTTTTGCAGACAACAAAACATTTCTTTTTAAAAGACTTAGATTCAGCATTAAAAAAAAAGACTTAGATTATAAGTTACTTTAAATATAAACTATATTGATTGAGACACACCTCTATGGCCTTTTAAAGAGTTGAATACTCTATTATATGCTTTTAAAAAAGTGAAAAGGTAGCTTAAAAAATTAAATGATAAGCAAATTATAATAATTAAGTTAAAAATAAGCATGGTGAAGTTTTGCAAAACCATTTCCATTTCAAATATAAGTTAATTAAATTAAATATATGTAATAATGTTTGTTGGATCTCTCTATATGTCCTAGCCTTTTTTCTTGTTGGTGAGTTTTGTCTTGCCCTTTTAATAGCTATCTACATATTAATGCCCCCCTCCCTTTCTTTATACAAGTGATGTTATCCACATAGAATATTTTGGATGACCTTGATAGCACAATAAGGTGTGCATTTAAAAATTAGTGACATTTGTAGATCTCATCACTTTGGTTTTCTTATTATATATTTCCGTGTTAAGAGCTATGCATCTAACGTTATTTGCTCTCATATATGATCTCTAGCGGAAACATGGGGTTATGATCTATATACCCTATGGAGTAGTAGATCGCAACCAAGCACTTGAGAGACAAACGAAATGAAATTACCCCATAAATGTTGCACTACATAACGCATTTGACCAGAAAAATTGGAATGAATCAAATTTTAACAAATCCGAGATTAGGTACACACAAAGTCTACATCACGTTAATTGTTGCTGTATATACACTAATTTTGTTTATTGACCAGTTTAGTAAGTCAACTTTTGAAGACTTTAATAGAGGACACTTGGTTTTATTCTACACCGATAGAGTAAAATATGGGAAACGGGGCCCCGAAAGTGTGAGTTTAGGTTGGGTCTGAAAGTTGGAGAAAACATGTAATGAATAGATATATTGTACGTAGCAAAAGAAATGAAGGTGTCAAATGATTCAGATGATGATGTCGTATCATTTTGCAAAAAGTCATCAACTTTGCAGACAAACGAGACCGACGAAACGAGGGTTGGTTATTTCAAAATCACGAGTCTGAATTTTTTGGTGCCTCTCCCAGCTTCCAAGTAAATATCCCTTGTTAATAGGCTGTGGAAATGGTCATGCATTTATGGTAATGAATGAATCCTGTGATGTCTGTTTGCCAAGGTAAATGAATTATTTCTTTTTTTTTTTTAATTAAAAGAGAATTATTTAGTAAATAATTTTGTTTTATTATTTTTCAATTTTTTTTACGTATTATTTTATATAACGTTTAAATTTGTAAATTTTTTTGAATTTTATCTTTGCTATTTTATTAGAATTCCTTATTAGAAACTTTTAATGTAATATCATTAAACTTTTTAAATATAAAATTTTAAAAGAATTATAATATGAATATATTCATAATACATCTCCTTCTTTTTAATAAAAATGATTAAAAATAAGAATAACTTTTTTACAAAAATTATTATAATTTTTAATATGTGTAAATTATTTAAAGTAAATTAAAACAATAAAGTCACCAAAGAATTTACAAAAATATGAAATTTTAAGTTATTAACCTCTGTAAATAATCTGTGACTATTAATTTTTAAACAAAAATATTTTTTAATTAGTTCAAACAAGAGAAATTTTTAAAATTAGTTTTCTTTTTCATTATGTTAATTAATTTTTAATTTAATATTAATTTAAATTTTTTAATAATTTTTAATTTAAAATACTATCTCTTTATTTTTATTCTAAAATTTATTATTAGTAATTAAAATTTTTACTTCTTTTAATTCATAAAATAATTTAAATTTTAAAATATAATCATATATCATTATTTTAATTATTTATTTTAAAATAATAAATTTAAAATATTCATACATAAAATTCTTAGTCGTAATCAAGTAATTAAATGGCTTTTTATATTATCTTATGATTTTTAATTAATTTAATAAATATTTTTACTTAATATTTATAATTTAATCAATTGATTCATTAATCAGCGACCATGTGAACATTTATGTCAACTTAATAAACAATCTCAAATTTAAATTATAATAAATATAATTGTTAAATATTCAAAATCTTTATTGTGTCAGTTTGAAACGGTAATAAAATTGTTCGTGTATTTTTTTTTCACGCATTCATGTTGGACTATTAGCATGGTTCATGGTAATTGAAAAGAAAAAAATAGAGATTTTTTTTTTGTAAATTTGAATTTCATCTTATGTACTTCATCGTTATAATACTTGTTAAAAATGACATTGTTAAATTAGGTCATTTTGACTCAGTTAATTTTTTATACATAGGTCATAAAATAAAATAAAAAAAATTAGATTAAAGTCTTACGTCAATAATGAATAAAAATTCTAAAAGAAATTAATCAATCATTATCACAATATAGGAATTCCATAATTAAAACAAACCATTTCTTAAAAAATGTCTTGATCTTATGTTTTATTTTGAGCAACAAAACAACTTAATATGATATGCTAATAGCTGCTCAGCATACAAATTTTTTATATATATTAGTGAGATTTCGTAGTACTATAATGGAAGGATTATCTTGTAATAAAATAAAGTTAAAAGACTAAATAAAAAAATAGAAGAAAACTTTACAAAATAATATTAAAAGACCATGCAGTTCTAGTTATCTATCCTAATTTATAGTTCATTTTGGTCTATATATTTATAGTTCTCTAACCTAATGTTTGATCTAACCTTACTTCATTGGAGTATTTTAAAACAGAACAGAAAGGATTATCAAACTCTCACATCAATGCAAGTTTTTATTTTTTTTTACCAAAAAAGCATATTCCCATTTAACTCATTATACTTTTTCTTTTGTTTTACCAAGAAAAGAATAAGGTTATTTAGATTTACAGCGAACTTAGAGTTACAGACACATAATAAATTATGTTTGAAATTTGAAAGAGATGAATTGTTGAAATTCTTACAAAAATATAATAATGTAAGAGCTTATAATGTGAATTTACTTTTATTCTTATTTAAATTTTTATTTAATATTTTTTAATTATAAAATTGAATAAAATAAATAAAAAATTTATTAAAATATATTAAAATAATATCTATAAATTACTTCAAACATACCCTAAATCATACTGGGAAGAAGGCAGGAACTTACCCACCACTGCATGTTGTATATTAAATTGGGTTGCAGTAAAGTGGGGATATTGTTCCTTCCAATGTTGTCTGTCCTTTCCTACCGTTGTATCTATGAAGAAGACAAATGTAAGAAAGACATTTGGAGCAAGGCATCAAGCAAGAGGAGACTTCTAGAAATTTTCTTTATGCCATTTTTGGACATAAAAAAATAAACAGAAAAAAAAGTAGGATGATAAAAGTAGAAAATAAATAAAAAATAATAATGCAGTTTTAGAAGGTTTGAATTGATAGAAAAAAGAAAGATAAAAGTGAGTTAAGTTGTCACTTTTATGTAGATAAAAAAAAAAACAACATAAAAATGTTTTATATACGAATTGACACATAGTATAATATTATTAACCCTCAAATTATAAAATTTATTAAATGAATAATTTGTAATTAAATATTGATATTTTTATATTTTAAATAAATTTAAATTAAAAAGACTAAATATTTATTTTAATTTTAAAGATTTGTACAATGCAAAGAAATTCATAATATGAACAGTAAAATTTGCATAAATAATATAAACGGTTACTTTTTTTATCAAATTAAAAAAAAAGTACACGGTTTATGCAGACAAAAGGTATAAACAGTTTACTCACCATGCGTTGAAAGTTGCAACTCACAATTATACTATTTTTCTTTTTTAATATATGTCTGCGAAAATATAATAAAAATGTTAAAAAATTATTAAAATTATACAATATTACACAATTTAATATATTAATTTTATAATTTTTTAAAATATTATCATTCATTTTTTTATTGTGTATTTTTAAGTACACATTAAAAAATTCATTCAATAAAATGTTCTAAAGTTTTATGTTTTTTTATGATATTTATTCTTATTTCATGTATATTATAAGATTATTTGGTACACTAGATACAATTATAAAAAAATAATACAATAAAAGTAAAAAATGAAATAAATAAAGATTAAAGTAATAAATTAGATATATTGTATTATTTCATTTTGCCTATTTTTAATGCAACTCTTCTCACGACATTTAATTTCATTGATGGAGTGTTTTTTTCTTTGGTTATTCATCAAAAGAATCTAACTCTATCCTAGTTTAAAAGGTTTTCAAAAAAGAAATCCTATAGAACATCTAGACATAAAAACTTGGCATGCACGGCTTTACTTTAACTTTATTAAAAGCAGAACTTATCTGTTGTTGAATATGTTGAGCAATTGTACAACACTCCTTGTCCCCTTCTGGAAATTTGATGCATTACACTATTCGAATCCTCAGTGGCAATTATTAAATGTATATTTAATGGTTATAATATTTTATAGTTGCTCAATCCTGTATCTCACAAATTATACTTTTTATATTTATTTTTTTATCTGTTTCTTCTTATTATATTTCATTGAGTGTGCATTTGAATAACAGTTTAATTAAGTGCTATTTATTAAATTTTTATATCATTAATTTAACAATAAAATTTATTAAAATAAACTTAAAAAGGAATTTATTTTCGTCATTTGTCGCATCCCTTTATTTTCTCTTCTCTTTTTTTTTACTTATATCTGTCTTTTAATTGCTCCTTCTACAACTATTTAATGATTGTCAGTGAATTATTTTTCTAATTATATTATCTTGAATTACCTGTCACCAAATGATATATATATATATATATATGTATCCCACTACATGATGATTCAAGGGTTGTAAGTTTTTATGCACTTGTTAATGAGGTCATGATGAAGTAAGGATACCAAGTTCTATTTAACTTTTAATTGAAAAAAATCCTAATCGGTAAACAGTGATTATATTTACGAGATGACTTGTCTCTTTACATATTTTATATATTAATCCTTAAATGAAAGAGTGATGATTACGTATTACCTCATTATTTTATATATAATAATGAATTTGTTTTAATTATCGTATAAGATAAACTATTTCATTTTAAAATTTCATTAAAGGATGAAAATATATATATCCGATAGAATAACAAAAGACAAATTCATTATTCATACACAGTAGAGGAAGATTTTTCTAATGACAGCAGCATGAAATAAATCCGAACTACCATTAACTTGAGAAACCATATAATATAATGCGATAAATGTTTGACTAAGTCTATAAATAGAAGCTCTGGATCAGCGTCTTCTGGCAACAGCGACACGCTCTTAACTGCAAACTATCACCAAAATAATAATGAATTTCCTTCGTATCACTGCAACAGTTTTGTGCTGTGTTGTGGTTGTGCTTGGAGCACTACCCTCCTCAAATTCACAGCTAGATCCTTCATTTTACAATGATACATGTTCAGATGTTCATTCAATCATAAGTGGCGTCCTCGCAAACGTTTCACAATCTGATCCTCGTATTCTTGCCAGTCTCATCAGACTTCACTTTCATGACTGTTTTGTTCAAGTATGTATCTGTTCTTCATCTCCTATATAATAAAATATATATAACATAACCCTATATAAAGCTAATTTCATGCCACACCAAATTTTTTTTTTAAGCAGATCCTTTCTTGCTTCAATTACCCCCCAAAGAAAAAACATTTGTAAATATTTCCTTTTCTGTATTAGCTGATTAAAAACATGGGTTCATATAGATTAACTTTGTCGTTATCATTAATTGGAGAGGGTTGACGGGGGCAAAAACCTGCCCCCTAAATTTCAACGTTCCTTAGAAACTTTAATTTTTGTTAAAAAATCCTCCATCAATTTTGAGGTAATCTTTTGCCATTCAAAGCTATGAATTATAGGCCTATGGCTCCACCACTGCTTATTATATATATATATATACATGTGTGTACACGATAGTAAAAGTAAAAGCATGCAGTTTGAAATATTGTGAATTGAATTATATATGTTCCATAAGGGGTGTGACGCATCAGTTTTGTTGAATGACACCGATACGATCGTGAGCGAGCAAGGGGCATTGCCAAACAACAACTCCATACGAGGTTTGGATGTTGTGAATCAGATAAAGACTGCTGTGGAAAATGCTTGTCCCGGCATAGTTTCTTGTGCTGATATTCTTGCTCTAGCAGCTGAAATATCTTCTGAACTGGTACGTATGTCTCCCTTTTCTTATATTTGAATTTATTTATACTATAATCTTGAATTACTTTACTGTCTACATCAAACAAAAAAGAAGGAAAATCCTTGTAGAAAGAAGCTATTTTTTAATCAGAAAATGGAAAACGAATGATTTGTTTGCAATCATTAATACTTTCTCTCTCTCTCTCTCTCTAACCTTTTTTTTTTTGGGGGTTTAATGGAAAGAAACTAAAAAAAATCAAATCTAAATTAAAGATAAATGATAGATAAAAAATAGATTTTTATTCGTAAAAAATAATTTTTAAATAAATAAAAAATATATAACTATTTATTACCTTTATTTATTCTCATCTAAAAAAGTATAAATAATTAATTACAAATCAATAAGCAGTTGAATTAGTTATATAATTACTTCTTCCATCTTATATTAGAGGAGGACAAATAAGTATTAAAATCGTAATCCTTGTTCCTAACTTAAACTAAATAATTGTACAATGAATTTCATCCCAGATAAGAGATGTATTGCAATTGTTATGGAAAAAAATATGAGAAAAATCTTCAGTTTAATCCAATAAAATGATAAATGTTAATGTTATATTATTTTTTAAAAATGACAATAAATTATTTTTTCAAATTTAATTTTCTGTTAATTTTTTTACAAATCTAAAATATTACATATAAAATTTTTATAACAGAGGGGGGAAATGATACAAAAATTTTAATGAAGTAATTTAGTATTTAAATTTTTTAAAGAACAAATATAATAACATATACAACTCTTAAATTGAAATTTTACAGTTTTTCAAAATAAAAGTTATCTTTGAGTTCACTTTACTTGTTTTAGCTCATTAAGAAGAAATTTTAATAATTGAAAAAAAATTAAAGTTGATAAAATAAGCCAACTCAATTGAATTAGATTAAGCGTTCACAATAAATTTTAAATTTTATACCTAACTTTAATTTAAACTTTTGTATCTTAATTTTAAGTGGTTTAAATTTTCTATTCAAATTAAATTTAGACTTTTTAATTTTTATTTAATTAAGTTCAATGTGAATTAAATTTATAAATAAAATTTCACTTTGTTTTATACTGTTATCCACGACTGAATTAGATAAATTATTTTATTAACTCTAAACAAAACACGACAAAAATTAAAAAATGTTACTTCGTTTGTTTTTACTATGTTGTGAAATTCATGTTCAATTTTGAATTCTAATGACATACAAATATTTTTCTAAGTTACTTTTCTTTTTTATTTTTAATCATTTAAAAATAATTGATCTGTATTAAGGCCTATTTCTAAATTATGCTAACAAACTAATTCACTGTTTAACAAGCATAGAGAAAAATAAGCATAAAGTTGAACAATTAGTTACAACAAATCATTATCAAGGATATAATTAATTTTTCACAGAATTTTAATCTTAACTAAAAGTATAATTAAGTTATCATTTATTGTTGCTCAAAATTTTATTTTTTATTTTATCTGTCTTGTATAGTTTTAATACAATTTTTTGGCAGGCTAGTGGTCCTTCTTGGGAAGTTCCATTGGGAAGAAGGGATAGTTTAAATGCAAGCATAACCCTTGCTAATACAAGTCTTCCACCTCCCATCTTCACTCTAGATCAACTTAAAGCTTCATTTGCTAATCAAAGTCTTAACACTACTGATTTAGTTGCACTCTCAGGTATAAATTTTAATATTTCAAAAAATGTATATCTTTAATAAAAATGTTATTAGTCAGTATATTACATATATATAATAAAATTGAATGTGTTTTAGGTGCTCATACCATTGGCAGAGCCAAGTGCGGTTTATTTATTGGGCGATTATACAATTTCAACAACACTGGCAATCCTGATCCTACTCTCAACACAACCCTTTTGCAATCATTACAAGCAATATGCCCCAATGGGGGACCAGGGACTAATCTCACCAATTTGGACCTAACAACTCCTGATACATTTGACTCTAACTACTACTCCAATCTTTTGCTTCAAAACGGCTTGCTCCAAAGCGATCAAGAGCTATTTAGCACGACTGATGCAGATACTATTGCCATTGTCAATAGTTTCAGCAGTAACCAAACTCTTTTCTTTGAAAACTTTAAGGCATCAATGATAAAAATGGGCAACATTGGAGTTCTGACAGGATCTCAAGGAGAAATTCGAACACAGTGTAATTTTGTGAATGGAAATTCTTCTAATCTGACTACCCCAATCACCAATATTAAATCACCAGAAGATGGCATGGTCAGCTCAATCTAATTAAATAAGTCATATGCTGAAAAATGCAAAGATTAAAGGTGATTAATAAAAGAGTTCTAAATGCACATGCATGCCATGTGGATGTGTGGACCATTGTAACCTTTGTACTTTGTACTCTAAGCCTAGCTCTTTATTGTAATAATTTTAAGTTTTTTGAAGTTGATCTGTTTGTGATATACCCTACCACGGACAAAGTATAACTACTATATAATTATTGTCCCAAGCAATGAAGAACCCTGTTGCTTTAACTTTCGACCTTTACCTACGAAGCTAAGTTAAAAGTACCCCTTCAACAAATGAATTGCAAATTACAAGTGTAAGCTTACATGAGCATTTCATTTTGGAATAATTGCGAATTCGGAAAAGTTGACAAACAACATAATTATACAATCATGATTCCAATTCGCAAGATGTTGTTACCTAATCTTGGAGATGAAGAGGTTAAAGTTAAATCTTTGTAGTTTTTAGTGTCAAGAGTGAAAGAGAATGCATCTAAAAGAAAGCACTTTTATACTTTACTCAGGTAAAAGTATTGGAAGTGTAAAATATAAGGAATATATATCTATAGCAAGTATATATGTTCTTATCATTAAAGAAAATTAAGATAACGTAAATTGATAATTATTTCTTAATGATAAATAATAATTAATTACTATCAACCCTTGATTAATAATATAATTCTTTAGAGAAATCTTAAAAGATCTTTGTCGAACTACAGTTCAACACACAAAGTGTGATGAAAGGTGCTACACATTGGAAGGGATTGGGAAGAGTTTGGATTCTAGCATGGTGCAAGCAGTTTCTTCAGGGATAACATGAGTGGGGGCGGCAACAGGTATGAGTTGAAGACGTAATTAGCAACATTTTCTATTTCAATTCATAAGGCCTTGCATATTGATCTCTAAAACCACAAAATTTAAATGTAGTTCTTTTGATAATTTTTTTGTGATACTTTTAATTAAAATTAATTTTTTATTTCAATATTTATAATATTTATCTTTTATTAAGATTAAACTTTAATTTAATTATAATTATATATAAAAAAAACTTCAATCATTACACTTAAATTTTCTCTTTTTCCAAACTCCCAAGAACTCACTTATCCTAGAGATATTAACTTGTTGATCTTGATTATGAGAGAAATACGAGTTAATAAGAGTCGAGGAACTATAAGATGCTTTCAGTTTTAAATAAGCAAAAAATAACTAAATATTATTTATTAAAAAATTAGTTAATCTCATTTAATATTTTTAATTTTGTATAAAAAATAAACTCAATTTTTAATATATTATTCATAATATTTAGCATACAAAAATAAATCAGTTAATAAAAATATTTCTTTTTATTAACATTAAATAATATTATTTAATGATTTAAGTAATTATATTAAATGTAAATATCAAAGATAAAAAAATTAATTTTAAAAAAGAGGTTTAAATTATAGGAACTTATTTCAAGTAAATTTTTTAAAATTTTAAAGCTACATGTAAGTGTTGATGACATTTCTTAAAAATAAAAAAATTAGTAAAAAGAATTAAAATAATTTCATTAAATAATATGACATTAATTAAGATTATATTTTAAATCATTATATCTTAATTGATATTTTTTTATATTTAAAATTAGAGAGAATAAAATTATACGAGGCTTTTGTGTGTAAATAGGAATTTTATGCTTTAATTTAATTTAGCGTGTCACTTAATTTTTTTAGACCCTAATATTTATTTTAAATCTAAGTATTGATTTAGAGAGAATAAAATAAGCTCAGAAGGGATGATCTTATCTATACATCCTGAAGAAAGTAGCCCCCAAAGTCTTCATAAAATAAACGTCCATAGGACTTTTAAAAACGCTTGAATGTTGTTAAAACATACGCAATGAATTAATTAACCAATTCAAATTCGAGTCCTACATGTGTATCATGGAAGTTTAGTACATAATTAATGTTATAATATTAATAATATATAAACTCCTAGATCATCAATTTCTCCGGTCCTACGGATACCCCCTCTTTTATTTTTCATTTAATTAATTTCTCACATTGTACGTGCATTTCAATATAAAAATTTTTATGATGAAAATTACTCTAAGTACATATTTGAATTATGTTTAACTGCTCAAAATTAAGTCTAACTTTGATAAGGTCACAACAAGCTAAGTGCAAAAATATTTATAAGTAGAGAAGAATTTTTCTTTTTTATGTTACAAGATTGTATAACCCTATCGGTGTAAGAGAGTTATAGTTTCCCATAAGCTTCCTTTATAAACTTGGACATGTAATAGCACGCAATAAAACCTTTTAATAATTAATTCAAATATTCAATTGATGACATTTTAATACTTTGGCAAATATGTTGAGTCGACACAAGTAATATAATAAAAATAAAAATGATGTTAAAAAATTGTGTTTCATGCACTACTTCACACGATTGTAACTAATTGGATTAAATATTTAAATTAAAGAGAGTTATAAAATACAAAGACACTGCAAATGTTACTGCAGAAAAACAAGAATTGTTTAAGGATTAATTTTATTTAAACCAATAAAGTAAGAGATTGCAAGATTTGTCTTAAGTATTATGAAAATTTGTAAGAAAATCAAGATGAGTACCCCGAAGCTGTTAGCAGAAACCTTCCCTATAACGATATAGCAATAACCAGAAGATGAAAGCTGGAATCCAATGGTGAGGAATCCAGCCCTTTATTATTTAGAACCCGAATATATAATAATTTTCACGGTTATTTTTCTCTACCGTTTATGCATGTAATGCACTTTTTAACTGTTCGAGAGAAGGAGACGATGAAACAAATTACGCGTAAGAAGACCAAATTAATTAAAGAAGTCAATGATCAAAATGAAATCTAATGACGATACATGCATGTCACCTGTGTGACAACTTGCTTTTAAAGCTTGCAATTGGTAGCCACAGTTTTCTTTAATGCAAGACCTATGCATATATTGTTGAATATATATATATATATATATATACTCCCACCACACCAACATAGGGTTTATAATATAACCCACCAAGGATGCCTTGAAATAGTAAGCAACCTCCAACGCTGACGATTTTGAATCCATGTGGAAAACAATATTATTACAGAGAGACCGCAAATCATGTTTTCATCACTTTTGGTTATGAGAATGTTAGGTTTCACGTTTGAATGGTTATGAATTGGTATCGATTATAAATTTATTAGCTATAATTTTTATATTTAATTCATGTTTATAGGTTTTTTTAATATATTTTCAAAACATGTGGACTATTTAACATTTTAGTCGAACATCTCCTACGAATATGCAAATAAATTGGCCAAATTAAACAAAAAAAAAAATCAGTATGTGCTGAGATTTAGTTATAAAATTACCTGAATAAGAATTAAAATACACGGTGGAGTTGGCTTATTTATGGGGTCCACACAGTAGCACACTGCACCTTCCTTAGCTATTGAACACATGCAATCTATCATATATACTTAAATTATCATTAGAAATATATAAAATAATAGTGTGAATTAAACTATGATAAGTCGTGAATTTGTACAATTAACTAGATTACGTGTATAATAAAAAAATTCTGAGTTTTTTGGTTGTCTTTTGTCTATCACAATGCAGGCAAGGCCATGACCATTTGTCTCTATAAATAAAGGTATGTTACCTGCTCAGTTTCACAACAGCAACACACACACACACACACACACAGTGTTCAAAATTTAAGCAGAAAAATGAGCTCTCTTCGTCTCATAGCAATGGCTTTAAGTTGTGCAGTGGTAGTGCTTGGAGGGTTACCCTTCTCCGCAGATGCACAATTAGATCCCGATTTTTACAAGAATACTTGTCCCCAGGTGCATTCTATTGTACAAAAAATCTTAAAGGACGTTTCAAAATCGGATCCTCGTATGCTTGCCAGTCTCGTCAGGCTTCACTTTCACGACTGTTTTGTTCAAGTATATAAATTTCCTCTTTTAGATGCTAAAAAATAACGCATCTTCTGTTTTCCTTACTAATTGCGTGTTTATAGTTCCTCATCTTAAATTTGAAAACGTGAGATTTCGTTTATAAAAGTTATAAGAGAAACTAATAAACGATTGTTTGAAATTTTCCATCTGAAAAATCGTTCACGCACTGAACATCTTACTAATATGGTAAATTTACATTAGTTCACTGTAAAGAATCGTCAAATTATTGCAATCGTATCCTACAAGAGAATTTAGTAAATATGCATATTTCCCTTCATTTTTTATATTTTATAATCTATAAAATTTTATGCGACAGGTGAGAAGAAATTACATCAAAAGTAAAACAACTTTCGTTGTCTCTTTTGATCTTATTTGAGACTAATTTTTTACGGTATTGTTAATGTCAACCTCTATAGTTAATTTTAAACATATAAAAAATATTTTTTTTATTAACAATATATTATTGTATTGTCTATTTTAATATAATAAATTATTTTTAATAAAATTATATTATTTTTAGATGTTTAAAAATATTTATAAAAACTAATGTTGATCTTTTTATTTTGTATATGTATGCATACAAATTTAAAAAGTAAAAAGTAATTATATAATATCAAATACGATATTAATTATTTGATATTCAAATAATGTAATTGATAAAGGATTAATCTTTTAATAACTTCAACTGGGCAAGTATGTAACACTTTAGTATTCTAAAAAATGGTGAGCTATATTTTGCTATTAGACAATAAAATGCATGGGTCCACAAAAGGGAGCATTTGTTAGGCTCAACAAGATCCGACAAATAATATTGCACGTCCTAATCAAAAGTCAATCAGAAATTGAAAAATAAAAGAGCTCACAACTGTTCGGTTGTCTCATGTCAACATAAAATAATGGCAGTTTGGAATGCCGAAAATTTCTATACGGAACTAAGGAAGAGAAAATTATTCTTTAATTTTTTCAGATCATAAATATGTATTATGTAATTGTTGAGAATGTAATTAACTAGTTGATTATGTTGGTCGTGCTTGTGGCATGCATGCAGGGTTGCGACGGATCAATTTTGTTGAACGATACAGCTACGATCGTGAGCGAGCAAACTGCAGCACCAAATAACAACTCGATAAGAGGTTTGAATGTTGTGAATCAGATAAAGACTGCGTTGGAAAATGCTTGTCCTCGCGTAGTTTCTTGCGCTGATATTCTTGCCCTTGCTGCTCAAGTATCTACTTATCTGGTATATGTCTCACCCTATATATAACATAACATAGAATTTCCATTTTAGCTTCAATTTTTAATTCTAATTTAGTATATGTGGATAACTAATTATAAGAAAAAAAAAACAATGAAATTTCTTCTTCTTCTTTTTTGGGAAACAAAAATATATATATTTAAGGCATTTCTTAAGAACATCCTCTCAAGCGGGCCACGGAGAAAACAAAGAAAGATGACGAAAGATTAATGTCTTTATGACGATCTTGTATTGCCAAAACAGAAAATCAACAAAGGGATTCTGTTTTCTGACAATATGAGACACGGCAATAATACAATTAACTAATCCACGTAACTTGTCGTTATAAGGATAACCTTGGTTGTGTTTGTTAACTTTGTAACTGTGTAAACTATGTATATTCGTTAGGGTACCCCCTTATGACCCTTTTATTGTTTTCTTTTGGCTGACTAAAAAAAAAACTCATCGTTAAATATATATTGAGCAATTTTCATCGCCGTTCTCATTAGAAACCCAGTCCACATGGTAAGAGAGAAATCACATTTTTATACCAAAGGTCTTAGTTGAGCTAAAATTCAAACAGAAAATAAAAGCATTAAGAATAGCCAACTACAGCTTCATAAACCCAACAAACCCCAAAAGATTTAGAGAAACAACCAGTAACAAAATTTTGCTCAATTCTAAGAACATACACCTCCAACACCTTGCTCAAGTTTTGAATTGATTTTGCTTTTACCTATAACTAATTCGCATGATGTTAGTTCATAGTTTCACATTTTTAATTAACCATGTTTTATTTTATTTATCTTAAAATTAGTATGAATTAATATTGGCAGGCTAATGGTCCTTGCTGGAAAGTTCTCTTGGGAAGAAGGGATAGTTTAACAGCAAACAAAACCCTTGCTAATCAAAACCTTCCAGCTCCTTTCTTCAACCTAACCCAACTTAAAGCCGCTTTTGCTGCCCAAGGCCTCAACACTACAGATCTAGTTACTCTCTCAGGTACGAAATATTTTCCAAATGACGTGTTATATCCTATATGTTCCAAGAAGCAACAATGCTAAAAAAAAAAAGAAATAAATTGCAATAACTTAGAAATTAATATCCTTGAAACAATTATTAATTTTTCAAATAAAAATGACAATTCATGTTGGAGGTGTTATATATATGATTATATAATGTATGCATCATTTTGATTTTTAGGTGCTCATACATTTGGTAGGGGTCAGTGCTTTTTATTCGTTAATCGATTGTACAACTTCAGCGGCACAGGGAAACCTGATCCAACCCTCAACACAACTTACTTAGAACAATTGCGCAAAATATGCCCCAATGGTGGACCTGGGACTACCCTCACCAATTTGGACCCTACCACACCTGATAAATTCGACGAGAACTACTACTCCAACCTTAAGGTTCACAAGGGTCTATTTCAAAGTGACCAAGAGCTGTTCTCAACAACCGGTGCTGATACCATTAGCATTGTCAACAAGTTCAGTAGTAGCCAAGAAACTTTCTTTAAGAACTTTGAGGCTTCCATGATAAAAATGGGTAATATTGGTGTGCTAACGGGGACAAAAGGAGAAATCCGAAAACAGTGTAATTTTGTTAACAAAAAATCTGCTGAACTTGATATTGCTAGCGTGGCCTCTGAAGAATGGTCACCGGATGGTATGCTTAGCTCAATATAATTGAATTAGTGTACGTGTCTTAATTATATACACTAGTAACGATGTAGTTGAAGACCACCAATAAAGAAGCTATAGACACATTATTCGTACCATGTGTCCGTGGCTAGTTGTTGTATGGATGTGTGACATCTTCCGATTTGTATTGAGTTAGTAATCAATCAATCAATTTTCAAATTCAAATCATCTGATATATGTGTGTGTGTGTTAAAGCTAATATATATATATATATATATAAACTCTTCTAAATGCTCTCAATGATAAAACAAAGTTGGAACACATAAATGTTTGAGGAATGAAATTTAGACAATATTGAATCATGCAATACTAGGAGAATTCATTCTCTTAATTAATGCACCGGTAGTTGTGAACCAGCATGACTTGTCCTATGAGAATGAGGCACTTAAAAACCAAATTAAAGCAAACATACATCTGGTCCTGTAAAGCTTTATTTAGTCTGTGGATAAAACTCTATATTGAAGTAGCATATTCGATAATGGAACCTATTCAAACAGAGGCAAACAACAAGTAGAAGTAGGATAACAAGATCCCAAAAGTATATTAAACGAATAAGCAACTTAATTAGGACAGCTCGACAGGCACTATAATACAGAACTTTGCAGGGAATGGTTAATTAATTATGGATTGAAATGTTAAATTACTTAATAACTAATATCATATTGAAGTTAAATATAAGTGAAGCAGGGAGCAACGAAATCTCATCCTACAAGTGGTAGATTAAATATAATCTGCTTATATAATAATGAATAGTACACCAACTGTTGGATCACTTCTCTTGACTTTAGTGACATGAAAATATCCATTTGTACATTATGATATATTAAAGGATAATGAAGAGATATTCAATAAAAAAGGGCAATGACGAATTTGTTAATTGATAAATCATATGAACCCCACAACTCTCATCATTATGGCTAAAAATTAAAGGCCTCAACCATTTTCTTCCTCTCTTACAGACTTTTCTAATCTTACTTTTCAAATCTTACACGAACCTTGTCAGATACATAACATGGTTTTCAAATCTACCGAAATGGTTTTAAATGTGCACTACGTCGTGCAGAGAAAGATTGGTACGATATATTATCCTATGATGTCATGTATAATTTTTTTTAAGAAATGACAGTAAAGAGATAATATGCTCTCTAATACATATTTTTTATTATTACTTAAAATTTATTAAAATAAAACAATATGAACTTCTCTCTCTAATTAATGAATCTCTTCCATAATGTTATGAATTTCAATCAATAATCGCTTCATAAGTACTTCTTAAAATTCTTTAAGAATTATAATATAACAAAATTAGGAAATATAAATAACCATTAATATTTTGATTTATTAAAAACTCATTGAAGAATTACTTCAAAGTAAATATAGTTAAGGATAAATTGTATAAAAAAAACCCGTGATAATTAAGAAATTGATACAAAGAAAATATATTCAAAGAAAATTAGTATCAGTATCAAGTATGTTGTTGCATTAATTGTTAAGATGTGGCACATGAAATTTGAAGAAAAAATAATGAAATAAAACAAGAAATGTAATCTAATAAAATCAATAAATTAAATTTCACAATCTCACAAAATTATTTATACTAATTAGTCAAAATCTCACAAAATTATAAAGATAAAAAAATGCATATATACATACATATATATATATATATATATATATGTATATATAAGCCTAAAGCTAATTAAGCTCTTTTTTTTCTGCTAAGAGCTTATATCATAAGACGTTTGATTTTAAATCTATATAATATAATAAGAGTTAAACATATGCAACCAAGCACAAAAAGTCCATCAGTTTAGGTTGAAGCGTAACTGAGAGTTTGAGAAAATCTTTAACAATTTTGATCATATCATAAGTTTGTGGTTCTATCTAGATATTCCTAATACCAACTAATGGAATTTAGCTGTCAACGTTAATTAGATATATGAAAAAAGCATTATACCATACGATGTCTTTTCTCCATGCAAATTGCAAAAGGTCAGCAACTACGCAGACAAACAAGACCCACAAAAGTAGGGTTGATTTCATTGCCGAAGATCCCGACCCTTTTTAATAGGGTAATGAATTCAAAAATAATTTTGATTAAATAAGTAGGTTGCATGCTTAACTTGATTAATTTGGTGTAATTTGCCACAATAAGTTTATTCTTATGTCTTTTATATAATTGTCTCCAAAGCTATAACTAAAATCCTACGCACTTAATGAACTTGATCAACTTTTCATAACTTGTTCATCTATTATCAAATATATGTTAATTTCTATCAAAATCGTGACTTAAACAATCTGGGTCGACCTAACAATTACTACATTCATATTTTAAAAATTCAAAAATATCAAAGGAAATTTTGAAAACTTGAGTCATGCTTCCTCTTTCCTCTGCCTTGCTTCAGACCAAGGCCTCAGTCATTCAAAGATACTTTTCATGAATCTTTTCTTAGAATTAACTTAATGAGTGCACAATGATTAAACTACATCCAATGTAATTCAAGTTTACCCTTTTCTAAAGCAGAAAATAAAAGTATTAGATAAGAAATAGTAATTGCAGGGCGTTATTTTCTTCTGTTTGACTACAGGAGACAAGACGTGAGAAAGGAACGAAAATGGCACTGAAGACCATGTTTTATTTCTTTTCATGTAAAAGAAAAAGATTGAGAGAATGGACACGTTTTTTAAGAGAGAAAAAAGTATTTTTAATGTTTTTACATAAAAAATAAAAATATTAACTTTCCTTTTTTACTCTGTTTTTAATCAAATAAATAAAATTAATTTATTTTTTACCTTGTTTTGGTTTTTTCTTTTCTCCACTTTCTTTTTACTCATTTTTCTCTTTCAGCTAGCATTGAGGAGCACTAATCTCTTTGTGGTCTATAATATATTTTCCAAATTAATTAATAAACTTGGAGCATGTTGTCTGCCCGAAAACTTATTCGCAGGAAAACTCCTCATGCGTTTGTCTTTTTATTTTTAAATATATTGAAAGTATTAAAAATTACAATATAATACAATTATGAATTATTATATCAGTAAAAGTTATTAATTTTTATAATTAATATAAAAATATATTAATAACATAAATTAATTGATTGATAATGTAAAACTTTATATTCACAGTGCATTAAAATTATATTATTAAATTATAACAATATAATTTTAATGAAACAAACACTACCCTATACATGAAAAAGTATTTATGGACCCCAAAAAAGAAAGAAAGTCTCAGATCATAAACATACATTCGGAGAAACTTCATTTTCACAGCTCAATAGATCAAAGCCAACTCGTAAATGAATGTATGAAACATGTGAAAATTTAACAATAACTTATTCTAATGAACTTAAATAAAAATAACAATATATAGTTAATGATTTAAGAAATAATAAATAAAGCTTACACTATACTTCTATATATTAATTTAATTTATAAAATTTATTCTTTTGCGAGTAATTAAAAAGACCTAGACCCTTTTTCTGTCTTTCAACATATTAAGCTTTCAAATTAATGGTATAGGTAATATTATCAGTTTTTAAAAAAAATTAAGTTTAAAGATTGAAAATAGTAAAATTTTATTAAAAATATTTTTTATATTGAAATGTAAAAATATAACAAACGATTTTTTATAAACTCAAATTTAAAAATTTAAGTAAATAAAACTGAATTATTATTAGCCTTTGATCCCCTTAGATCATGATTGGAAGCATCTCATGCTCCACGAGAAGTGTGGTGGGGGCATAAAAACGTTTCCTTCCGTCACATTTGTCGTCTTGTTCATCATAAATGACTTAAAGTTGTTGCCTCCTGCTCGTACAATATGTAGATCTTCACATATCATTTCAAAAGTTTGACTTGCTTTTGATATTTTAAAATGTATACTTATATATAGCGATTATATTTTCTGAAAATATTAATAGTTGAATAGATTATTTTAAGGAATGACATTAATTTTTATAAAATTCATGAGATATTATTAATTGAATTACTCCCTTCACCATTTTAATCTTTATCATAGCTTTACAAAAGAGTAAGAAAATTAATACTTCTCCTGAATCTAGAAAGAAAGTTAATCATGGTATTAAATAATTTTTTTAAAAATTAGATATAACTTGCAAAGGTCTATTAATTAATCGTAATGTTTAAATTAATGATATAATTTATTATTTTTGTTATGGTTTGAATGAATTTTTAAGTCATTTATTTTTAACGTGTTCAGTTTTATCTTAAATTTAGTATTTTATTGCGTGTTAGTTTGGATTCTTACTAGTCTTGTCTTTAAATTTATCGATTCACTTGTTTGTTTGGATTAATGTTAGTTGTAATAAAAGAAAAATGATATATTTATTAATTATTTACATAAGTACAAGGTGTTCTTTGTGATTATATAAAAATAAAATAGTATTTTTTAATAGTACTTTAAATGAGAGAAAAGTCTTAGATTATATTATTCTAAAGTCTTGAAAATAAATATCACTTGTTAATAAGAAAAAACTATTCTGATTGATATCTGAATTCACAAAATTGAATCTATTTTAATTTTACATAAATATATTTATCTTTTTATTTTCTTGAGTAAGTATTGACTTTTTCCTGTGTATATGAATTTTAAATTTTTCTTAAACTCTTTCTAATAATATATATTTTATCTAAAAAAATATTAATTTTAAGACATACATGTCCCTCTAAAAGAAGAAAATAACCTAATTTTATACACACTGTAAATAAAGAATGAGAAAGTTGGGATAATAAATATTCTGTTTATATTATAAATTGACAAGTAATTTGGGATAAAAAATTATTAAAGTCTGACAATTATTTCAAACGGATAAGTATTATTTCTTTATAAGAATTTGTTCCAATAATCTTTCATCAAATAATACTTTAATTACCATGTATTCTGTAACTTTGCTGTCATTAACTTTTTAAATGTTGGGTAAAACAAAAGAAATTAAAAATGAAAATAACTCCTTAATGGGAACATGCTTTTTAGCTAAAAGCATGTCTTGATGTGCGACTTGAAAACCTACACTGGGTAATAGCCAGCCTGTGTGGTCGTGGGTTAAAAAAGAAAGAGCTTCTATTTGAATCACATGCATGAATCAGGTCAAGATACATGATAAAATTAAAGCAAAAATCAGTAGAAAAGATAAAATTAATTGAAATTAAATGATAAAGTTTGTATATATCGTATAACTATGTATTTAATATTATTATTTTTAAAGTGGCTAGAGAAAGCAAGCACCCAACGTTAGGAACAAACTATTAGAAATAGACCAGTGGGGATTTGTTTATTGACCAAGGACGACCAAAAGGATCTGAGTAGTAAAAAATCAATGCTTTAGAAAACTAAAAAATAGTTGCCAAAAAATAAAAAGGAAAACTAATATATATATTCACCAGGTCCCATGTTACTGTTTGGTGATTATTTAAAAGCGTGGTAGCTGGCTATCGCTTTGCTTTAAGGATTAAAGTAGATCTTACCTTGTGCCAAATAATAACAACACAATAATTAATAAATTAAATTCTTTATGTTTTATTAAAAAAATCAAATTTAGTTACAATAACCTTCAAATATTGTAGAATTTAAAGTAAAAATACTAATGACAAAGCCATTAAAAACAAAACTTAGGTTTGTTAGATAAGAAATACTAATATACTTTTGTTTTGAGCTCCACCTAGACTAAAAGAGTAAGGTTAATGACGTAAACCAAAAGAAGATTTATATAGGAAAAAACTGTCAATATAATAATTTAAATTAAGGGTTACGTTTAAATGCATAATTTAATTAACTACATTTACTTATCGTAATACATTGAAGAAATTGTTTGAATAAATTCTATCAATAAAATTCTAAAACAAATTAAAAATTATGCGATTCATAAAATACTATATGATTTTTAAAATATTTTTAAATCTTCTTACATTATCTATTTAAACAAATTGAATTTTCTTTATAAAATATTTAAAAAGGACTAATAAAAATACGATAACATAATATTACTCTTTTTTGCAAAATAATTTTATATCATCTTATTAAATCTGTCTACTAATGACTGATGTTTTATAAAGAAATTAAAATCTTAAATATAAAAAATTATTTAATAAATAAAAAAAGCTTAATTGCATAATTTAGTTTATATGCGATTTTAATTTCTCTAAATTCAGTAAAATCTTGTAAGATTGTGATTAGGCTTTAATTGCATTTTAATACTTGTACGTGTGAACAGTAAAATATTATAAGATAAGATTCTGATTAGGTTTAATCATCACCAAATAATTAATCAAAATTCAAATATATACTTAACGTTATAATTTAAGTTTTTCTAGAATTCCAATGTTGAAACCCCCGTTTATATATAATAATTTATGTACAGAGAAGTTTATATATACTCTTGTTTCATTTATACGTGAAGAGTCAAATTATTGAGCAAAATATTCTGTTCACAAATCACAAGTAAGAATAAGTATTGAGCTCTTAACCTTGAAAAAGACATTAAAAATCAGTATAATATATTAATTAATAATATAAATATTTAAAATTTACGCTAAAAATACTACTTTTTATAATAAGAGCTTTTTATATATATTATTTGTGTAAAAATACTCGTATTATTAACTGATTAAAATAAATAATAAATATGATTTTTAAATTTATTATTATAAATTGAATAACAATGAAAGAGTTATCGATATATTAAAATTAAACTCTTAATATAATTTAAAAATAAAAATGATTTACAAACGAGATAAATGTTAGTAATTAAGTTTGAAATGTGTAGACTTTTGTGACGAGAGCAGCATGATTGAAAACTTAAAACACACCAACTACGAACAATGAAATGAATAGACAGAGCAATGAAACTCGGTTCTTTCTTTAAATAGACGCTACATATGTGAGCGAGCAAAGCGTTCCCAACAGAACGGAAACATGAGTTCCCTTCTCACACTCAAAGTAGCTTTGTGCTGTGTAGTGATTGCCATTGGAGCACTACCCTTCTCCTCAGATGCACAGCTAGACCCTTCCTTCTACAAGAATACATGTCCCAAAGTCCATTCCATTGTGCGTGATGTCATCAGAAACGTTTCTAAATCAGATCCACGAATGCTTGCTAGCCTCATAAGGCTCCACTTTCATGATTGTTTTGTTCAAGTATGTTACACTGTTGTGGCTTCATTTGCTTCTTCAATATACGTTTAAATTGCGTTGTTATGAAATTTTATGCCTTTATTAATTGAAATGTTACTATATAATACGTGTGGCAGGGGTGTGATGGATCAGTTTTGTTGAATGATACGAGTACGATTGTGAGTGAGCAAGGTGCAGCGCCAAACAACAACTCCATAAGAGGTTTGGATGTTGTGAATCAGATAAAGACTGCAGTGGAAAATGCTTGTCCTGGCGTAGTTTCTTGTGCTGATATTCTTGCCCTTGCTGCTGAGATATCCTCTGTTCTCGTATGTCCCCTGTTCCTGTTCCTATATTTTACCTTGTTTCTTTTTTATATTATTCAACTTAACTTTAGTTTCAACATTTATTCTTTTTAGTTTTAATTTATTTTTTCATCAATTTTATAAAAACTATACAAATAATTTACTAAAATTTTTAAAATATGCCTCATAGAAAAACCAAAAATATTTATCACGGTTCATACAAATAAGAAAAAAAACATTGTTTTTGTTAAGACATGGGCGAAAAGATTATTAAGTGATATGTAGTTTTTATTCTTGATTAACCATGAGACATATGATATAAATTTAATTTGTTTTTATTAAATATGATTGTATATCGCATAATGATTAGTTAAGGTTATAAATTCGCACTTCTCCTAAATCATCTAATAACTTTTCATGTTAGAAGCTAATCAAATAAAGAATTTTAGGTTTAAAAATTATTTTAATTTTTGAAAAATATAAGGTCGCCATTGATAACTAATGGGAAATAAAAAAAAAAATCTTTTTTTTTAATAAAGAGTCAATAAATTTAGTTTTTTAAAAACTTAAACAAATCAATATTTATATTTTTTAAATATAAAAAATAATTTTAATTTTTAAATGTAACTGATATATAAGTTTTCAAATACTAAATTTAGTATATAATGTTAATGATACTCAAATAGTAACATAAAATGGTAATTGTTGCTCACATCAAAATCAACGATGAATTGTACTAAAAATAAAGTAAGTCTCGAAGGAGTTTTTTTTTCCATATCGGTAGGCCCTCCTTTATATGATGATTTCTTTTATATTGACGAGTAAAAAGTATTTTTGTAACATAATATATTTTTATCAAATTTAATTAATAATTTTATAATTAATTGTAGTATATTTTATTTAATCAAATTTGCAGTTTTTCTCTATTACATAACTATAGCTTGTTACTTCAAGAGAATCTAAATTTAACATCTCATCATATTTAACATTAATTAAAAAATGAGTATTTGTTAAAAGAAATTAAGAAAAGCTAAAGAAAAATGAAAAGTCAATTTATTAAATAATAAATATAAGGAAAATATTGATTAAATTTATTATAAAGTTAAAAAGATATAAGGTATAGAATAAAGATTTGTAATTACATCAAAAAGATAAAATTATCTATTCCAAAAAATAACTACTAAAAGTCTAAAATGTATTATTTATTGTATACCACAAATGGGGGTCTCTTTTTGACTAAGTTAATGTGTAGCGGCCATTTTAAGAAAGAAATCTCTCTTCTTTTTTTTAATTAAAATATGTAACAGTCGTATTTTAATATTAATATTTTCTTGGGAAGAAAATCAACGGTTATTAAATCATCATATTGTCATACGTTTTTTTCCCTTGTTTTTTGGGTAAACTTTTTTTCCCTAAACTTTTGATATTAGTTTTTCTTTTTGTCGTTGTCATAGTAGTTTGAGACAGGTGACTGGCCTTTGAATGATGGGTATTTTCTCCCTTTAGCCCAAGTTTGATACAGAAGACGGGCCTTTAAGTGATGGGCTTTTCTTATACCAAAAATTTTGCTAAAGGACCAAAAACACCATGCTCTCACTTGAGCTCTTTAATACCAAATTTACAGTTAGTTTTTTGGTATAACTTTTTGAAAAAAAAAAATTAAAATGTTGAAATTTTTAATTAATGTTAAAATATAATTTTTCACTTTTTTATTATATTTTAAACAATTATGTCAATGTTGAATGATAATTCACGTGAGAAAATGATTTTCTTTACTTTAGAATCACGTTCCTTTTAACTTATTTTCTATCTTTTTTTTTCTAAAAAATCATGCATTTAACAAATTTTTAAAATTTAAATAAAATTTATCAATTACAATTAATTAAATAAAAATATGTATTTTATTGTTAATAATGAATAGTTTACTATATTAAAAAATAAAGTGTTTATAATTAAGAAGAAATAAAAACACACCTCTTTTGATATATTTGTTAAAATTCAAGATTTAAAAGTCAAAATAAAATTAAGATTAATCAACAGTACAATAATTTTATATTTTGATTTATTAAAAAAATTAAAAACACCTTCAATCTGATATAGTGTATCATATTTTAAAATTTAAATTAAACTAATGGCGTTTGAAAATAATAAAAAATATAAATAAAAAATTAAGACACTCAATGCAAAAGAAGGCACATAAATTAATTAAAAAAATAACATTTTAAATTTCTATTTCAAGAGTAATGAGTCATATTTATAATATAAGAATGGATGAAGAGGCAATTTGATGGGCTCATAATATTAACTATTTGAGAATAGGAGGAAATGAGCTTGAAAAACATGTATAAACATCTTTGTGTGTTTTTTAAACCTCACTTTCTTATTTTGTTCATCTTGCTTGCTTGTTAGGCTCATGGTCCCGATTGGAAAGTTCCACTCGGAAGAAGGGATAGTTTAACAGCAAATCAAACTCTTGCTAATCAAAATCTTCCAGCCCCTACTTTCACCCTTGATCGGCTTAAATCTGCATTTGCTAATCAAGGCCTCAACACCACTGATCTTGTTGCACTTTCAGGTACAAAATTTTTACATTTCAAGAAATATTCTTAATATAAATGATATTAGTTCATTACATAAATGATTAAATATGATGTAATTTCAGGTGCTCATACAATTGGTAGAGCTCAGTGTAGATTTTTCGTTGGTAGATTATACAATTTCAACAGCACTGGCAATCCTGATCCTACTCTCAACACAACCCTTTTGCAATCATTACAAGTAATATGCCCCAATGGGGGACCAGGGACTAATCTCACCAATTTGGACCTAACCACTCCTGATACATTCGACTCTAACTACTACTCCAATCTTCAACTTCAAAATGGCTTACTTCAAAGTGACCAAGAGTTGTTTTCCACAAGTGGTGCAGATACCATTTCCATTGTCAACAGTTTCAATAGTAACCAGACTCTATTCTTTGAAAACTTTAAGGCATCAATGATAAAAATGGGCAACATTGGAGTACTAACAGGATCTCAAGGAGAAATTCGAACACAGTGTAATTTTGTCAATGGAAATTCCTCTGGATTGACTACTCCAATAACTAAAGAAACATCAGAAGATGACATGATTAGCTCAATTTAATTAAATGAGCTAATGAAGACTACGCTTGCAAAATATAAAGACTAAAGGTATTTAATTAATAAAGAGTTCTATAGGCACATGCATGCATGCCATGTGCCAGTGGTGGATTGTGATAATGTTTGTACTCTGCATTTTATGGCTAGTTGTTACTATGCTTGTAATGTATAATATATGAAAATTTTGAGTTCTTTTAACGTGATATGATTGCGAGTGATCCTCATAGTTGATAAAGTATAACTATTAATTTTTGTCATTGGCAATAACAATCTTTGTTGCTTCAAAATTAAGACTATAATTGACAATTGAGTTGAAAGTATCACTTGAACAAAAGAATGGATAGTGTCTTTTACTATTTAATTTTTTATTTTTTATACTCAAATAACAGTGGCATGTGCCTTTTAAAGAGAAAATAAAATAAAAAGTAAATACAATTAATATTTTTAAAAGATATACGTCAATTATTTTTGAATTTATAATAAGAAGCTACTATATATATTTTTATTTAAAAGAGGTCAAAATTCGAGCAATTCACTGAACAAGGACAAGAAAAGGGTGATGCGAGCAACTTCTTATGCTATGTGATGGCAATCACGTCCGTGAGGCAATGGGTTGAATCGAAGCTTGAATTAACTAAAGTTTCAATTACAATTTATGATGGATTTCATTGCACATAAATTTCACTAGCACCCGTGTAAAATTTACTTTATGATAAACAATGTGTTGATAAAGGTAAGTTTAAAATAATCTACTAATATTGAAAAATATCATTCAATATTTGTAAACTTTTCAACATAATCAATAACATGTTATTAATAAAATAAAACCAGGGATATGTACATTAATTTTATGTCATGTACAAAATAATAATTGATTATTGTCCATAGTAAAATTGCCCAACATACATAATTTTGCTTCTCAAAAAGTATGGACATAATTATAATTTCATTCCTTCATTTATGAAGAAGTATAACATTTTTTTATATTCTAAATTAACAAGAAAAGACAATGATAGAGACAAATTTGCATTTAAGAAATATGTTAGTGAAAAATTAACGTCGTCACTTGAGATTGATGATTGAAGGGTCTTTGTAATGTCAAGAGATTGGTACGTGGACAAAATACTAATATAAAAAAAAAAAAATACAACCTCAATCAATGTTTTAAAATCTTTCTTGGACATCAACTCAAACAATAGATTATTGGTTGAACCAACGAAAATAATTGAATTGATATTTACTAAATCGTACAAAGTTTGTACTAAAAAATATAATAATAATGCATAACACAAATTAACATAACTTTAAAAGTCAATCAATTTCTATCACACAATGACATAATTAAACAAATTATAATTAAGATTTTATTACAACATAAAGTAATGGATAAGTTAATATAGTTAAAGTTTAATAGTTTTAGTAGAATATAAGTTCACAACCCATAATCATAAAAACGTAAGTAAATAAATATTTTAGAAAACCAAAAAAAATGTTTTTCTATGTTTGCAATAAAAAAAATATTGTTAAAAATACTAAGAGTATGTTTGTTTCCATTTTTAAAAAGTGGTTTTTCTTTTTAAAATTAAAAATACACTTATTTTTTAATTTAAAATTATTTTTTTTTTCAAAATGCAAGAAAGCATACTGTAAGTATCATATATGACTTGCTAAGGTATATGAAAAAGAAATATAAATATCACTTAAATTTTAGAGGCGTGTTAGAACGCATTTTCTAAAACTTTTTTAAAAATAAAATCTCAGTATTTATTAAAACTATAAAAATATAAAAGATAATTGAAAGTCATTAAATTAAAAATAAATTTTACATGATTATTTTTATTTTAATAAAATTTAATTAATAATTAAGAATATATTGCTACTATTTCTTTAATAAAATAAAATAAGATAAAAATCATCCTACTTATTAGGAATGCAAATATTTATATTTATCAAAATACTTAGTTTTTTTGTTTATTTTTAATAATGATTAATTATCTAAGTAATGATTGATGCACTGTGAAAATAAATTTTTATTTTAAATAAATATATTTTTAAATAAAAAAATATAAAATAGGATATTAATACAAATTTAATATATTAATTATATTTTTTATCATATATTATTTTTTAACTTAAAATTAAAAATTATACATATTTTCTCTTTCAAAACTCTCTATCCCAAATAATCTCTTTCGCTAATTTAAGATAATACAAAAAACTAATTCGGGAGTAAAGTGTAGATCACCTTAACAACTACATAATCAAGTTTTTTTAAAAAAGGAAAAACAAATAAAATATTTAAAAAATAAAAATAGTATTTTGATTAAATAAACGACCTCTCTCTAAGACTCTTAAACCCTAGTTGTGTTGAGGCTGTGTCTGCTTCTCTTCTGAAAAACCCTACACAACACTCTCTGTTTCGCAAATTGGAACCTTTGAATCGTATAATTATGCCCACCAGAAACCGTAAGAAGAAGAGCAATGACCCATTCTTCGCCAACGATTCACGAAAACGCCGCAAACCTAACAACGACGATGAAGAAGAAGACGCCGAGATAGAAAGCGACTTCGACGAAGACGGCTTCTTTGACGGCGCCGACGCTGAATCCGATGAGGAAGCCGAAGAAGAAACCGGCGCAGAAGCGCGGAAGAGAATCGCGCAGGACTATCTGCGAATGGTTCGGCAAATCGCGCAGAAAGAGAAGGAACGACGAGAAGGTGACGACGAAGAAGAAGAAGATGATGATGATGAAGAAGGAGCAAGAGACTCACTCGTAGCTCAGAAATTGATAAAGGAGCAACAAGAGGAAAGTGGACGCGTCAGAAGAGCCATTGCTTCTAGGTCTGATTGATTAATTCGATTCATTATTCACCAATTGGTTGTGTTTGTGTTTTGATTTCGAGTCACCCTTACGGTTTGTTTGTTTGTTTGTTTAGGGTCGAAGTGAGGGGTGATAGTGGATTTAGGGTTTTGTTGAAGCACCGGCATTGTGTTACTGCTGTGGCTCTGTCTGAGGATGATTCGAGGGGCTTTTCGGCCTCGAAAGATGGAACCATTATGCATTGGGATGTGAATAGTGGGCAATGTGAGAGGTATAAGTGGCCTGGTGATTCGATGTTGAAGTCTCATGGTTTGAAGGATCCGCAAGGTTCAGCTTCAAGGCAAAGTAAACATGTATTGGCTTTGACCGTGAGTTCCGATGGGCGATATTTGGCAACTGGTGGCCTTGATCGCCATGTTCATATATGGGATACCCGCACCAGAGAGCATATTCAGGTGCCTTTTCCTTGTTTTAAATGAATAATAATAATTTTAGGGGGAAAATGGGTGATATCTTTGGAAATTTGTTGTAGCTCTTGATGCAGTGAGAAGGGTAGTAGGTTGTTTACTTGTTCGTTTTAAATGAACTTATGGAAATAGCTTATGATTTCTATAAGTTGTTTTTAGTTTATCCTAATAAGTTTTGTGGTTAAATTTATGGCATAAGCACAATTTTAAAAAAAAATTGAATAAAAGCTTATTGAAGTTGTGTATCTAATGCTCCTTAGTGGGTAGTGCATATAGAGATAGACAGGATCTTACATGTTGATTGACAAAGTAAATTTGAGCTGATTGACTTGTTTTGGTTTACATTTTTCTTGTTAACATAGTATACTTAGTGACTTAAATTGACTTGCTTTGCTATTTTTGGTTTTAATTTCATCTTTTACAGGCTTTTCCAGGTCATAGAGGCCCTGTTTCTTGTCTGACTTTTAGGCAAGGAACTTCAGAGCTTTTTTCTGGGTCATTTGATCGGACAGTTAAGATATGGAATGTTGAAGACAGGACTTACATGAATACCTTATTTGGCCACCAAAGTGAAGTATTAAGTATTGATTGCTTGCGCAAAGAAAGGGTACTAACAGCTGGACGCGATCGCAGTATGCAATTGTTTAAGGTAATCTCACCAAGGTGAAGTATTTGGCTATGAACCATCTTGAACATTAGGTGTTGAATGCTTTCTCCTAATGTTGCTCTGTTCTTTCCCTTGCTATTGTTATGTGTGGAAAATTTTCAAGTGATAAGGGGGATATTAACAGCTAAGAACTGTTTCTTGGGTTATTCCTGTTTCTCTTTTACCCTTGTGTTTTTTTTTACCATATCTTGATGTGTATTCTCCTTAATTTAGGTTCATGAAGAATCACGTCTTGTATTTCGCGCGCCTGCATCTTCCTTGGAATGCTGTTGTTTTGTTAATAATGATGAACTCTTGTCTGGTTCGGATGATGGAAGCATCGAGCTTTGGAGTGTAATGCGAAAAAAGCCTGTTTACATTTTGAGGAATGCTCATGCTTTAGTGATGGATAGGATGAAATCTGACCAACAGCATTGTGAAAGTCTCCCCAACGGTAACTTAGGTAAAATATTCTGTTTATATAATTTTTCTTGCAAGTAAAATATCCCAAAACCCAAAATATTAATTGATCCTTTAGTTCTTCAAATTAATTTTTGTTGGGGAAAAATACTTATGCATGCAGCAACATTTTTTCTCCTTTTTTCATTTGCTTGCTTTGTGAAAAATGTTGTTTCGATTCCTCTGATTCTTCATTCATTTAGTCCTAAATGTATGTGCAAGAGAATAGAACATAGAATAATATATTTTTGCTTTTGGCTTAACTACTTAATCCTTTACAACACAAACGTGTGAATTTGTCATCCATGTGTTAGTTATAGTTAGCCTTACTGTAGGATTCTAAAGTCATACCTTTATCTTCACTCTGCAGAAAATGGTTTCCACCATCCCGAGAATCATCATTGTTCATCCGTATCTTCTTGGGTCAGTGCAGTCACTGTCTGTAGAAACAGTGATCTTGCTGCGTCTGGGGCTGGCAATGGTTCTGTTCAATTATGGGCAGTTGAAAGTGAGACCAAAGACATTAAATCTCTTTATAATGTGCCATTGGTAAGTACAAGAGTAGCAGCTAAATTCGGTTACCTTTTTTGTAGATAATTTTTGCTTAGATGTTGAATATAGCTTTTGTCAAAACACCTTTTGTTGCTCTTGTTAAATATAGCTTCTTTAATTTCGTTCTTATTTATTGAAGAACCCTCTTCACTTTGATGCAAACATTACTTTTCATGCCATGTGAAGTAACATTAAATTTGCTTGAAGAATAGAGGATACAGAACATGGAAAACCTCCAAAAAAAAAACTGTATACTTAAAAAGTTTGTATATAGAATTTTAGTTTGCATGAAAAATTAAGTTTGATATTTGAAGGCAAAATTAATTTAGCAATATGTGATTCTTCATCTTTCTATTATTGGACGTTAAAAATCCACTGGTACTTAATTAAACCATTTGCATAACAGGTTGGGTTTGTGAATTCCTTGGCTTTTGCAAAATCAGCAGAATTCTTAGTTGCTGGAGTTGGACAGGTGAACTTTGACTCAAGCTATGTTCTTGTAATATTATGCTTTTGTTTTGGTATACTGTTTACTGAAAAAATATCTGAAACACTGTAAATTGACAGAAAATTTATCTGAGCCTTTCAATTCTCTACTTTGAAAGTCAGGCAGTTAGTTATTCATGATTAATATAATAATAAGGAAATTGATTTGAGGTGAAGTTATTTTACATATATAACTCATTCACATTAATTGGTGATTTTGTTTTGTTCTCATGCTCCAATCCATATTTTTTTTCTACCATTTTTCTTTATGGCCCTCAATCACACAGGTATGTTGTTCGTTAGACCCGTGTCCCTTGGATTGTCTCTGAATCTGTATATAACATTAAATCAATACATTTCTTTACAATTCTCATCCAATAGATTTGCAAAGATGCGACTAGCATTTTTCTTACAATTTGTATTCCTTTTTTTGTTAATTGTTGTTCCCTTTCCTCGGCAGTATTTTTTGTGCTAGAATTAGTGCTTTTTTTCTTGTATCACGACGACGTCTTTGTATACAGGAACCTCGTCTAGGAAGGTGGGGACATAACGCTGAAGCTCGAAATGGAGTTTCAATTCTTCCTCTTAAGTTGTTATGAGATGAGGCAATGAATATTGTACCTCCTCAATTTTGACATACGAAATGTAACCTTGAGTTGAATGATGTCTGTCCGCGATCTTAATTAATTATTTGTATTGATTACATTTATTATTATCTTAGTTTATGTCTGTTTATACAAGATTTTGAAATCTTTTTCTTTTTATCAGCCAAAAAAAGAGAAAGGGCTTCTCATATTCAATGTCATTTCCTGTACAAGTTCTTTATGCGCTAATACCGCCTGTTTGAATATACAGTTCAAGTTCCCTATCAACCTTGAAAAATGTTGCTTCAACATCGAAAACATGACAACTAAAGTCTCCTTTCCTGTTGGGGAGTACAGCATCGAAACTCGTTTGACATGTTTTAAATAAAATCTCCAGATTTCTCTTCCTTTAGTAACTTTACAGAGTTGCCAAAAAGGTTTATCCAAGTGTAAGAGACGAAATAATATATTAAAATGTCTACTTCCAAAACAGTATAAAGATGTTTATTTACAAAAAGCTTAAAGTTAAGATAATTTAATTTAATTTTTCCTTTCTTACTAATAAATAATCAATTAAAATAATTATGTCTATATCATGTTCTTGTTTAATCGCTCTAACGGGATTGTAGTTGGATTCTTGAAGTGCCTTTTTGTTCAGAAACAAAAACGGCCGCGGGTAAATCGATTTTCGTGACTTATGGTCGTATAGAAGTAGTTTATTGCCATTTGACTAGTAATAAAAGTTTCTCTGGCGCACAATACTAAAATTTTGAGTTATACCCGAATCAAGTACGAAAATCATTATCAAGCATTGACATTAGTTCATGCTGATCGTGTAATAGAAATAAAGTGATCAAAATCATACCAAAAATTTAAGGAGACACAAATTGCTCTCAATCTATAGTACATATTTATTTCAAACTTTCGCTTCATTCTTACAGTGAAGACGACGCAGGAGGGGATTACTACGGTTTTTAATGGACACAGCAATATTACAACCCAATCGTGAAATACCTGACCCCTAATCCCCCCTCATGACCAATGAAAGCCAATTCAATGTATGTCGTTTATATTTCTCGGAAGTGATACGGAAGAAACTTATACAATATACTGGAACAACTCAGTACAAGTTTCAGAACCCCAAAGGTTCAAAGTATGTTACAATTGTAACGAATCTTATTGTTTAAGAACTTGTAATTACAAAATATCTCCCTCCCCTCCATTTTTTGGCTCTAAATCATTTTCAGCATGCTTTCTGATGTGCAAGTCCATGTCAGTTATCACCCCAAGCTTCGCAACGCTAAAGATCCGCGCGACCTGATCTTGATTTAACCACTTGAGTAAAGAACTTCCTATAAAAAATCATACGAGGTTACTGAGCAATTGAACAAATCAGGCAAGGAACCCATTTTCATACCAAAACACTAGGAACGGAGAGACGTATTTATATGAACAGTTAAACATGAAATAAAGGAGAAAATTTAGTAGCGCCTAATTGGGCAAGCTAAGTAATTGATATGAACAGGTGAAGAATTCAGTAGCACCTAACAGCATGAGCTAGCCTCATCAAACACTGAATTTCTAGCTTCAGAAGTCGGTGGGAATAAAAAATCAATACTCCTATTAAAAATAAAACAGCGTGCAGAGGTCCTAAATGCTCTTTTGCCCAGCCAGACTCCAGGATGTATCTTCCCACCTGGTTAATGTTGCATGGTTAGCCACCCAAGCCAGTTCACAGAAATTTACATTAGCTACTCTTATTTTCAACTTCCTTTTTGTCGTCGGTTGTGAGCTTGTCATTGTCTCCTCCAACCTCAGTCAATGCCCCATCCACGGAAGTGGATGCACATGAACTAGAATTTTCATGTCCTGTTTGTGTTGTTGGCTCGGAGGTTTCAAAGCTAGTGTTCTCATTGAGAGATGCTGATGGTTCAGCAGCCATCTCTTCATCCTTTGTTAATGCAACGCTGGACAACTGAGATGATGATTCAGATGCACTAGGATGATTGTTCCCGGGTTCTGTCTCGAGTTCTCCATTGGGAAGAACATCAGAAGGGTCATTGGCATCTGACGACTCCCTCCATTCAACCCATTCAACTGGTTTGTCAGTTCCATCTTGTTCTAATTTTGGTCCTGCTTCTGGAGAAGATGTTGCAGTGTCAGCTAACTCCTCATCTTCAACAGTAACAACGCTACCATCTCCACTGGCATTGATAGCATCCTCATCAGCATTAGGTGATGGAGAAGCAAGGGAACCGGTTGAGCGTTCATTGGCTGCTCGATCTCTATCCTCCTCAAAAGCAAACCAGTTGGAATTTGTGAAGAGAGACCCACTGCATGGGCCAAGGCAAAATATAATTATATATTAAAAGAACAACGGGGAAAACTTAACACGAGACACCAGGCATGACAGCTCAATTCAAAGTAGAAAAATGGCACATGAATGATCAGCAAAGGCACATCATTTACCTTTCATGGTCATCTCCCAGCCGCAAAGAAGATATAACAACTTCTGCAGATTCATCATCAAAATAGACATCCTGCGACATGCATATTATGTCAGATGTTTTATCATGATCATAAATCAAATCTCAACCAAAAATTCCAGAGAAAAATCACAAGTGATAAACAAACATGTGAGAAATCACCAATGGAAAACACAAGAATATGTAGTGACTGCAGACTTAAACGAAACCAAATCAGTTGGCAACCTAAGCTCTAGATAGGTAAACTTTATACGTAGTGCAAGAGTTTAAATGAAAGTACCAGCTTAAAGCACAAAATCTATAAACCAATACACTATATGAAAGTACATGAAAAAATCCAATGATATCTTGATTATATCTCAGAAGAAGTCTTTTAGGATTAGTTTCCCAATTTGCTTAATCTCTTAGGATAGTTTTCTACATTTCCTTATATTTTATGATTAGTTTTTATTTAATTAGGATAATGATTTAGTACTAATATAAATAATGTTAGGACCATGGTAGTCAAAATCGAGATTCTACATAGGATCGGAAAGGAGATGAAAGATCGTAACTCGTAAGATCGTAATACGGATCGTAAGATCCTACAAAATTGTATAAATGCATGTAAAATAGTATAAATATAAAGATGAAGAAGCAAAACAAAGACAAATGAGGGAAGGGAGCAACACTCAATTTAAACCAGAGACAGGGACATGTTAAAAACAGAGACAGAGAAAAAGGAAAAGATGAATCAGGTAAGGTATTCCGTTAGAAAGACTATTTTACCCCTAAAAAAGTCTTAAAATAGAGTCATTTTAAAGGCTACAAGGAAAAGTCAGATTATCATGAAAATGAAAGCATGCACTCATAGTCCAGGTGTAAAAATAAATCCCTGATAAGGTAGCCAGAGTTAGGGCCCAAAATTGGTAATTTCAAAAATGAACCCCAGCCATTAAAAGCAAAAACCCAGGTGTTGATTTGAATGCAGATTCAAATAACTTAGTTTGAAGATTAAATATGCAATAATTTGAATATATTACATAAAAATTGAACAAGTAATATGACATAAGAGATTAAAGCAAATACATGAAAAAATATTCTTTAATTCTTTAATTACATTTATACCCAATCCCCCCTCTTTCCTATGCTCAAGGGCAACAGATATATACTAAATTCTCTCACTGTATATCATCTCTTTCCCAATTTATCAACTTTCATATGGTTCAATTGGAATTTCTTTTCTTCCCACTTCCATTAAGGTTTTGGTTATATATTATCACTATGAATATGACAATGGCTAATCCAGGCAATGACTTCAAACTGAAAACGAAATTATTCCTCAGGGAAGATAATCAACCAGAAGAGTTCCTGGAGAGAAAAAAAGCTTAAATTCATTCACCAAACTCATCAGAGAAATATTTTGCTATGCCAAAGGTTTCACAATAATTCAAGAATCGTCCAAACTTTTATAAGCTTCTAAAATAAGGGAAGCACTTGGCTGATGTCACAAGATATTGAGATTGGAGACACAAAGTTAAAAAATTTATGGCAAGATATGGATGTACCATGTACTAGAGATGAAGTAAAAATTGAATAGGACTAAATTACTCATTCACGATAGACAAATTTGTTTACATTAAAAAAAAGTATCTAATAATCAACTTCAACAGATTCAATTATATTCATTTCACTCCAATTCCAAGGCTCTAGATTAACATTTGAGAGGAAAGTTCAAGTATACCTCATCATCTCGTTCCAGAGAGCCATGAACCTGAAACAAATATATATGTGTGGAATCAAGAACTAAAGCCTAGTACTAATGACACAATTTGATGATATCAAATTGTGTCAAAACTACCATAAATAAAAATAGGAGCATAATCAAAGAAATAACACAACCTAAAGCGGACATCCCCCATCTGGAATTTATCCTTCTATAATTATATAAATAGTCATAAAATGAACCCAAAAAAAGAAAAACAAACTAGCTGACATCCCCCAATACATTACTTCAAGAAGCAATTCCAACTCAGTTTGATAAAATAATTATTCAACAATATCAACGATAATTTCCAAAAAATGACTGTACCTCTTCAATGTCTTCATTATTGTAAATGCCATAACGGAAGGCCTGACTCAAGTTATTTGCTAATGCTGCAACATCATAGTCCCGATCCTGATAATCATCCTCGTCACTATCCCTAGTTCTGTCATGCAAAGCTGTTGGTCTCCTGTAACAATCAATTAATTTGAAATCGTCAAGAGCTTCTTAAAACATACAAAAACAACGCAATATGACCTATATTAAACATGCCTATAAAAGAGGTGTAATACACATTGAAACTGTAATTTAAGTTTAACTCTCATGGTTCTATCAGTTGTTATCATGATAAGTTTTTTGGCTCAAGAAAAGAAGATAGGTATTCACTCCAGAAATCACCAAAGATTCTCATTGGAACTATTAAATACGTGATGTCATTCAAAGGAACAGCAAATCTTAATTTTTCAGCTCATTCAGATCAACCATGGGTGCAACAAGACAATGCCAGTTAAGAAATACAACATACCCGCACGCCCATTGATAGACATTTTCCACAGCATTGCGGTTTGATAAAACATTCATATACCAATTTGTCCATTCACTATTTCCCTGTCAATTAAAGAAGTTTGAAAATAAGCTTCAAGATTATGCAGTTAAGGTTTAACATTCATTGTGTAATTACTTATCAAAATAGCAGACAGTTACGTCCTGAGAAAATAATTGTTGACATAGCAACAGACCTGCAGATGTTCCTGAATCACACTGTTGTTATTCCCTAACTGGACAAGTTTGTTAGATATACGGGTTAGGTGGCCAATGCATCCTATCCTGGGCGGTGATTTACCCTCAGCAGGTGCCGTTGGCTGCATGAATATTCACAAAGACAAATTAGAAAATTAGAAATATTTATTCATCCCAAGAGATTTTTTATAAGAAAAGTTGTATTAAAACTCAGACAAACAAAACAAAATCATTCAAGCTGATATAATTTTAAGGGGAAGAAAGGGAGATCATTTACCTTGTTTTCATCAGCATCCAACGTGAAATGCTTTTCTGCTTGAATAATTTTCCCAACAAAATCACAATCGCGGAGAAGATGTTCCAGAAGAGAAGAATTCTTACTCTCCATGCATGACATTATAATGTTTTCCACATGATGATGCAGAAAGTTATTGTATGGGTATCTACAACATTCAAACAGTAAAAATCAAGGCATGAGATCAAATGACTTTAGCACAAGATAACAGAATAACAAAACTTACTCAAAGAACAAGTGTATAATTCTTTGTACTGCTCCAAGATCAATCAATTTTTTCTCAGCAGCTTCACCACCAACGGTTACTAAAACTGATATAAACTCTACAATCTGAAAGGAAATGTGTTTAGTCAATATTATGGAAGAGCTGAGATATTACTTTTCAACATCAAATATAATGAATAACAAATATTAAAAGGAAATTGTGAAGGTATCATGACAGCAACTGTTCAAAACAACTACCAATCACCAAAAGAGTCGGATCAAATAGCCAAATGCAACAATTACAAACAATTAGGTTTACCTTTAAACGGTGTTTACCAAGAGGTGGTTGTAACTTGCCAAAAGTAGTTAGCAAGAGATTTTCAGCAGAAGATATATCTAAAAGTTTGAGTAGATCACCTGCAGGGTAAGAGCTAGATCAACATTCATTTTCTCCTTTAGAAACAGTCACAATAAAATTATAAAAGTACAGAACAAGAATGCACATCCAGACACACATGGTGTGACAATGTAATGTAACATGAGTTTGAATTTAGCTAATTGAAGTGATCCACTTGATCCAAGATGGAATGAAACTTACTATTTGCTAAAATCATGGATTTTGAACATTTGATGCGAGTATTAATTACATGGCTTCCAACCTAATTGAAAAGAATGAATTTTATTTTATGCAAGTTACTTATGTATTTAGACAAACTGTTTCCCCTAAAACATACTGTCAAGCCTTTCTTTTTTCTAGTTATAAAATTACCAAAAACTCCAAATGTAAGTATATAAGTCAAGGAAATAAACAAGTCTCAAACACAATGTCTTTAAAGTAACAAAACATTGAAAACAAAATAAAATTAGAACCGAATAAAGAGAGATCTAGTTAAAATATATAAATAAAAAAGAACAAAATAGCTGGAAACTAAAACCAAAAGCAATAAAACACAGTAAAAGATGAGAAAAAAAAGAAAAGGACAATGAGAGAACAACTTGCCAAAAAATAGCAACACAGAAGAAAACAGAGCACTTAGCAGAAAATACAGGACAATGGTCAAAGAACAATAGTTTTCCAGAAAAACCAAAAACTGAACGGAAAACATCAAGCCACTGGAGTGCAGTGGGTTGATGGGTCGCAGAAGATTAAAAAGGTCATAGAAAAGAAGGCACAAAAATGCGAGAAGGCCCAATTGGTTTTTCTAAACCCATTTGAAGCCTTTTTAGTTGACCAAAAATGCGAGAAGGCCCAATTGGTTCTTGGGTCAATGAAAAAGCAATTTCTATAGTGTCTGTGATGACCAAGACAATGAAACGCAACACAAACTTAGGTTTTAGGGTTTTTCTTTTTGCAAGTCACTCTGGAACGGGTCAGGTTAGAGCATGGTAGTTAAAATCGAAAGTTGAATAGTAAAATTGGCGAAATCCCAATTCAATTATAATTTTATGCAATCGCTGGTCGGATTTGGATCTTGGCCCAAATCCTTCATAACCTAAACCCGTTACACTTAAGTGTGAACAAAGTCCTGCACTCCTAAATCCTTCTTTCGCTTCTTCCTCAAACCCCTAGACCGAGAGTGACTTCATTTGCAGCTTATAATCGCGTGTTCTTCTCTGCCCAATCGCTTGTTAGCTACTTTCTTCTCATCTTGCTTTGTTTTCTTTGTAGAACCCTAGATGTGCTGTTTTCTTCTGATCTTGCTGTTTTTCTTATCTTGTCCAAGAGTAACTTCAAACATAGGTGGTGGTCAAAGCACTCGTGATGGCAGCTCTGGTCTGTCCCAACTGCAACCGACAGCTCCACTGCTGTTGGCTCATCAAACGTGCCTCATAGGCTGGTTCCTGAAATGTTTTAAGTGAATGTGGGTCTGTCCCAACTGCAACCACCACTGCTGCAATGCTCCAAGAATATGGATTATTTAAGTGTTTTTAGTGATTTAATGTTTTTTTTATTTTATCTATTTTATAATATGAATTTATATGCATGTGTATATGATTTTTTGTAAAATTTTACAATTTGATTTACGATTTTTACTTCTCTTAACGATTTGAAGTAAAATCCCAATTTTAACTACCTTGGGTCAGAGGCCCAGTTCACTTTTTTCCTCAAAATCTGACTTTTTCCGCCATGGCCGCCAATTCTGCCATGGTTGCCAAGTGCATAATGGCCACCATGGCCTGCCATCCAAAATCTGCCATGGTTGTGGTGGTTTGGGCAAAAACAGCCACTGACATCCACCATGGTACCATTGACAACACTGCTATTTAAGAACACTATAGGGCTCATACAATATAGGACAGACAAGATGATATAAGCTTTCATCTGACACCAAGAAGTAACAGGTTATTTAGTGCTTGATGGAGAAAGCATACCTAGGCTTTCTAGCATGCCTTCAACAGTCTCAGGATTCGCAGTTACAGTGGATCCATTAGTCATTTGTCGGTTGTATGTATGATAAGCTCCAAGAGTAAGTCTCTTTGGGTCTAACAAAGATATGCAAACAGATAGAGAGTTAACAAGAACAGATTTTGGCCTAGAGTCTTCCAAAGCATGACGGAATAATCTTCCGATAAAGCTGCAAATAGAAGGCAATATAAGATGTTAGTCAAAGAAGAAAAGGATGCATCAATTTCAAGTCATGAAATCTGACATAGGAGTTCATTACAAAAAATGTGCTGGAACAAGTCTACCTCGGGCTGGAGATTTTAACAGAAAGTCCTGCTGGAGCAAATCGTGTAATAGCACATAGTGTTTCTGCTGCATTAGCATGCACTTCTGGAGAATCCTGTAAAAGCCACACCAAACGAATGTACAGTCAATGTGAAAGTATTTGCTGGCCTTCTGAATAAAGAGAATTGGGTTATACACATTATCCATATTGTACTGAACTATATTAGTCTTTATAGGTTGGAAGGGGGTTATGTTGCATGGATACAGATACAATACAACACAAAAAAATGATAAAATTTTAAAATATTAGGATATGGGTACAGCAATATATATTAAGTAAAATACATTTATATTTATGTATGTCATTGAATATTTTATTATAATCTTGAAAAAATCTTAATGAAATAAAATGATACAAAACATAAATATGATGCATAGATAAGGATACGATACAAGTAGTAAATATGATAAAATTTTAAAATATTAAGATGTGGGAACGGCAATATATATTAAGTAAAATATATTTATATTTATGTATGTCATTGAATATTTTATCATAATCTTGAACAAATCCTAATCAAATATAACTTTCTAAAAATAAAAATAAGAAAAATGTCTTAAAAAATCTACAAAATACAAAAAATATCACAGTAATAGTTAAATAGCACAAATATCACGAAAGTCAAAATTGGCAAGCAAATGCAATATGCTGTGGATACAAAATCGTACACACATCATAACTGAATACGTATATGACACGCAAACATCATATTTTTGGAGTGTGGGTGCAACGGAGGAAGGGGGTCTAAGGTAGGTGTTATAGAAGAAAAGTGGGGCATAAGTAATACAACCATATCCTTGTGCAAAGAATATAAAATCACACACGAGTACACTGAAATAAATTAATCAACAAAACAATGCCAAAATCAAATGACAAACATTCATGAAAAATTTCTGAATGCTTCCATAAAATTTGGTGATTCAGTTAATCTCGGTATATTTTATATATTTGTAAGTAATGCTTCATTCAGACTTGATTCAACATTATTCTAAAATTCCATTATTCCTCAAACAGTATTGTTACAAATAAAAATTTAATCACATGAAAAAAATATACCTCAAATGAAGAAAAACACATTTACTGCATCATTCCATAATAGAAATGGCTAATATAAGTAAGTCAAAAGGGATGCAATTATTATTATAAATTATAAACTATTGAAATTTTTGAAAAGGCAGTGGTAGAGGAGACTTCCTTAAAGATTGTGTGTTCCATCTGGGCAAAGAAAATTATATGCCATTGATGCATAACAACAATAACAAAGCCTTATTCCACTAGGTAAAGTCAACAAAGCCTTATACCGTTAATGCACAGATCATGCAACATTGCTATGCTCAGTCAAAACAAATTTTCAGTGTTTTTAGCGATATATGTGGGATATATACCATCAATGCATAAATACATATTTAATTTCCTTATTGAAATCACACATCAACTTAAAAAATATTAATATCCAGGCATCCAAATCTAGCAAACACATCATTAACTTCACAAATATCAGCATATCCAAATCCTCTGGTAGACATTTTTGAGAACTAATGATACTTACTGAAGAACTGAATTTATCCACAATCATCTCCAGCACATTTGTATCTTCAATCCATTGCATTGCATCAACATGATTTACATACATATGCTCATCAGCACCGATCAAGCGTATCAAAACCTGGTTTTAAAAAGAGAAAGATGGTTAAAATTAAAAGTATACAAGCACAGAATACAGAGAGTAACAGAAATTCTCACCAAGGAAAGTAATTGATTTTTTAAGATTTAAAAAATTTAACTCCCATGCACGTGTATCAGCAATACATACAAGTAAAACAAAAGTTTGAACTTACAGCAAATCAAAGAGAAAACTAAACCAGTCAGTCAGTACAGAATTAAAAACTTAAAATGTTGTCAAGAACCAACCTCCATGATAGATGTAATTCCAACCAACTCAACAAGTTTCTTCACAATTTCCTGGTGAGCCTGGATAGCCATTAAGAAACACATCAGTCAACTGATATTTGTGACCAGATAGACACTTCACACAACAATGAAATTAAATAGCCATTCAGTCCATTACTAGAATGTAGAAAACTAGGAAATATTCCTCCAGTTGTTCCATCAAGTAACTTCCTTCAATATCCACACTCCAAGATATATATCACGCCAGCTTAACTGCTTTAGTTGTTGTGCTATAATATAAAAGCCACAGCACGAATGAGGAAAATCTAAAGGGTATTTCCATATTCATGCAGCACACGTATATTATACTTTTGCTTTAGCAGTTGTGCCACTTTAAATGCCAGAGTGAAATCTGTAGGGTATTTTTCAAATTCACACACCTAACATCTATTCAGACAGTTAGAATCATGAGTTCATCAAAGGGTAATAGGAGAAATACACACATAATATGACTTGGTTAAAACTACAGAAGCCTAGGTCAACATCCATCAGAAATACAATACTTGATCTATCTTTTCCCTCTCTGTTTCTGTTCTTAGTATCTCTGTTTTGAGATGGGGGGGCTCACTTCTCTCATTTGTCCTCTGTTCTTTAAAGAAACTTAAAACAGTCACTTTAAGGGTAAAAAGGGAAAGTCATATTATTTTTAAATGATGAAAAGTCTTTTTTTTACCCTTAAAAAACCCTAAAATCTGCTTCATTCTAGGGATAGAAAGGGAAACTTAATAACTTTTACTCGAGCCGCACTGAATTAGGCTATGTTGGCTGCAAATACAGCTGCAATGACCACCACAGCAAAATGCTTCGCTATGACAAGGTTGGCACAGAGCAGAGTTGCTGGCACAGACAAGGTCGCCGGAACAGACATAGTCATCAGAGCAAAAGCTACAGGGATCGCAGAACAGAGGAATGAACTCGCAAAGTCTTGGTGGCATCCAAAAATAGTGGAGAAAGAGACGGTTTGAAGGAAAAAGGGTAGAGAATGAAATGAACAGATTCACTGTGCTGAAAAAGAAGAGAAGTGCGCCTCGCAGGTTGCAGAGAGGCAAGATATCGGAGAGAGGAGTGAAAAAAAAAAACCTAAAAATGGGGCAGAAGCAACTCGCCCAGGATTGCAGATTCCACTATTTCATGAGGAAGATCGTGCGATCCCACCAAAACGAGTTCCAGCCCAGGATCGGGATCGTTGGACCAGCAGCAGATTGTAAAATCGTATGATTTTACATGTTAACTCGCGATTTTGACTGCCATGATGAAAATTACAATGAGTAGCTACTCAACCCTCAAACCATAATTTCAATACACCAAGCAACCATTATAAAAGAAATTACATAACACTCTACAGACTGACCTATTAAATTTACATTATATACATGCACACACTTATAGATCCCTTGCTTCCACCACATAAGCTCCTTGGAAATTCTTTGTCAAGTTGCAATGTTGGCTGGCTAGGTCAGGCACACGTCAGGTCAAACCCAAAACTAAGTGAAAGCCACTTACAATCATTCTTCCCATTTGCTTATATCCTCATCATAATAAAAAAAATGAATCAACATAGTATGTCAATTCCCTTGATTTGCCTTTGGAGGGCACAACTGAATTTCCAAGCAAGTCCAAGCAATGCCTAAACTTACTGGCAAGAACAGCTTTGATCATCATATGTATTGGGTTCTCACGAGTAGATTTTTTCTGCAATCATCCCCAGTGATACAATATCACAAACAGTAATATATAACACCAAAATGCTTTGTCATTTCATGATACAACTATATCTACTCAAATGTAAAACACTTGGACTGTCACAGAACACTGTTGTCTTATTAGAAACAACCAGCAGTCACTCATTAGACCACTCCAGTCACTAATCATGGCCTCCTTCGTTGCCACCTCTATGGCAAACAACCCAACTTTAGCAAGCAAGGTTTCTTTCAAACTAAAAGCACTACCACAAGAGTATATAGATAACAAGACAGAGACCTCCTATCCAATTCACCTGCAAAATAGTAACCCAAATCCATGTCCATGTAAACTCTACAAAGCACCAAACCAGCATTGGTGGTTCAGCTCAAAAACCACAGTCCATTTCACTGGTTGCCACTGCCTTTCTGCCATACCCACTAACAGCACTTGCGCCAATACAAATTTGATATAACTAGGAGCATAAATAAAAATTGGGAGAAGAGAAATAAACTGAACTTACCATGGCTCGACCTACAACAAACAATAGGCCAACTTCCACAGGCAACATCATCATCATCCAAGCCTTTTCTTACTAGTTAGGGTCAACTATATCAAACTATGCCAACAACAAACAGGTCTAGCGTTGCATGGTGTGCTCATAGCACGTCCATACCATGTTTTGGAACTTTCATTCCAAATCATGGATTTGCAATCCAAAATAATCTCAGCAGCGTTCAATTATAGAAAAAATTAACAGGGAGAAGAAGAATCCAAGATCACTTACGAGAAAGGACTAACCACAAGCAACATGGAGGGATAATTCAAAATAATCAAAGATGATTGAGGGTTTTAGCCACTCTTCTCAAACCCTAATCAGTAATCACCATTAGCCAGGTTACTTCACTTCCACAGTTCTACCATAATCCATAGATTCCCTAGAAAGGTTGTTGTCAAGTAACAACACAGGCATTTCAGGTCAGATCACAAGTTAGCCCAAAAGACTCGTAAATAAGTACAAACCATTTTATATTAGCCATTTTAAAAGACTGCAAAATACCTAGATATCACTCTACACCAACACCCTAAAAACAACTCACAACATTTTCTTGACATTGTAACTTGAGTCAGCTGCTGTGATCCAGGATACATTTCACAATTTCCACCTGGAGGACAAGGTGGCACTTTTTGGGGGAAGTATATATAGATAAATGCCAATAATGAAGGTTTATGGCAGAAGAAATAAAGAAGGCATTAAAGGTTAAATATATGTTGTAATCGAATAACTGTTAGCTCATTATAGTCGGTTAGCTATTTAAGAAGCCATAAATGTGATCAGTTAGTGATACGGACAGGGGGATATACATAGAAGGGAATACTCTAAGAAGGGTAGCCAAATTGAGCTTGGTCATTTTATAGATTCATACACTTGGGCATCAATCTCTGTTTCTGCATCAATCAGTTAAGTGACAAACGAATTGAGCTTTGCCCAAAGAAAAATCCTTTTTTACTCCTTTCTCTGTACCAGTTTTATTATTAACTAGCCATAATCCCACAACTATCTTAGAACCAAGAAACAGAACCATTCCAGTAGGGGGTACCTTACATCATTTGGACTAAAATAAAACATTGGAATAAGTGGAACCAGTCCATTCCATAAGACCAACCATCAGATTAAAGAACCAAAAACAAGTATTGAAAAGACCAAAAGAAGAGCAATATTCCTCAAGACTAAGAACACCAGCCCAAATAAATATACCAAAATTTGAAAGTTCGTACGCTCATGCCCATAACTAAAGCCTCAAATGCACAATCATTGCTAAAACTGTGAAGGGATCGATGGAGTTTCAATCTTACAATTTTATTACCTAGTTGCAATGGATCCAAGTTTCCTTACAAATTGACCAATCACAAGAAAAAAGTAAAGTCCACACTACATTCAGAACAAAATCTGTAATTATTGTTGAAAATTATAGAGATTTAGGTAGGAAAAAAGGAAAAATAAAAATGAAGACTCTAAATAACATTTTGTTGGGGGTATAATGATGCACTGATGTGATACAAAAAAGACAAAGCACTAACCCCTGTTTATACTAGTACTAGACTCCTAATCAGAATGGATAAATAAGCAAATATAATCAAATATGGAGACCACTCCTAAGAGGTCATCCAAGATACTCTTAAGATATTCTAATGTACTACAGTGATATTATGAGATATTTTCTAGATATTCTAACAATTACAAATACATAAAATGGAGCATTATGCAGAACTATTACACAAGTTCAGCCCTTAAAATTTTGAACATTGAAACCAATGTCAGATAGTTTACATTATATCCAATGTAATTCCTCCCATTAATCAGGCATAAACTGCAGAGACTTAGCGCACATGTGCATTGACGGAGAAAATAGAAATAATATCCCCTATCAAAGCAGAATGCCACTGTGGCATGGAATTAGAGAGTAAGTCAATGGTGAATTGTAGAAGAGGTTAGGATAAAGGTGAGAAGGGAGGATTAGAAGACTGAGTAGGAAGGGTGGAAAGGAGGCAACAGACCATTCAAAAAGGGTCATACAATCTGTTTTTCCTTTTCTTCTTTAATTCCAGGTGCTGGCTACTGACCCAGAGAGGAGAGTGAGAGCAGCTTTTGTTGTACAAATCTTTATTTGTAACTGATGATACCATATCAAATAAAAATCAGCGGAAGACAAGAGATTTGCAGCAATATATCAATAATAGAGCTGATTTTCCCTGAATCCTGTATCATAATATAAAACATTCTCAAAAAGAGAACAGGAAAAGCTTATGTTTTTCAGACAACCAACTAGCATTTCAAAGAAAATACATCATGTTCTGCAATAAACTTTCTGCACACCACAGTCCAATGTGATAACCATACACCAAGGCTTATAGATATTTCTGAAATAAAAAGATTAAGAGGTGGACTTACTTGAACATATTGCATGAAGGGAACAGTCTTACGTAACAACAGGCATACAACTACCTAGCAGCATAAAAACTTAATAAATACAATGAACAAGATTATTCATAAAGGAATTATAAAATAGAAAAGAAATAACTAAAAAGAGAATGAAAGATAATTGAAGAGAATGCTAAGCCCTGATTTCAAAAAGAAAGTATTGGTTAACTAACTCAACAGGGATTAGCTTTTAAGTCAAATAATTTTGGGGTCAGAAAGCAAAACTAACTTGAATGAATCAAACAGGTTTATTTATGGACATGGTCAATTCTGCCCACAGCAGAAGCAATCCTATAGCCTAACCATACTTGCAGCAAAAATTCAATAAATTAGTACCTTGCTAAAATATCCAGCTAGTAGATTACTATGGGAGTGGTCTGGCTCCAAAAAGGAGAACAATAAACTCATCAACTGCCAAGAAGGAATGAAGTCAGCACTTCGGAAAAATATTACCTAGTAAAAAAGGGTTTTTAAAGTTTTGATGTCTTACTTCCTCATCTTCTACAAGAGTTTTGAGTATGATATCAACTTCACAGGTAAATATCTCACAAGCAATAAAAGGGAACCTGTTACAAATTAATAGCAATAAGATGTATCACTGCAAATATCTGGCTAAACAAGACCATAAATCATGTCCAATTTGAGTAACATACTTAAAAGATCGCTTCTTTTCAGCATCCTCAGGAGCTTCTTCAACGATGTATTGTATCAATTGTTCAACTTGTGCTCTTGCAGACAAACTAAAACAGACAACATAAAACTTCATTAAGTACAAATGAATTAAAAGACAAGTGTAGTCAGCAAATGGCACATTAATAAAAGACCACAATTGAAAGGAACCAATAAGGGAGCGATAAATCCCAAACACAACTACGCTACCAGAATCCAAACAAAGGAATATAGAATTAAAAAGATTGTAGCACAAAAAGATATTCCAGAGTTCATAAGATAAATACAACAACTTTCCAACAACTATTTACTTTAATTGACAGGGAAAAGGTGTACACTTAACTATCCAATCAATTAAACATTTTAGAAAAAAGAAATGAAGCAATTTTATTTAGATCTTCAGGAAAAAAAAAAGTCATACTGGGGAGCAACACCAAAGAGACAACACTGTCCCTTCCTTACTAACAATTAATAAAGATCGAAGTGCAATTGCTAAATGCATAAACCTAAAGAAGGAAATAAGAGTATCTATTTAAAACTAAGCTCAATTAAGTTTTTTTAATACTTACATTTTCACTATGTATTCATAAATTACATACAACATTGTCATTATAGAACCTTTTTATTCGAACAATTTGTTGAAATGTTTCACATCAAAACTTCATTAAATAGTATGTATAAAATGGTGAAACGATTTGGATGGAAATCCTTCATTGTCTAAATTGTAATTTGGAGGACTAAAATGAACAAATTGAAAACATTCAGACTAAAATTAACAACAAAAATATCCGAATTGAAAACTTAGTCAAGCCTTTAAGACATAATTTTCTGCATAATAAGAAATTCAGTGTCAACCTATGCATCCATGAAATATTTTGGGGGAAAAGATAGCATGAATTAATTTGATTTACATATTGAGGAAATTAACATACACTGTGGGCAAGAATGAAGAGGTAACCCCTCCCCCTCCTTACTTGCAATTGATAAAGAATAAAATATAATTACTAAAACTCCAGTAGGAATATCTATTGTTGGAATATAGCAAAGCATCCAATAGTATCTGGATTATATCTTAGGAATAATTTAAAGTACCTTAAAGATTCAGTTTCCCTATTTCCTAATATTTCATCATTTGTTTCTTATTTAGTTAGGATATGATCTATTACAAGCATAAACCAAGGTTGGTGTTATGTTTTGTATTATTTACATTTTTTTAATGCATCACATCATATCTAGTTAACATCAATTTCTGAGTATTCTCTATTGTCTCCTTTTCTATACCTAAAATCTTATAATTTAAACACTTATTATACATTTTATATCATTTTTGTAGTTAAAACTTAAATTCAGGTAACAAAAAAGCAATTTCCTAATAAAATTGTACTTCCAAACTTTCATTCATAATAAAATTCTTTTTCTTTAAAAAAAAAGGGAACAAATTGCAACTAACATAAGTTTGAAATGATGAGAGCCCTGTGCACTAGGCTGCACTTTTTACATTACTACAAGTCAAACTATAAGAAGCAACTCTTCTTCATCCTATCTCTACACTCCCAATGCCTGAACCAGATTGACTTGAATAGAAGCAAGTACTTGAATAACATCTCAATGATTAGTTTTTTCGAAATCATTACAATTAAAACAGGCAAAATGAGTATTATCCCCAATCATTATCACAACCAAGCTGACAATTTTTCAAGTTTTTGAATTAGATTATCAAAACTCAATTTAGGAGAACTCACAAGTCACAAGCCAATAAAATGAAAATTCATCTAAAACCTATATTTTCTTTCCTAATCTAATTAATTAGAATTTGGAGGCGTAAGTCCATTATGATAAAGAAGGGCTCACTTTAGTGTTTTCAAGCAAGCCACTTCATTATCTCATTCTCACCCGTAAACAATACTATGAAGTCAAGTATTTTTTTCACAAGTCAGTTTCTAAACTAGACTGATGAATAATATTATCACTTCATAATGATAGTTTCTGCAAAACAAAAGCAGAACGGGAAAAGCAACTTTACACCATAATAATTTCGAATAAGAATCATATCTATGATAGTGGAAAAGAAGAGCATTACAAATTTATAAGGCGACCATTAAGAGCTTTGCATTCCTGAATAATTTCATCCTCATCAAGTAGTTCCTCCAAAGTAAAATCCTCCCTATCCAAAATGGTCTCCACCTGTAACATATACATAAGGTAAACAGTAAAATCACCTTCACCTCTCAGCATCTAAATATCATTATAAAAAATAAATCAAATAAACCTATTCTAAGCCCCAAGAAACAGGCAATAAACATAACTGAGTTTATAGCTATAAAATCAAATTTTCATGTAATGTACCTGCCACACAAAAAATATTAATTTGAGGCATCATTTTTATCTGGAAATCAAAACCACAAAAAAAAAACACACACACAAAAAACAGCTTAAAGCAGATTTTCAAATCCTTCCTGCATTATTTCTCACCCTACCACAGGAGCACTGGTATCGTTCATAAGCATTCAGTTGACATAGTTGAGACAATGAGTTATAAGACAGCTAATAATCTTGGACTTAGATATACACTTGATTTCCAACACTATATGTCACAAAAGTCCTAACTTAGATTCAACTCACACTTCATATTTTCAATTATTTTTCACTGATTCTACTCTGCACTCTCTTACAGTGACCCAGCAAAAATTTAAATAAACAATATAGCTGCAAATATACTCCAATAAAACTCAATCTCCCTTCAAGAAAAAGAATGAAAGGTGGTTTCAAGTCTTCCTGAACCATCACAGGACATGCACACATGTGTATGCATATGAACTGCCAGCTATACTTCATCATTTTACTTTTTCCTTGTTCTCTAATCTAATATACCCTTCCAGTGCTCCCTATAGAGGTACTTTCCCTCTTTTTCTTATAAGCTTTTATTTTACAATAAAAAATTTTGCTTGAAAGAATAATTTACTGATTTAAGAGAGTGTGAGCAAAGAGAGAATAAACTAGTTAACACTACTCTTTAGAGAAATGATATTTGGAATATTAAAGAAATTGTTATAAATGTGAGGTAAATATGATTTGTGACGCCAGTGCCTTCTTGGAAATTCTGAAGGTATTACCATATTAGGGTACATCTGCTAAACAATAAGAAATCCTCCTAAATAGAAACAAAAAAGAACTAAGCCAACGTGACTAGAAAAACCCTCCTATTTGTGGGGGAAAAAATCTCTCAAGCAAAAATGCACATAACACCAAACTGATGCAGAAAACACAATCCCATTTCACAGAAAAAGTAAGGAGAAATTATCAAAAGTAAAAATATTGGCATTTCTCGGCAACCAAACACACCATATAACTGTGTAGACAAAGCAATTGCCATAAATCTCAGCCTACTGATGTTGGCAAAGCCTTGAAAAATATCCTAAAACTTGAAACAAAAACCAGGCAGCAGATGCAGTTACTAAATTTTAACACTGGAAAAAAATTACATATTATTGCTAAAATCAAAGCTGTTGACATTAACTGGAAGCTCCTTAACTTTATCCTATTTAAACATCACTGAAATTTGTGACCAAAATTAGTTCCATTCATCAAACCACAAGCAACACATATCCTAAGCTCTCCACAAGGTTCCATCAATCATTCAATACTCCTTAGTCCCCGTTATTGAAGTTGATGAATGATGAATCATTTTCAAAATCATTCAGAATAAATCTCAGCCAGCAACAATCCCATACTATCATTATTTCATTACTATGCCTAGATTTTTAAATTTCTCGAGAATGGAGATTATCCTGGTGGCCTGGACTAGATGTGACAGTAACTCCAAACTGGCCAAAATATCAAATGGCATCGCTGTATATCAGGCATAGAGTTACACGCACCAATTAGAAAATCCGATTCTAGAATAAACAAATTTGAGATAAATGAGTCTAAGATCACCGGAGAGTAAATTAAAGACAATAACACTCCATATTGTCACACTTTTCCAAGAACCAAACGGAAATCAAATCTAAGCAAACACAACGTCAAGGAAACAACCGAAACCACCAACAAAACACAGGTATCAGTGTCGGCACAGCTTATATGAAGAAATGAAGAATGAGAGTGCAGAACTCACAGGAGACGCTGTAGACAAACCAGCCATGCGCCAAAACATGTTGAATTTCTGAAGGAAGGGTTCAGAATGAAGAAACTGGGAATCAGACAACGGATCTGACAGCGCAGAAACCCTAGAGCCTCTGTCCCAAAACGAATTGGAGGAATTATTATCGGAGCGGAAACCCTAGAATCGGGAACGATGAGAGGGACGGCGATCGAAGCGACACAGATAGAGAGAGAAACCAAAACAACCTTCAATCCCGGGAGAAAGATTGTTTACAAGTGATGAATAATAGCATTGCAACCATCATCATATCATCATATATAATTGTGAATTTAAATTTAAATGAGCTTATGCCAGGATTTTATTTTATTTTTTCTTTATACTTAATTATTATTAATTTAAGATGAAAAAATATTTATTAATTAAAATATTAATAAAAATTTAGTGGAAATTAAATTAAATATTAATGAAGAATTATGATAAAATAAAATAAAAATAGTAATAACAATAAATTATTAAAAAATTTCTTTTTCTCTTTAAAAAAAATTATAAACAATATTTTATATCGAAAATAGATAAAGTGATAGTATAAATTATAAAAATATAAAATAAAAAAGTCTAGAAAATCATTTGGAAAATAATTGCAGTTAATAAAATATGGTACTATTTATGGTTGTTCCTCCAAAGTTGGAGGATCATTGATACCATCGGCCACTTGCCGCATTCAAAACGTGTCTTCGGTTTTATTTTCTGGATCCCCTATAATTTTTTTTGTGAATTACTTTTTTTACTTGGAAGTTTGTTTGCTGTGTAAATTTTGCAGTCATGAAACTATTGCCACATGTGACATGTTCGGTCTCAAAACCCATTAATTCAATAACTTATTTTATTTAATAAAATAATATATATTTATTTGAATGTTAATTTTGGCATGCATCATGTACTAAAGTTAATATTACTTTAACGATACTTAATATATAAGTTGATTAAAAATTATATAATTTTATTTAGACCACAAATACTTCTGCAGTAGATATCTATGGTGGAGTTAAGTAAAAGTGCTATGAGTGACAAAATTCTTTTTTTGAGTATACTATATGTTAAGTTAACCTACATGTTCATTAATTAAAAAAATATAGAATTATCAAAACATATAAATTTATTTTTAATAATTTAAATTTGAGATTTAAATACCTAGCTCATTTGCATTTCTATTAATGTTTAACTCAAAAATAAATTTAAATAAGATTTACTTGTAGTGTTAAAGAATACAAAATATATAATTATTATTTTCTTTTCTAAATTTTACTTAGTCACTTGTTATTTATAATAAATTATAATTAATTGATATCAAATATTAAACTTAGACATAATATCACTTAATAACTTTTCATATAATGCAAGATTGATGAATCTAACTATCAAATTATCTTATGATATATTAATAATTATATATTAATTTTTACACAATTTAAATATTCATAAATATGTTACTTAAAGTTTTATATTAACTTATATTTTAAAAATATATCATCTATTAAAATAAAGTAATATGAAAAAATATTATTTAAATTAATTTTTATAAAATTAATTCATTTGATAAAAATTTTAAAACAAACAATTGTATTGATTAATTTTATATTATATAAAAATTTGTTAAATGGTTTAACTATATAAAATTGATAAATGTATATGCAACTAATACTTGTATTTATCCAATGCACATATATTGTACAAAATGTATTGTAATTAATTTTTACTATAATATATTTATGTAAAATATAATTTTTTTATTAAATTTCTTAGAAATTTTTATTTATTAAAATAGTTTAATTTATTATTTATAATAACAACTTTTTTTAATAATTCAAAGAAGTAAAAAATAAATTAGAACATTACACATGAAAGATAGTTAAATGGTAATAATTTAAAAAGTAATAATAATTAATATTTGGTAAAAATTATATAATTCTAATTTTAGGATTTTGTTAACTTCTACTTTTAGAACTGAAAATAAAAAGTTGATGATAGTAAAAGTTTATTAAAAAAATATTTATTATATTTTTATAATTTTAATATAATTTTTTTATAAAACTTTTTTATTTATAAATACTTAAACTCAACTTTAAAGGTTGAAGTTAACAAAATTCATAATTTTATCTTATAAATTTAGTTAAATTTTTATTATCATTAAAAACCACTCTATTTTATTTATTTTTTAACCAAATATTTTTACAAGTATAGTTATGAAATTTGTGTTAATATTATAGGTTTTTTTTTAAATTGCAATTATTTTAAACATATCCAACCATAATATATTTTTATGTATATTTTTTAAGACTTTTATCATTCAAATAGTGATAAAAATTATCATTAATCTCACAAAAAATATTTTATTTTTAATTATTTTTTATTTTATGTATACAAAATTTATTAAAAATATAAAATTTTAACATATTATTATCATTAATTTTTTAAAATATTATTTGTTATTGAAAATTTTCATATATTTTAAAAATAAATTTTTAAATAAATACATATAATTATGATGCACTGCATTTTTAATATTGCTTTAATTGTGTTTGTAAATAATGGTTGACTTCTTTAACTCCTTCAATCAATTTGAATGCTATAACTACTTAATTGTTTAACTCAATAGCTAATCGTCTTTATAAATCATTAATTGAATTGAGTTGAATAACACTAGTCCTTAATTAGTAGTCATAATAATTGGTAGTTTGCCTGATATAGCTCAAAAACAATATAATGGTACACATTTGCAAGAGTAGGTATGAAAAACAATTTTGTTATGCCATAGCTTTTGTTCATGAATGACAACAATGAAGGACACAATTTGTTGCAGGAAATGATAATATACATGTTTTAGTGTGATAAAGGATAATTTTTAAATAATACTTAATTAATAAGATTTTTTAAAATATAACTTTTGTTGTCTTTTTTTTTTTATGACAACTATGGTTTACTAAAACAAGTTAAACATGTTTTCAGATCAAGCAATACCATTATGAACTATTAAAGTTCATTTCTAGTATGTTATGCAACAATTTCAAGCATAGAAACAAACCGAGCATGATTCATTCAGCCTTTTATTTTGAGAAAAAAAAAATGCAAACTTAATTAGTTATGTCTCTCAAATGATAGTATAAAAATGTTTTTTTTTCCCTCATAGTTAAAAGACATTTTCAAAGTATATAAATAGTTCATAAATTAAAAATAAAAAAATCAAATGAATTTTAAGTCTAATCGCGTAAGTTGAAGAGTTTTTTATAGTAATATTATAAAAAAAATAAAAATACTTAAATAGAATATTAGCTATTTTATTTACCAATCTAGACCCAATTTTTGAAAAATATTTTGGCATCCATAATTCGATTCACTGGGACCAAATTCTGAGCTTTTTTTTTTTAAACTTTATTTTATGTTTTAATATAATAAAATAAATATTATTATTTAAATTATATTTATATATTTATGTTTTATTAAAATAAATATTTATAAATATTTTATTAGTTATATATAATAAAACAAGTTTTATTATTTGAATTATGTTTATACTTTTATATTATTTAAAAATGAATAAAACTAAAAATAATATTAATTTTAAATGTTTATTAAAATTTATTTGACATATTTAAGATAATAAATAATATTTTTATTTTTCTTATTTTATTATTTAATATAATTTTAATTTTTTGAAAATGATATTAATATTATATTCTAAAATTATATTTTTAGTTATTTAATATTATATTTATAAAAAAATTAAAATAACAATAATATATTGAAATATTTAAATTAAAATATAATATTTAATTTTAAATTTGTATAAAATAAAAATAATAATAATTTATTTAATTTTCTATATTTATAAATAAGTAAAATTATTAAATAATAACTAGTTTATTTATTTATTTTGAGATATCAATCTTTATTAAAATTTATATATAATTATTTATATAAAAAATATGTTATTAATATTAATAAATATAATTAAATAATATTATGTAGATATATTATATATATAATTATATATTTAATATAAATTACAAATACTAAAATTTAAAAGTTGCAATGACATTCATAAAATTTAAAATGACATTAAGAAAATTTTAAAATAATAATAATAACATAAATCAATGGCGGGAACTAGAAGCTTGAGCAATGTTTAGACATGTGTTCTTTATGTGATTAGGGGCATGACAATAAGAACAAGTTTTTGCCCGACTTTGTTGTTCTCTAATGTCCATCTCTGTTTTTATTCTACTGAAGTTGTGTCGATCCTTTTCAATTCTTTTCAATTCTGGATTTAGACACAAAGTTGGGCTCGTGTAAGTTGGCCAATAGTCTTTGTGTCTCAGTTCTCTAAACTGACTTTTATATACCTTAAAAACTTGTTGTAAGGTATACACAAGAGATATGTAGATGTCAAAATTATGGTGTGTGTGTAAGCATGAAGCAAGTACATGCGAGCATGGGATGTGAACTTTTTGAAACTTGTCATAATCACATCACATTTTATCTAACCGTACTGTAAATCTTTTTACGTGTCAAATTTTTGTCAGATGTTGCGTTTATTCAATTAAAAATCTAGTGCTTATTCTGTCAAAGGTTATGACTTTATGAATGTTCATCTTTGACTGTGCATATTAAATTGCTTTAGTTGCAACCTCCGAGTATATATATCCAGCATTAATCATTTCATCTACTTCCCTGCTTCTATCAATGAAGAACTTATTGCAACGGGTGTATGTTGCCATAACCATGGAACAAATTGGTAGGGTTCTGGTTTTCTTCAAGACCAAATTGATTGACTCCACTAGGTTTGTTGTCATGTGTCCCCGTCGTCCATTGTCCCATGCCAATGTCCATTTTTTCTTTGGAATGCTGTCCAACCATTATGCAGCTTCAGGATTATTATCTTTTACTATGTTGTAATAGTAAAAGAATCTTGATTCAATCATCCCATATGTTGGAAACAAGATTACAAATTAAATTAACATAACTAGCTAAGCAATTATATAAAATATTAATGATACTATAGAGTACGTAAAAAATTAAAATTACCCATACTGACAACAGCTTTCTTCAATACAGTGTTTTTGAATCGTCGCATGAAGTTTTGTGCAGTGTGTCTAATGCAATAGACATTGACAAAATTATTTTCTGTTTAATTGCTTCCATTTCTAGAGTATGCACTTCTAATGGCCTCGTGACGATCCGAAATGAGGCATAACCCCTCTTGCGAGGTTACATACCTCATTAAGTTTTTTTTTTTTTTAAAACCATGCATTGGTGGTTTCACCTTCAACTACAGCAAAAGCAATGAGAATTATGTTGTTGCGGCCGTCTTGCGCAACTGCCACTAATAAAGTCCCTTTGTATTTACTATTCAAAAATGTTCAATCCATTTGAACAATTGGTTTGCAGAATGCAAAACCATCAATGCATGACTTGAAGGTCCAAAACAACCTCTTGAAGAACACATTCTCCTCGTCAAGCAAGCCACTCTTGTATGCCGGTTGTGTACTCAATTTTTAGATGAAGCCTGAAACATACAGTTGCATTGCAAGCAACTGTTTAAGTAACTTATGGTATGACTCCTCCTAATTTTTGAAGATATTTTCAATGACATGTTATTTTCCCAACCATCCCTTTCTATAGCTGATTGTGTAAGCCATTGTGAACTTTATGTGGGCTAAGATAGTTGCGATGGTGTTGATGGATTAGTCTTAATAATTTCACGAATGGTTTGAGAGATTATTCGTGATCCCAACTTGTTATGATCTTGTGAAGGTATTGCATGCCATATATTGCGCCAATTTCTAGTACTCCGTCAACATACCTTCTCGTGTGTAGATGGAGTGGAGGTTTATTTCGAAAGTTTAGTACTCTACCCCCGCTCCATCTACACATGAGAGGGTATGTTGGTGGATTACTAGAAATTGGTGCAATATATGACATGCAATACTATGCCTAGAACATTAACAGTGATATTATCGAGTACAGATTAGTGTTTGATCACATTCAAGCTATTCAGGTAACTCTTTATATTTATTTTCCTATCTTTTACACATCATCTTAAGTAACAAAGTTAAATATATTTGTAGTTTTTATGGGCGCCATATCAAGACCTGCAAACATCAATATCCATGGAAGCATATAGAGATATTCAACTGTGGACTTCATGTACCGTCATCCTTTATTTTGTAATTATTGAATGACACCAAACAAATAAAGTCAAATTACAATTTTCTCTCTTTTAAAAAGTCCATTCTCCACCGAATAATTTGAATTACCTCTACAAAATTGACATGAGAGGAAGACAAGATGAAATTTGGGTTACAAGACATGCTCAATGGATCGAGATATAGAACAACAGACATGACCTGACAATAACGGGTGATCCAATGCAAAGCCACAAGAATACATGCAATGGTACATTGTCAATTCAATCTATTTATTATCTGTGCCGCCACTACTATAAGATCCAAGGAGGAGCGACCAACAATTAAGGACTACTGACACATTTAAAATCGATACAACTTCCACACTGTCGTACCACGAGACTGCATCAATTGATTCAATTCCTCCGAACATTATGCCAGAAGCAAACATAATTAACACAAGACATTCGTTTGTAACAACATCAGAGGATTTTTTTTACAAACTTATTTGGAGTTGATTTTACAACTCCATCTTCAGCACAAACTTATATGCAGTCTCTTTACCAATCATATTTTGCTAATGAACCTAGTAATTTATCAAATGCATTCCAACAACTAGACCTTCATGATGATCAAAATCTTTCACAAGTTCATCCTGAAATCTCAAAGCAACAACCACAACGACGAAATCTATCACGTCACAGACGTTACCCTCGTTGTGGAATTGGCTACCATTACAGAGATAGTTAATTATTAATGTTGTTATGAATTTGTTATCATCTTTATTAATGCATTTTATCTTCATCAATGTTACCTTAATAACATGCAAACGTTTATTTCAAAATATTTGTCTCAACTATAAATAAATAATTTATAATTTAATATTTTATTTACTTTTTAAAAAATATTTTATTCTCAAATAAAATTTATTCAAAATTATAATAGTAAAGTTTTAGGGTTTAGAGTATTAAAAATTATAATATTAAATAATGTCATTTTTAAAAATACTAATTTAATTAAAATATTTTTTTATTCAAAATATCATTTTATCATACTAATATTTAAAAATATTAAGTCAAAATTACATATTTAAATAAATAAATAAACAGAATAATATTTAATATATTTATTTAATTTTAAAATATATTTATTATTCTTTAAGTATAAATAATCTAACCATTAACATTATTATTTAAAATAATATACTTATTATTTAAATATTTTAATTAGTTTTTTAAAATTATTTAAAATAATTTACTTATTATTTAATTATTTTAATTAGTTTTTAAAAATTTAATTATTAATAAGAAAAACAAAAATTTTATTTATTATTTTAAATATGTCAAATAAATTTTAATAAACATTTAAAATTAATAATATTATTATTTTTAAATAATATAAAAATATAAACATAATTTAAATAATAAAATTTATTTTATTATATATAACTAATAAAATATTATAAATATTTATTTTAATAAAATATAAATATAATTTAAGTAATAATATTTAATTTATTATATTAAAACAAAATAAAATAAAAAAAAGCAACTCAGAATAAAATGGCCAATGTTCTATTTGAATATTTTTATTTTTTTATAAATATTGCTGTAAAAAACTCATGGTGAAATACTCAACCTGGAACTCTTGTGTAGATACGTGAGAATTATTATAACATGTCTAGTTATATACAGCAAACAGTGTCAAGTAAAATCAAACAGAACCCCATCAAAACAATTATATTAGCTATTGAATTGAACAGAGAAAAAATAAAAAGATGCAGCAGCAAGGTTTTTGTTGGGGTTTTGGTCTTTCCTTTCCTAAAACAATGCCCTGAGAAACAACAATAACAATAATGCATCGACGCTTCATCCCCTTCACCCGCAACCTCCTGTCAAATCTCACCCATCCTCTATGCACACTACCCACCCTAACTTCCCTGCACCCTCTCCCTCTCTCCTCCAATGTCACCACCCTCCCCCGCCGCACCGACCCCACCACCCTCCTCAAAGAAGACGCCGTTTCCCTCTGCTCCCAAATGTGGATTCAGAACTTCCGGGACCCCCATCACACCCTCACCAACCTCTCCTCCTTCCTCCGCCGCTTCGACCTCTGGCTCCTCGCCTACCAGAAAGTCTCCACAGACGACACCGGCTCTTACACCCCTCGCTCCTCAATCCCTAAGTCAACGCTCGAAGACCTTCTCTCTCTTCGCAACGCCGTTCTCGACGGAAAATTCAAGTGGGGTTCCCGTTTGAAGTTTTTCATCAAATCCCCCAGAGACAAAACCGACTACGATTCCCTTTCAAAGAGAAAAATCAAAGCCATTCTCACCACCACCCAACCCGCTCCATTCCAAGACAAGATTGTTCAGGAGGTTCTTCTCATGATTCTTGAGCCTGTTTATGAGGCTCGGTTTTCTCCAAAGTCCTTCGCTTTTAGGCCTGGTAGGACACCACATACTGTTTTGAGGGTTATTCGAAGGAGTTTTGCGGGGTATTTGTGGTATATAAAGGGTGATTTGACCACTTTGTTGGATGGGATGAAGGTGGGGTTGGTAATCAATGCTGTTATGAGAGATGTTAGGGATAAGTTAGTGGTTGATTTGTTGAGAGATGCGTTGGTTACCCCCGTGATCACGACTAAGGTTGATGATGGGGAGAAGAAGAAGAAAAGGACCAAGAGGAAGTATCAGAAGAAGAGAGTGTTGGCTGAGGATGAGCCTAAGCCTGATCCTTATTGGTTGGACACGTTTTTTGGGTTTGCGCCTGAGGAGGCTGAGAAGGTTCCCAATTGGGGGCATTGTGGAGTTCTTAGTCCACTTTTGGCTAATGTTTGTTTGGATGAGTTGGACCGGTGGATGGAAGGGAAGATTAAGGAATTTTATGTTCCTTCCAAGAGCGATGTTATATGGAATAGTCCTGAAGGGGATGCCGAACAGGGGAACACGTCTTGGCCGGAATTCGTGCCTACAAGTGGACCTGATAAGACCAGGAAGATGGATTATATACGATATGGGGGTCATATCTTGATTGGTGTTCGAGGCCCTAGGGCAGATGCAGCCACCCTGAGGAAGCAGTTGATTGAGTTTTGTGATCAGAGGTTTATGCTCAAGCTTGATAATGAAAGCCTTCCTATCGAACATATAACCAAAGGTATAATGTTTCTGGACCATGTGTTGTGTAGGAGGGTTGTTTATCCAACTCTCAGATACACTGCAAGTGGTGGTAAGATCATAAGTGAAAAGGGTGTAGGAACCCTTTTGTCAGTCACGGCAAGTTTGAAACAGTGTATTAAGCAATTTAGAAAGTTGAACTTTCTTAAGGGGGATAGGGATCCGGATCCCCAGCCTTGTTTCAGGATGTTTCATGCCACTCAGGCTCATACCAATGCTCAAATGAACAAGTTTTTGTCAACCATGGTTGAGTGGTATAGGTATGCAGACAATAGGAAGAAGATTGTGAACTTCTGCTCTTACATCATAAGAGGATCGCTTGCTAAGCTATATGCTGCGAAATACAAGCTTCGCTCACGAGCTAAAGTGTACAAAATTGGTTCTCGTAACCTAAGCCGGCCTTTGAAGGAGAAAAAAGGTCAGTCTCCAGAGTACCAAAATTTGCTGAGGATGGGTCTTGCCGAATCAATCGATGGACTCCATTATACACGGATGTCTCTTGTACCTGAGACAGACTATTCCCCATTCCCTAGTAATTGGAGGCCTGACCATGAAAAGTTGCTGCTAGAATACATAAAACTGGAAGATCCAAAGACATTGGAGGAGCAACAGAGTTGCATCAGAGAACAAGGGCTTGTCACTCCTCAAGACTATATTTCAATGCTTGTTTGGAATTACAAAAAGAATTCTCTTCCTATGGACCAACTCTCCTTAATAAACAGCAATGAAAGTGGAAGTGTTGTAGGCAATCGGCAATTGCTAGTTGGCTCAAACCAGGATGATCATGACCACATAAGCAAAGAGGAAGATAGTGATGGAAGGATGAATGCAGCAGCACAAATGTAACAAAAGGTTTTGTAATATACACTCACAAAACAATACTTTTTTTTTTGTATGTGATCTTTGAATAGGATCATCAAAATATTTTGGTCTTGTTGAGAATTTGACATATGTAGTTTTTTCATCTGGTGTTAACATATCATAGTTTATCTTTGTGGTGGGGGAGGGGGGGGGGATATGTAACCCTTATTCCCTTTTATTTTGTCCTTTTCCCATCCTTTCTTCCTTCCTGCTTTCCTTACCTTCATGAAGTGTAGTTACTAAAATGTGTTCAGAATCGTAACTGTTAAATATACAAAAACATTTACGTGCTTTCACTCAATAGTTAAGTTTTTTGGTAGAATTAGTCCTTGACTAGTATCATATCAAAACCTCTAGCCAAGAGGTCAAGAGTCTCATTTAAATAAAGTTGAATTTGAGCATAAGATAAAAGAAAGCATGTACATTGTATCCTCTGCAAGCCCAAATGCGTTGCAGTGTATTTGAGATATAGAGACCATTCATGCAATTTCACCTATTAGCTTAAGCTTTTAGGATAATTGGTGATCCTCAACCATAATTTCTATTTTTGCTTTTGACTATCATGGTACAGGGGCCAAGTATTTCAAAAGTTTACGCAAGTTTGAGTGCTCTTTGCAATCTTGGGTAGAATTAAACGTTTTGCAATCAGGAATTTTTGCTTCAGTTTCAAGCTTGTTCGGTGCTGTAGTGTCATTTTGCTTGGTAGTTCTTGCTGAATCAACAAAAAACTAGCGGGATAAGTTTCTCTATTTCTTGAAGTGTGAGACTTTGCTCCCCCCTCCCCCCCTCTTCTGCTGCTTTTGAATCAATACTCTTCTGCCTCTTTCACGTTTAGCACTGGTTTTCCACTTTTCCTGTTAAGAGATTACCCACTTGTCAGTTACTTAGTCATTTGCTTTTATGGCTTGAATTAATTGTGCTGTCATGTTAGCAGCATTGCCTTGTTCAAATATCCGTTTCACTCAGCTACTTGTAGTTCTGTAACTTCTGCTGTCTTCTTTTATTTAGAATGTCAAGTTTTGGAATTAATCAATGCCAAAATGTTACACTTGGCATCTCCTTTGAGTCTGATTGATGTTCAATCAACCCATTTTTCTCTTTTCAGGTTGATATTATCTTTCACCTTCCCTCCATGGATGCTTGCCAGAGAAAGGATACAATAACTGAAGAGCAGAGAGCTGTTTCGTGCGGGCAACTGACTCAGGCAAAACATTAATATTGCCACTCTGCATATGAACACTAGACTACAAGATGGCGGCAAAAATCCAAGCACCTAAAAAATGTGGAAAATAAATTCTACATACTGTTTTGGAGTGCTATATTTTTTATTCCACAGGAAGGAGGGTATGCAGCTTTTTTATGCGAGACAGAACAGTGTGTTCCTTGCGGGATGCATACAGGATCATTTCAAGTTTATAAATAGGTTATTTGTTCATATGTACTCGTCCCAATTCTTTTTGAAGAGTTGAGTATCTGCAACTCTTAGTTCTTGACCATACATTGATTTATGTATCTTTTCTTACTACTTTTTTTTTTGTACGAAGATGCCTTAAACTCATACTGTAAGAACCCATGTGAATTTTAAAGCAACGTAGTAGGAAGGAGCTTATTATATTTTGTTATTATTCATTCCACCAATAGACGGAAATGAAGAAGAGGAGCATTTTTATGTACTAGGAACAAGATATCATTATTATTTTTATTTGGTCACTCAAACAATCCACTTGGTGACATTTTCACTAAACAAGAAATGGATCCTCTACGATATTTTCATTGCATTAGATCCTATTCAGACAAATTATATTAATATAATACTAAATTTAATTAATATATTTTATATGCTTTAATGGATAGATTTAAAACTGTATTCCTCATCACTGAATATGACACTTGAGATGATTCAAATCTCACTAGATACTATTCGAAGGCTTACATCAAGAACAAAAGATTTACGGAATATTTAGTTTACATAAATTAATTCTTAAAGATATCATGACTTTTAATTTTAGTTTCAACAAAAAATTTATTTCAGTTTTAGTCCTTAAAAAAAAAGTTATTTTAGTTCTTAATGAGAAGCTAAAATCATATACTTTTTATTAAATATAAAGACTAAAATTGAATAAAATTTTTATAGACTAAAATCAATAAATATGACTTGTTTAGGGACTGGACTAGTAACTTATTTTTTTCATGTCTCTAATACTATTAGCAAGTCTAATGATAATTCACGTAGTTAACCTTATATACTGAAATAAAGCTTTATTATTGTCTTTAATGTCGTACTGCTTAATCTTGTATGATACAACATTTAAGGCAAAACAATTGGCTGGTGCATAAAAATGACAGATGTAGGTAAAGCTAAAGAAAAACCCCCCAAAAAGAAAATCTAGTTTGACAATTGAGCCATGGCTATTGGCTAGCAGCATTCGGCACTAAAATCAGGTCAAGCAAAACGGAAATACTAGAAAATTAGTACCAACCCCTATTCTGTGAACATTTTTCTATTCTGAATTCGGGCTATATACAAAAAGACAGCACGGAGATTTTTAAGCTTTAATGCCCATGTAACAAATAGAGGCAACGGAGTTCGTCCCCATCATTTCCCAAGACAATCAAAATCTCTTGATTCTCTAACAAATAATTTCACTACTTAGCGCTTGGTGATTTTCATATCCCTAATTGTTTGATATTTCCTTCGAACAATGTCTGATAGTGAAAAATATGAGCTAAAATTACTAGTTCATGAACAATAATGATGTCCTAATACAATGAATTAGACTAAAAATAAGACTAAGCTCTTCAGCCGCCCGCTCCAATAAGCTCCCAATAAATTGTGTTTTAACCTATCAAATTGAAAGTGAACATTCAATCAATTAATCAATCATTAATATTCAACACATGGAAGCGTATTAAACATAAGTCTATTCTGTGTCACTTGAGGAAAAAAAATAAAATAATGTCACAATCACAAACTTACCAGTTATATATAAGCTGATGATTAATGTCACCATCAATGTAAATATACAAGCCCTTACACTCACAGCAGCTGAGGTTGACCTGCACATTTGATTTTCACGGCATGAAAAGGTGTTAATGACCAATGGCATTGAACAAGAAAGTTTTATACTAGGTATAATTGTGATTTTCAATAGAATTATCTCCAATGTCATGTTTCATTAAGTTTTATTCCTTTTTTTTTTATAAGAAATGTTATTGACCAATGCCATGCCAAAATTGGATCCTAACACAACTGTAGTCTCAGATACCAAACATCATCTTCCTCCTCCTCACATTCTTCATGCACAAAACAATCCCTTAATAAAATGATTGCAATAAATGATAACGTAACAAGTGGACCGCAAATCCAGACTCAAGTCAAAGGCATCAACCACTGATGAAACAAGGATAACTGAAGGACAATAGAGACAGCATAATTTTTTTCTCTTTTTTCAATTGACATATAAAAGCTTTCATAACTTAATATGAAAATTACCTTGCTACTAGGTCCTTGACAGATTCGGTTGTTAGTCCAAAACCAAACGGAAAAAGAGGATCGTAGTGAGGATCCCCAACATTCATTGGGAGTTGATCAACGGATTTGAACCATGTCCTTGCAAGCTTACCGCTGAAACCATAGTCACCAAAAAGGATATCTGTCACACCTTGACCTTCAGTGCCTGGCAACCACGCTGCCACCAATGCGTCTATGGAAGAAACATATGGTTCCATCACAATAGGTCTGCCAGAAATGACAATAACCACACACTTAATAGCCCCGCAGACATTGTTGATGACATTTGGGCCAGGATCCATCATTGTAAGTTCTGTGCTGTCCCCTGCAGTCTCAGCATAAGGAGGTTCACCAACTACAACAATTGCATATTCAAAGTTGTTTGATTTAACAAAATCGCCATCAGGGTTGTCATGAAAGATAACTTCTGTGCTTGGATCAACTGCTGATTTTATGGCACCAAGAATAGTTGTTCCTGGCCATGGTAAAGAAAGTATGTCAATTCATTTCCATTATAACTTATTAATATTTCCTATTAATTTTTTTTTTTGGTGGCAGGTAATAGAACCAAGAAATGAAGTGCAAAAGAAGATTCTTACATTTGGCTGGAATGCACGTGCCTATGATGAAGTTTACAATTTTATATTATTAAAACTTCCCCTCTTTTGCTCTCTTATTTTGTCCACATAAAAAGGTGTACAGAAGTTACAGAAAGAACTTTTGATCAAAGAAAGGTAATCTGGTTCAGTTAACTGAGAAATTATTAAAGCAACTAAAGGATTTAAGCACAGCAGTTTCTGCTCGTTTGACATGCATACTACCTGCTATTAGTTATTAGAAAATACACATCAGGAGCTTAGTGAATATTTATAACAATGACTAGCTCCCTTGTTTTGCTTCACATTATTATATAATTTTGGATAACTTCAAATAAACAATGCTCATTGAATACTTCTCTAACATGTAAAAGTAAATAAGTAATAATACATCTAAAGGTCCAGAATACTTCCATAGGCCTAGACCTCAGCTTGTTATGAATGCCTGAGTCACTTACCCCTTGTGTCACTGTTGCCCGTGAATCCTTGCCATTTGATTGTCCACCCACCACATTGGTAACCCAAATTATCGGCATGAGTACCAGCAACAAGGAATTTTGGAACTTTCTTTGGAAGAGGCAGAAGTGGAGAACTTTCATTTTTGCCATTCTTAAGCAGCACAAGAGATTTCCTCACAGCTTCCCTAGCAAGGTCCCTGTGTTCCTAGTTAAAACAACTTTATCTTATATCTCACAACTCTAAATGTCTCAATTATACTAGGATATATACAAAATTAAGGGCAACAGGGAATGTCATTAAAGTAACATACTGCTCCTGTCCTTGAAATCAGTTTTAGGCATCAGATAAGGTCAATGCAGTAAGGTATATTAACAAATAATGCAAATATATTCTGTTTTGTTTCTTGATAAAAGTAGGTTTTAAGATTCTTTTTCCCCAAAACTGTTACTATCAACCGACACTATCAGGCAAAAGCTGCACCATTGGGCTGAACAGTAAGAATCAATCCCAAATGGGAGATCTTCAGTTCACACCAATTTGACATGGTTAGGTGTAATTGGAAGTAAGATTATAGTCACCGTGGCTCAAGATCTAGAGACCCCTGTTGTCTTTTGGATGGAAATAACTACATGGATTGCAACCCAATGGCAGAATATTAATAATTTAATACATTTGTTTTCCATAAAATGAAAGAGCATGTCATTCTATACTGATTGAACCAAATGATTAATCAAGTTCATTACTGAAATTATCCATTTTAAGGTTGGGATGATTTGAGGGGCTCACCTGGCTTCCAAGCTCATTGACTAAGCTGAAATCAGCTAGAGGATTCTCAAAAAGACCCATGGTGAACTTTACAAGCAAAATTCTCTCCACAGCATCATCAATTCGCTCCATTGGAATGACGCTACTCTTGACCAAGAGGGTAAGATCCTGAATGAACTCATCGTATTTGTATGGGACCATCACCTGTAATAATTAGTCAACAAAAAGACTGAGTTCAATAATCCTATACTTACGAAAGCATTACATTGTTTCAAGAGCTATACTCAAGCAGAAGATTTAGTCATTCCAATCCTGCAGGAAAATTTAGCATAAAGAACAAACTAACCATATCAACACCAGCTTCAATGGCAGCCTGGACAGAATATGTATAGTTTGAATCGGGTGGTGTTGTGATTCTGTCAATACCTTGCCAATCTGAGATGACAAATCCCTGACAAATTATAAGTGAACAAAATTTGTTTTTAGTATCTGCAATATGTACCATGCTGCTATGAATTGGGAGCTGACAATGTCATAGAGACAGGCTGTACAACAACAGAACATCTGATTGGTTTATTCTCGCAAAATAATTTATAACATGCTCATATAGCGCTATCAAAAGTACCAATACAACTGCAGCACATGTTACACTGATTTCTCAAGATTTATGAAGTCAAAAATAAAAATAAAAATTAAAGTAGATCCAATACAAGAGGACATTAAACTTAACAGTGCTAATAGACTTAAAGGAGGAAAATAAAATCTCATATAACCAACAACCGTAAAAATGAAGGCCTTAATCAGTTAAGTAGAAAATATATAAATATGTTGAGGAGTTCAGAAAATAAATAGAACATACTCTCAATTGAAAGAATGGCAAAGCAGTTAAATGACGTATGCTAGCAATGTCCTTAGGTATTCAATCCTGATCTTTGGCGGTAAATATGGACACAAGTACAACATTGACAATAGAAAATTATGAATCAAATGCCTTCCTCTTTGATTTTTGTGAATATATAGTTTTTTTTTTTTTTAATTTCAACACAATTAAGATGAACCATAAAGATGATTTTCATATATTGGCTATTTTCCCTGTTTATACTCAAATTAGGATATACCCAAATCATGGGACTCATGCAACTATCTAAGGGTTTTCTTGTGTTCGCATGTTCAAATTATGTTGTGTAGTGTTGCACCCATGCGTGACTCTATTCTTCAAAATAGATAGAGGAGACAATGTCAGTCAAACAAGTGAGAAGTGTCACTGTAGAAAAGCATTTGATAGCAGCTTGCAGTGCATAGATACCGCAGCTCAACATTTGTTATGTAACTACGTATAGAAAAGAACAACATAAAAATAGCCAATCACCTTAAACTTAAGGGTATTTTTGAGGAAGCCAGTGACAAGATCACGATTTGCATGCATCTTTACACCATTCCAACTGGAGTATGAAACCATGACTGTAGATACGCCCTTAATAATTGAATCAGAATAGGCAGGCATGTGAATGCTCAGCAATCCATGCCAGTCAATCACTGTGTTGTTCTCATTTATTCCCTTGGTTGTACCACCATCTCCAACAAAGTGCTTAGCACAAGCAGCTACCTTTGTCCTACAAGAAATTTATTAGCATAATGAAGGATAAAGAGAAATAGTGACCTTTAATACATCAGTAACTAAAAAAAAAAAAATTGATCATGTAATTGTGATTTATTATTCATTTTTGCAGCAACTTAATAACTGTGATTGATGTTAATTACAATTAATTGACTAGTTTCTCTAGCTGGACTGTTGTTGATATGAAGTGATTTCTTGAATCAGTCAAATTATGATCAAGCAGAACATATTAAAAAGATCTTATTGCACAAATAAAAATTAAACTAGAAATCAGTTTCCATTAAATCTCTGATGGTTACCAGAATGATAGATTTCAAGCACGTATCATATCAACAAGTTGCAGATACAGAGGAATAGTGTTCATTTTTTCAACATAGTTGTTAAAATGTATAAGAACCTTTAAAATATAAACTATATAAAAGTATAGATAGATACTCAATTACATTAGTGATTAAAATCACTAAAGATCTATGAACTATATGTAGACTATCATTATATCATCTTTCTAGGGCAGCAAACAAGCATATTAGGCATCAAAATCCACACATCATGGCCCCTGGAGTATATTTGAAAATATATGTAAATAAAACACCTAAAAAATGAATTGCAATCTTATTTTTAAAAAAGTTTACTATCCCTAATTACATACTTGTCACCAACAAACGGAAATCCCTTCCTGGAATTAGCAGGGATATTTCCTTGTAGACCAGGTATGATCTCTGTCATTTCTTGCACAATTTTAGGATCCTCACTATAGCTTTCATAACACCGACCCCATCTTGGATCTCTACAAACCTATAATCAACGTTTTAGGAGTAATCAGTAAAATTATCAAGAAAAAGGTACACATTTGGAAACTGCAAACCTGTCTAACAAGTAGTTTTCAGCAAGTTTATTATTAGACTCTTCATCATGTTTACCGCTATGCATGGGGCAAAAACATAAGGAATCCCAGTAGCCCTGACTTCAAGTGCAGTTGCAGCACCAATCCTCTGTGCCAGTTCAGGATCCCTGTTCATCAAAGATTATTAGAACAGAACAAATGGTGGATGAATTCAATAAAGCATACATGCAATCTAAGGTACCAATACAACACCTTTAAGATTAAGCTCAACTAAGTTTTAACCAGTGTTATCAAATAATGGCCATGACAGCACCATGGCAGGAAACGTCGATTTTCAATTAAAAAAAAAACAATATAGGCATCTGACCCGACCCAATCCAATCCAGAGTGACCCGCGAACAAAAATGTCTTTCTTCTCCCTCCCTTCTTTGGTTCCAATGTCTCTCTCTTCTGCTTCCTCAACATCTCTCAGTCTCTTCTTCCTCAACATCAATGACCGTCACATTGTCTCTGGTGATTGTTGTTGCATGCATCTCTGGCGACCACTACTACCTCCATCTCCTGCGACTTCTGCTGCCACCATCTGTGATGATTGCTACTGAATCTGCTCTGGTGACTACCTTTTTTTTTCCTCTTCTGCTGAATTTATTCTGTTTTAAAACATTTTATTTGAATTCAATTTTTTTTTAGTTTTCTGGTGACTATTGAATTTGTTCTCTGTTTTTAAATCATTTGATTCTAATTTTTTTTCTTAAGACATTCCTTCTTCATTTCAGCTTTCCTTAACATGGCTAAACAACAGTCTTCATCAAGTTTTTGTAGATACTAGATATAATAGATATGTTATTTTATTATGACCATCATGCTTTCACTACAAGTTGCCGTGGCATCTGTCATAATTTTATGATAGTTTTTTGGCTGTCTATCATAGTCTGTCATCCACCATTATAACATTGGTTTTAACCGTACAAGGTTTACAACACATTTCATACAATGACTCCTTTCTTACCCAAGTATATTGCAGGTTGAATATAATAATTGTCGAGAGGAGATTTGTTTAAGTACTATCATTCATTCAAACTTTAAATCTAGCTGCACAAGCATGATGAGGTGTTCAATAAAGCAATAAATTTGCAATTGTTCAGGTGACAAGAACCTTGAGCTATGTAAACTATCAACAAAAAAAGGTAGTAAATCTTAACTTGCCTGGTACATCCAAGCCCAACATTATGGGGAAATATGGTAGCATTGTAGACATTATTGTGTCCATGAACAGCATCAATACCATAGATCATAGGGATGCCCAATCTACTAGCCAGAGCTCCTTTCTGAAATTCATTGATCATATTAACCCAATCTTCAGCAGTAGCCTTTGGAAGGGGTTCACTACCGCCGCCACTCAATACACTCCCTGCACGCAATTAAAAGAACAAAATAATTCATAGTGTCTCTTACTAATGTCACAGTCTCCTTTGATTTCCAAGTCTTAATTCAATTTTTTGTCAATTACTCTGTCCTGGCTTTCTTCAATTTCCTGCTCGGCTTTATAAAGATCTTATGAAATTGTAAAACTAAAAAGATCCAAAAACCCATTGAGTCATTAAAAAGCAGGAACATATTCAAATATGAACAAAGAGGAAGACATGTTTGCAACAGAGTATGCGAGAAAGAAACTCAATTTGAAGCCAAGGAAAGAAAATAGCACAAAGGTGGCAACTTTCTCACGTGTAAAATTTCCCTTTCTCAAGGCTCCCTTTCCTGTGCTTTAGTATTCATATTACAATAAATAAATACAGCAAGTACAAATAATATGCATATAAGATTAAATCACCATTAAAAGAGAATAAAATATGTGAAGAAACTATCATATTTAATGAATTAAATCCAGTGAGCATGAAAGTAGCAAAGAGGATAATCACAAGGCAATCAGCAACCAAGTTGAGATTAAAATGATGTCCAAGGATGACATAATCAATGAAAATGTATTATGTTTGCAAGGCAGAATTACAAAGAGGTTTTTTTTTTTTTTCAACATAAGTGAATGAAAAAATGACAACAAATATTGAAAGACATAAAGAGACTCATCACCACTAAATAACATTTAGTTGGAAAAATTAACCAAACTTGCAACCAATCAAATGTAATGCGGGTCAACAAATAAAAAAAAAAAAACACGACAGAAAACTATAAAGGGGTTTTTAGTATTTACCAATAAAGCTGGATTTCATAACCTTAGCATTGGCAACACTCCTATCAATTTGAACCATTTGACCAATCTTCTCCTCCAAAGTCATTCTACTCAGCAAGTCCTTAACCCGAGTTACAACAGGTTGCTTCGGATCTTTGTACCTCAGATACTCTACTTGGGCTTCTACAGTTAATGCCAACCTCCAACATAGCCACAAAACACCCAACAAATGAACCAATGCCCTAGACATGTTTAATTTCCCAGTACTAGCTTCAACTGCAGAATTGGACAGAAGATAACACACCCAAAAAATATTTAATTTTTAGATTTATAGTTATACCCCACTTGGTACCTAAGCTAAATATGAAAGAGAAGCAAAAGAAAAGCATATCCACTGAAATGGGGTTCAAGAAAACTCAACCCCATTACTTGCTTCAGCAGCTTCTTTTTGATAAAAAAATAAAATAAAATGGAAATGTCAAAAAGGGTATAAAGTATGCAACAAACCAAGATCAAGCACACTTTTTTGGCAGCAGAAAATGGATTTTTATATCAACCAAACACACAGTGAAGTAGTTGCGGGGGAAGATGTGTGTTTCACAGCGAGAGAGGGGGACACACCTCAAAAGGGAAAGCAAAAATTGTGACTTTATGAGATGATATATGAAAAAGTTAGAAACTTTGGATCCAATGGAGGAATGGGGTGATAGAAATGGCACAGTGAGGAAGCAGAAAGCGATGGTAGTGGGAGACACTTAGCACTGTTTTCGTCTGATTTGAGCGGTTTTTTCCTTTGTAAAATTTATGGGAGTTGCTTAAGAAAACGTGGGATGCCAAGCATGTGAGTAAAACTACTCACTAGGAATGTGTCATTATTTTTAGCATCGTTATAAAAATATGATAGGCCTGTCTCGTTGGTATTCATCAGTAGCAGAACTATAATGTTTTTTTTTTTCACTTCACTATCCTGTGAAACGTGTATAAAACATAAATTCATCTTCAAAATAATATGTCACTTCGCATAATCTGCATAATTTTTGTTCTAGATGTATGATTATCTTGCTTACAGATAATAATTCAACCAGGATTTAATGAATATTTGAAAAATAATGTTTATGATGGGGAAATTTTTCATTTAATGAGTTTGAATAATTAATATAGTAAATTTAGTCGGCATGATAATTATTAAAAGACAATTTTATGACGGTCGAGGTTTAAATGCTGGTAAATGAAAAAATAATATTTTATTTATTATATTTTTTTTAAAACATGTATCATTGAAATACAGTAATTACAGTAAGCGGTTAAATTTTAGTTAAACTAGTTATTTTATAATATTTGCATATAAATTATTACTATTACTGTTTGACTATGTATATAATTTATCATTTAAATTGAATTTCCGTTCTAAATTCAAACTCACAATTAAATGTGAAGTTGAACCAATAAATATAGGAATATAATATTACATTAAGTTGTGATAAATTTGTAACTTTATAGTATTTTTGGTGAAAGTTAAGGATTATTGACGCCATAAAATAGAATTTCTGTATTGTTTACAAGTTATCGCCTTGTAAGGTTACTTTTAATAACTTTACAATCTTAAAAAGATTAAGAATCGTTTGTTTTCAATTAGCAAAGATACTTTGCTGAATGTAAAGTTTAATGATTTTATATTAATTTGTGGTAATCTTTTTACATAAACTTTAACTTTTGTATGAGTTACACTTTTCGTACATGTCTTTATATTATTATATAAAAAAAATATCATTTTGAATATTCAATCGTTGTGTTTTTTGGATAAAGCCATAGTATTAGAAAGTTTGATTACAAAATAAGACAAGCGTTAATAAGAATGATTTTTATAAAAATAAAAAAAAATTTCGAGAACTCTTGATTGCTCGCATAAATATGACTGAACGGCTTTACAAATATCCTTATTTTATTTTATTTTTTGGTCGAAAACTTCATTTTATTTATTGATAGACAAAGGTAGATTCCTTAACAGAGAGCCCATCTTTTGCTAATAAAGTTTAAAATAAAAAGAAAACGAAGATATGGATATGATTGTGTGGAAAAGATAAGAAGGGTCACTGTGGTGAGGTACCATGTTCAGATGTTCAAAACATGCAAAGAATAACTTGATTAGTGCAAAATTACTTGAAACTATTATGTTGACATTTGAGTCAGAGAATCGGATTCGAATCTACATTTCATCATTTTGTTCAAATAATATATGGCAGAAGTTTACCCCTTTTGATGGATTCGAAGGTAAATAGTAAAGAAAGAAAGAAATTAGAGTAGAGATAAGGTAAAACGATGGAAAATAATGTTACAGCCATGAGATATCTCATTAACTTTATTTAAAGTTTGTTTAAAAATTTATTTAAGAAACTATACTTTTCAAATAAGTTATTATAAGAGAAAAATAATGTAAAAATGAATCATTTTTTTTACAAGTTAAAAATAATTTATTTTTAATATTTCAGAAATGTTAAATAAAAATATATAAAAATTAATTTAACTTGTGAAATGAGTTTTAGACTTTATTTGAGTAAATTATTTAATAAGATATGGATTTAAATAGTTTATTGATGTATTTTCTGAAAAAAGTAGCCATTCATTCAAAAATTGGTATCACAGTATTGGGTAACAGGGTTGTAACATGTGAAGATTCATTTAGCTAATGACACTTTTTGTTGTGATCAATGTGATGTGATTTATGCTCATGTCCTGACTTATGCCATAACATTGCATTATCAACTTTTTTGAGGACTGCACTACTGCCTGTGACTTCTCTTTTCCTTTCTCCTCTTTTTTCGCCTCAACAGTATATATCATCTCTTTGCTGTGGGCATTATGCTGTTTTGTCCTTCACATCCCTTCTCCTTCCTTTGCTTACTTTATAATATGTATAATTTATTAATATTGATAAAAAAATTATAGATTGTAAATTTATATATTATTTTAATAAATTTATAGTGTTAAATATTTGAATTAGTCAATTAGATATTGCATAGTAAAGAGTTAATGTCTTGTCAACATACATTTTATGATAAAATAAAGGTAATAAAAGTTTAAGATTTAATATATTTTTAAAAAATATGTATTTTGATAACTCATTTTTATTAGAGTATATTTTAATAAAATCATGTTAAATAGAGAAAAATAAAAAAAGTTTAATAAAGTATACATAAATTTTATCAAATAGTGTATTATTAGTCAAATGCAATTTTATAGCTGGTTACTAACATAATTTGGGGGTGAAAAAATGTAGGTGAGCATGAAAGAAACAAGGTGCTGTCATGCATATCCAAAATTTAGATGTAGCATATCAAACACTACCAAAAATGTGAAAAATAACAGCATTCTCCTAGAGTATAATTCGTGCGTGTTTCAGAAAATAAATTAATCGATGTTAACTTTGTAAACTAAAACTTATTTAAATTTGTTTTAAATTAACGGTACAAATATTTCTTGGATTAGACAAACCCAATATTGTTGCATCATGCTTAATATATAAAGTTCATTTAATAAAAGCTTGATACATGGGATTAATCTATCGAATATTTTAATTTTATCATGAAAGGTGAAAACAAAAAAATACTATCTTAATTTAAAGTTACATCATAATCTTAAAATACAAGAAATATTAGAATAAACAAACTTTTTTTAAAAGTAACATTTGGATCAATCACAAAATGAATAAGAAAGGGCTCATAAATGGGAAATATTAAAGATGTGCCCAATCATGTAGCTCACGACCCATAAAAATTGGGCCAATGGAGCCCAAGTTTATATTTTTAGCTTGGTTACCCATCGCCCCCAATGACTAACCCAGTAACTTCAAATAGACACACTTGCGAAAAAGAAAGAAAAAGGCCCATTCTTATTGCACCTCGATTTGTTATATACCAATAATTACATGTCCAAACGCTATTGAATAATAAGTAATTTGACTAATTTCCATAAATTAGTCATAGTCCCATTGTTAGTTATCTTTCCTTGTATTAAAATTTTAGCTAGGTGAGTTAATTGTTTAATGTTTTCCTGTTAAATTACTTAGTTACAGCTTCTAAGTTGTGCATAAATAATCATGATTCTCATCAATGAAATAACGCAATTCATTCTTACAATTCTTGCAATCAAACAGCAAACCAAACCTGAAATTCTAAACTCCAAACTGGGAGCAAGAAAGAGAAGAAAATGAAGAAGTTCATAAAGGGATAGTTACCTACAAGGGTCATGCTTGCATGGTATGCTTGTTTTGACTTCCTGCTGCATCTTGTGTAGGTGACTGAAAGTGCCCATCTTCGAAATTAAGATGCTGTTTGATGGTTAATTTGTGCTGATTTCATTTAAGTACTTATGTTATGCTACTTAATAATTGTGAATAATAAGGTTATGGTTTATATCTAACATATATGGGTAACTTAATTAGGAGCTTATTCTGCTGATGAGGAGTTTTTGGTGCATTATTTGTGAAGGATGGCTTGAAGTATCTCAGTTACAATGCATTAATATTTAATTAAAAGTTTTACAAATTGTTTTTCATATTGCATTTATCTGTTCTCTATGCATATTGTGTAAAATGCATGTAATTTCACTTCAGACTTGGTACAAATAAATTCATTCTTATTCCTTTTTGCATCTTACGATACCTTCAGTTTTACAATTTGGCAAAAGTTTCTTTACAAGTCTCGTTTGTATTTAAATAGCAATTATTACATTTTTATACTTACTTTCTCCTTTATATATTTTTTTATCTTTTTTACCCCATTTTTATTTTATTTTTTCTTTTCATCACTGTTTTTATGGTTGTGAACGTATTATATTCGTTTAGGTTATTGGGGGGAGGGTGAATCCCATGATCCCACACTACAGAAGACGTGTTCAATCTGAAAATAAACGATGGAAAACCAATGGTGAATGTGAATGCAAGTTTTACAAAAGTTGTATGGTTCTAACGTTTGAAATTGTTGATGGCAAGCATTGTACGATGCCGTCACAGTTGCAGCATTCTTTGGAATCATAATTGCATGCAGCATCATTTCCTTAACAACTAATCGCAATTTAAAGCTCCGGTGAATCACGTACACAGGAATATCCAAATGCTGTACTATCCCTACATCAAAATTCTTCCCCCAAAAGCACGCAAGAATTTCTGTCCTGTTAATGGGAACCCATGCATGTTCTTACTTCTCCATATCAATCATCATTGCCTTTTTTTTTTTTTTTTTTATATATTGAAGTATAAATTGATACAATTGGAGTAGTTATATAACAACTCCAAGCATATATACCACAAACTTGAGCCACGATATTTTCACAACACTCTACTATGGGTGTTAAATCAGTGTAGTCAAGGGAGATATCGAAAAAAAAAGAAAAAGAGATTTGATAGATAACGTGATGAAAATAAATATAATGTAAAAATTATAAATTAACATTTAAATATATCTTATATAATACATCATAAAAAAATTAGTTTCAATTTTTATTTTTCTAAATCAATGATTTTTAATCCTAACAACCATTTAACTAACTAAAAGTTATAAAATCAACTTACTTCGTCTAATAACTC